GCATTGTTGAACGTATTTTAGTACTTAAACCGTAGATATAGGAATATTTTTAACCCAAAAAATTTTTTCATCTGTTCGGATTTCCTAGCTGAAAGTCTAGTGATCCGAAAATTATAGGGATCAAAACTTACCTTTTCGAAAATTTCAGCCACAAAAAAGGCTCCCGAAAATTCTAGGTGACCTTTTTAGGCTAAAAATCCGTTTAAAATCGGCAATTATACCATTTTTCAGATGTTTGAAAATCCTAGGAGAGCCAGACAAGCAAGAAATTTTGGAAAAAATGTTCCGAAATTGTAGATCTCAAACCGTCTTCCGAACAGATATTTTCCGAAAATTGTCGTTGGGTGCCCCTGATATCTATATTATTAGAGTATATATTTTCATGGACACTCATATTGGCTACTGTCCTCACCATTAATATAGTATATTTAACTTACCTTTAAATTATGATGGTTTTTGCCATTTATTTAGCAATAATGTATCTTATTAATATATGGATCCCGAAATAATTCAACTACGATGTAATCTTAATACGTTCACATTAGCTGAACTGAAAAAAGAAGTCATAAAGATGAAAGCCGATAAATTTGCTGTTACGCCTTTGAGACGGCACCAAGTTATTGATCTGATTCTTACGTACCACTCTTTATTCTCACATCTTAAAAGCAAAACTAAAGGACGTTCTAAACCAGTAACCAAAATTCATCCATTACCAGCCAGTATAAAAATACCACCTGAATTACTGTATAAACTAGCCAATCAACCAAACCCATAAAAAGCATATAGTTAAGTCAGAATTACAGTATATATAGATGTAAACTGGGATTCCTGGAGCTAGCTGTAAAGTGGGTGTGAATTTCAGGCATTCCAGCCATCGTAGTCTAGCTGGTATACGTGAGATGGTAAACTAAGCGTGGCGACAGTGTGGATGGGTGACCGAATGAACGAAGCTGAATATTAAACGGCAAAGAAAATACTAGGACAGAAAATAGCATATCAGAGCAATCACTTTCTCTTACTACGTAACATGAAAGGCGTACTCTTAAACTGTGGGCAAGACGGTTTAGGACTTAAAAAATATTACAGAAACGTTATACATGGCAAGAATTAAAACTACTAGCTAGTGTTCATGAGACTGAGTCGAAATGAATACCGATTTATAGATTCTTTGTTTTGTAAATATATTTGAATTTAGAAAGAAAGTACTTATTGAAAACACTTCTTTCCCGACTCCTACTGGAGACGGGTCCGCCATAGGAGCCACGCGAAGGTCTAGCCGCTGGCAGGGCAAAGGAAGTACCTTCATTTCTCAGTTATTTTAAGACCCTGTGGGTTCGTGGTTTTCAGCCGTAGCGGTTAGAAGTTTCCGACGGAAAGCCTGTTTACTCGAAACTTTCTATCAGTTCTGGTGTAAACTTTTTGCGGAGTAACAGTAGGCACGGCATACAATGCTGGCGATAAGCATGTGTCTACACTGAATTTGGGGTGATTTTGCAGAGGAGACCACACGTAGATCGAGCTTACTCGTTATGTTGTTTATTCTTAAACTTCATTTAGCCTCAGTCGATTATCGTTGGAAAGAAATGCATTGGTCTTAAGGCTTTGCGGTGATCACTTTTTTTACGTTTTATTGTGTTATGGACAAAGTTCGGGATCTTCCTTTTTATCGTTTTTTAGACTACTCCTCAAGTCCACATTCCAAAACTGTAAGTACCGCTGAATGTCTTTAGTTGTTAATTATGTTATTGTTATGTAATACTTAGGGATAGGGAATAACATATACTAAACAAATACACTGATCTTTTCGCTATATCTGAAAAAAAAAAAACGACAACTAGATAAAATGGTGAAACAGGTTAAACACGCTTTTCTTAAAAAATTATCTAAATTTGACTTAAAACAGATCTTGCCTACTGACTTACATGTTTTTCTTGGCAATGTGTTAAATGAAACTTTGCTGGCTGGCTCATAACTTACTTCTGCTACCGCTGGCTGGCAAACACCGAATTCCGTTTCACTCTGACTGGGATTGCGTAATTTTTGTTTTTTTAACCTTGCTGGCTGGCAAAAAACCGTCAAACATGATTGCTGGCTGGGATTTTTATTTTCTGAAAGTCTTGCTGACTAGCAGTGAAGAGCGGGTATTTTTTTCCCAGGAAAGTTAAATATTAACATAGGTTGACGTAAAAGCACTTTGCTAGCGTTTACGACATCGTATAATCAATTTTGCGAAAAATGTTCGTTGGGTACTCCTGGTTACATGACACATGCACTGGCACGACATCGCAAAATAAATTACTTCTCGTGCGTCACAGGAGGAATTTTTTCCGCTCCTGTTTGATTGGACTATCCTGGGTATTTAATACTTGTTCTCAGATAAACAGATACGGCACCATTTTATGCTGCTTGTACCATCGCTGAAAGAGCTTTGTATCAGGGTTGATACTTTTGTTAAGGTAGTGTTAAAATGAGTGTTAATGCGACTGAACATAAATATGTGAAAGAATAGTTATATAAAAAAAGTAAGCTGCTGTAGTTTCACGATACAAGGCAAACGTCTAACTTACAGCAAGGTGCAGTGACTAGACAGTATAAAGTGATGAACATTAAATTCAGAGTTTTCTTTGCTAAAAACTTTCCATACTTTTCCTTGAGGTTCCGTTATTTCCACGGTGTTTCAGCAAGTGGTTTTATTAATTTATTGTTATTATTGTTTGTTGCGGTTGTTCACATACTCGGATTCAAGCGTATTAAGCCCTGCATGTTCAGTTAAAGTGCTGACATTTTAATAGACGAACGCAACAATCTCTCTTACCTGGCTAAGGTCATCCAGAACCCGCTACAAAATATCACGCTTGCTTTCCTTGTTGCACCACCATCTACAGCTGCAGCTGTTTTCGCTTGCGCGAATACTCTCTGGTTAGCTCGCATGCTGACCCGGTGGAAACGATATTTCGAGACTAATCCGGTTACACTAGCAGCTGAGAAATAGGTCTGGCATCATTCTCACAACGATTGTGTCTACTATGCGGTGATTAGAACTCGAAATCAGTGTTATGAATTTTGACCTTGGATATATTGATGACACTCAGTGAAGTGGCTACTAAGAGCACGCGTGGTTTTTTTAAAACGTTAGGCAAATTAGAAAACGAGGAAATGCAGGCAATTTAAACTGCGGCCAAGAAAAACATTTGTTGGCTGCAACTTACTCTGAAAATAACTTGAGTGATTCATATCGAGTTTATATAAGTTAGAGGACTATTTTGAAACTAAAGACGGATACAGAACGGAACAAACTGAATTAATCAATGGAGCCCTCGAGCTTACAAATAAATAATCTGCGGTTGAGACAGGACTGAGGACTGTTACCGTTTGGTCAGTAAACCGAAATTCAGTGGATAACTTCTAGATCCATTGAAGAATGATTTTATCCGACATCTGAATGAGGACTAATAATTACTATACAATGAGTTTTGCTCTAGTTACTAAACTGGTCATATCTGGAACGTAAACAGGAAGAGTTAACTCAAGCAAAACAAATTTCGAACTAAATTTTCCTTATAAACCGAATGCTTGTTTTGCCGACATATATATTACTATCAAAGAAAAGCTGCTATAAAAAGTCGCGAATGATTTCGATGATAAACGTATTCGGTAAACACATGATCCACACTAACCAGTGCAACCGAGATTCACGTTTGAAGTGTAAGACATTAGCGAAATGGTGCTGAATGTAAGCCTACTCAAAGGTACTTAATAGACATCCTAAACGTCACAAGAAAACATTTTTTAATTTTCCGCTCTTGATTTGATTGGACTAAAATATAACTTCCTCTTTTATTTTAAAAAACAGTTCTCATCACTTGGCTGTTTTCTTTTTCTGTAAGTTATAGCTAGCGAAGGCACTTATTGAAGAAACAAGTTAATCCAAGGTAAGTCTGTGCATTCGTGCGAAGGAAACGTTTTACCAAAATCAGCCACTGAATTTAACCAAGGTTCGTTCAACAGTATAGCAGCTATAACTGACAGCCTAATGAAAAACACAAAATCTGCAGTTTTGTATGCCATTTTATATACACACAGAATTTATCTAAAGCGAGTCTCCTAAACTAGGAACTAAATCTTATGTGATTCATTTTTGCATTGTGCAATGAAGTCAGTGTGAAAAAGGTTCCTCTTTGGCGGCCGTTTTAAGGTTACCACATTCTGATTAAGAAAGCTCATAGCACGCAGACTAGTGTTAAAGTACTATTTAACTTTTGATGGACAACTAACTTCCATGCACCCCCAGTGAAATTCTAGGTCAGCAGAACCTTTTCAGAATACGTGTACCTTAAAACAGGAAGAGTTAACTCAAGCAAAACAGTTTATAAAATAACTAATATAGCAAGCGCGTTCTGATTGGTTACAAACCTATGGTTTATTGTGCCGGCAAACTCATAGAAAACTTAAAGTTCCTGTATAAAAGCAATAGACCACACTTCCTATGGATTTACCGGCGTGATAACCCACTTGGGATGTTGGGAGAACACTCGAAAAGCTTGTAAATCACGACCTGAAGGCGAGTGATTTACAAGCTTTTCAACGTTTCTATATTGCTGATCCACTTGAAATATAGAAATGTTGCTTTCTTAGACCTCTTAGGGCCAAAAGAGCCAGGTTCTTATGTTCTGATCTCTCTCTTTTTTAAAGTTTCTTTTTTGATCCTCTCATTCCCAGTGGATACACATCGTAACTTTAATCCTGCTTTCAACAGATAACTTTCCAGTTTGTTTTGGTGCAGAATTTACCAGCTACGCATTATCTGACATCAATCATGGTAAGGCGTAAATCGTGCCTGGCTTTACACACAAATCAAAGTAGTATGTAAATGTGTCTCCTAGGTAGACCAAGTGACCTTAACGCTACCGCAACCCCAGGTCACTGTTAAATCAAGTCAGTTTATCTATCAGGCCAAATTATTCTCTTTAGTTCGTCTTTAATTTTGCTTCCTTGATAGTATGTTTAAGTTTCTAGGTTATCTAACTTTACCAGTTGAAGACAAAGTAACCTCTCACACTGCTGATCAACCTCAGGTTTTGAATGAAAGTCAGTTTATCTATTGCCCAAATAATTCTTCTCCTTTATCCGAGTATAACACTTGAATTTGTTTTCATAACGTATTAAATAGCCTTTACATTTGATTTGCACTTGTTCCGTCTTTAATTCTTGCGAAGCGAGTTTAAAATCTCGTTGCGCACGAAGTGCGTGTACCGTGCGTGGTCTTAGCCAGCTGCAACCCCATCTTTCTATCTATCGTTCTTTATGCTAGGTGTCCGGCAACGACGTCATGTAGCGTTACGTCATGAAGCATTTTTTGTTTCCAGGCAAAATAGACTTTGCCGCCGTGTGTTTTTCAATCGTCTGTGAAACAACGTTTACGATCGGTGAATAACGAGCAATTTTCCATGCAAATTGACACAGAAAAGCAAGCACAACAAGTGGCTGGAAATCCTCGCCGGCGAAGATTTTCCACTGAAACTCCTCTGGAGAACGCCGGCCAAAATTCATCGCAAGCGGATCGAAGAAGACAAACGCGAAGCAGAGAGAACATCGCTTAGCATAGCGAAGGCAACGTCGTCAACACAGCGACCACAAACATGTACAGAGGCATCGGCAAAATACTACATTATTACACTGCAAGCCAGACTGACTGCAAGCGAAACCGATGAAGAGAGAAAACACCGACTTCAGACGCTTCGAAAAGCGACGAGGAGATCAGGCAACGTTTGAAGTTTACAGTCAAAATTATATTGAGCATAATTTCTAAACTCTTCATGATAAAATAAAGCTTACTGTAAAACCCATTGTTGCTTATGGTGTAAAAGAACAGTTTAGAAATTATGCTGGTGCGTCATGGTCATCGGCAGCAAAGTCTAATTAGAAAATGTTCCTCTCGTCTCTACTTTTTACGTCAACTCAAGAGATCCGGAGTGGCACCAAGTGAACTGGTGCAATTCTATGTGACATGTATTAGGCCCGTCCTGGAATACGCAAGTCCTGTATTCCATCGTTCTCTACCAAACTACATCAGTGAAGATTTGGAACGGATCCAAAGAAGGGCATTCAGAATCATCTATCCTGACCTGTCATATAGTGTAGCACTAGAAACGTTTGGCCTACCGAAACTTCATGAGAGGAGAGAAAAGATTTCAATCGATCTGTTTGACGAGATCGTCTGTAACCCCACCCACAGTCTCCATAGCCTCCTCCCCCAAAGGAAGAGTTGTAAATATGCACTGAGACGCAAAAGTGATTTCACTCTCCCCCTATGTAAAACCGAGCGTTTGAAGAAAAGTTTTATTTTTAGCCATGTCTATAAGATGTAGATAATTTTCTTATTTTCTCTTTGTTATCATCAGTATTTGTAAATATCCCGTAATTCAGCCTATGGCTGCAATGGTGTTTATAATAAAGTATCTATCTATCTATCTATCTATCTGGAAACAAACAATGCTCCATGACGTAACGCTACATGACGTCATTGACGGGCACCAAGCATATATCCATAGCCAATTTTGAAGCTGGCTAAGACCACGCGCGGCGAGATTATAAACCCGCTTCGCGAGAATTATTTTTCTTACCGTTAATCTTTATCCTCGCTTCCTTAAAGGGGCAGATGGTTTCTTATGTTTTTATTTTTTCTTATTTTTAGAAGAAAAGACAGAAGGAAGTTCGGGGCAAACGCCTGATAAATTCAGTGTTAGTTATCTCGATGTGCTGGAGACGTAACGAGAAGCGCTTAGAAAGGAGGGCGAATGCAGCCGTGAAAATTCAGTCAGGTAAAACTACTACGTTGGACCCCCGCAATACTACTTGTATTAGCTCGTTATTGCGCCCACTGAGTTTTTCTGCCCAAACAAGAGTCCAGTAAATTTGTTTTGAAAACAGCCCCGTTCACCACCCAACTATTTTTGACCAATGACCACCTTTTGGGGTCTTCATTTGTCATTTTCTCGAAACTTTAGGCAGATTTAACGCTGAGTTAATGCCATGTCAAAAGGTACTGAAGATGACTTGTGGTCAACATAATTTGCTGCTCTTCCGGTCCATTGTTGAAGCCGGTTTTTAGATGTACCCAAACCGCCGTCCCTGTCCTTGGGGTGTTTTTGCTAAATCTGCTGTTTTTGATCGTTTACATTCTTTCTCATCCTCATAGCCACTAGGCTTAATTTCAAGACCACGTGACCAAAAGAAACCGCCGTAAGCCCAGATAAAAGCGATTATAAGGTCTTTCCACTTAGCTCCACTTTCCGATGACCTTTATTTAAAAAATCCCTTGACTGGAAAAGTAACATATTTTCTTCTGAAATGCCCTTGCATTGAAAGAAAGATCAATTAGGCCATAAAGTTTAGGGCTTTCCACAAGTTGCTCGAGATTTCTCAAAACGGTTCCCGTAATTTCTTAAACTCTGAGTTGCTTAAAAGTTACTCAAAAAAAGTCAAAAGTTGCTTTTTGAGACGAAAGTTGCCAAAAAGCTGCTCGAAAAAAAAAAATTTTGTTATCCTCTTCCTTTATTTGATCAGAAGCAAAAATATACAAATTGTAAAAAATAAAGAATGTCTAAGCATTTTTGTACAATTTTGGGGCGTTGCTAAATAACTTTGTCTTCAATTAAAACCAAAAAAATTAGGAGTAAAGACTACGCATCAATAACAGAGCCCATTGCCTCAAAGTCATGGGCTTTTGTCGATATCAAAATTAATCTTGTAAAAATTCTAGTATGAGCCAATAAAATTGTTGAATGACCTGCTTCGTCCGCCATTTTCAATTTTCTTTTAAAAACCGCTGACCTGGCAGCCGGGCTACATGCATCTTGCGCTCATGATCTGCCCCAGGGAGGAGGATCTGGCTCCTTTTTAACAGGAAATTCATTAATTGTCTACTAAAACATTGTGAAATGTATACTAAGGCCAATTTAAGCATTAAAGGCTGTTCCGATATCTAAGAATTGCGAGAAAACTAGAGAAATTGCTTAGAATGCAAACTGAGTTGCTCGAAATAAGAGAAGTTGCCAAAAAGTTGCCGGGCAACTTGTGGAAAGCCCTAATAATGGTGAAGATCAAACGCCCTCCACTTAACAGGGACGAGGGGCTACAGCTAACAGTCATCTACATTGTCCCACTCTCGTCTTCCTCTCGTCAAGGACAGTTAAAAGGTTTTGCAACCACGCATAATCATCGTAAGCCCGAGTGCTTTAACGGAAATACTGTCGAGGAAAATTTGTTACGTTTTCACTCAATATCATTATTTTTTTATATTAAATGCGATAAATTTCAGGGTTTGAAAGAACGCAAATTTATTTTTAGCGACGTTTTCACTGCCGCCGCCGTCGTCATTGCTTGTTACAGATCTTGTAGCGACTGACTAATCTTCGTGTCATTGATTTGTCAATAAACCAATAACAAAACTCAGTCGCCTTCATAAATTTAACATTTAACTTAATGTTTTAATTAATCATTCAACAAACAGCTTCACCGTAATCCTTTCGTTTTAGTGTGGCGAGGATGGAATGCTAACAGAAATTTCAAGAGGGTTTTAAAAGCCGTTAAAGTCATTCAACACCACACGAGAAAATATCTGGTATGTAAGGGTAACACTTTATTGTTGTCTTTTAGTTACTGTTAGTTCATGATAGTAACTGTTAGTTCCTCCGCCCGAAACGTCGAACCCCAGCGGCGAAGAGCGAGGAGAAACGGATGTTTTCGCAGGCTAAGTGATGCCTTAAGTGGCCTTAGTTATACACCTATTTGAAAAAAGGTTGTCGGAGAGAACGGCGAATGGAATTGTCGAACGGAAATTGTACGACCGTAAGGAACTGTGGGTTTGATAATCAACTATCTAAGCTAGTCAATGATGCCAGCTCCATTTAGTGAAGAACTTCGATGGCGTGTTATATGGTTTGTCCATGTTCTTCAGCATTCAGTGCTGAGGCTTTATTTTTCTTGGGCGTTTCTGAAAGAACGGTTGAGCACTATATTTTTAAATTTTCTTGTGACTGGCGATGCAAAGTCGGAGACAATAGGCCGTTCATACGAGGAAACCAGGAACCTCTTTCAATTGAGAAAACCGTGAGTTTCTTTTGTCTTTGGAGTCAAACAAACGTTCATAGTTGGTGTATTCATTTCCACGTAAGGTGAACGCAACTAATGAAATTTTGCATATCCACAAATCAAATAGCGTAACCACAGTTCCTTTCGGTCGTGCAACCTCCGTTCGACATTCGCCATTAGGGAGCTTAAGCAAAGACGTTTTTGAGCGACGCACGTCAACCGGAAGTGAGCCATTCTCCCTTTTTATATGCCTTGACGCTAACAAATGTGTATTGCTAAGTTTCTTTTCTCTTATGAGGAGGATTTATCCGAGAGTTTCAAACAAACCACTGCCCAATAATGCAAAAGGTCCACTTCCGGTTGACGTCCGTCGCTCAACAACGCTGTTGCTTAAGCTCCCTATTCTCTCCAACAACCTGCATTGAAATAGCTGTATACTGAGATGATAGAGTCTAGAGTAAGAAATTGAACTGGTCTCATTCCATAGATAATTTACCATTTGAAAACGATACACCCTTTGAGAGTAGGTAGGCGTTTACTTTTTTTTCAATTATGAGATCCTACATTGCCTTTAGATATCCCATAATAGTAAGACCGAACCTGACGCCAAGGTCTGAATTTCATGAAAACTTAAACGAGGTCTTAGGAAGTTATTTAAAATTTGAGTTTCTCGCCCGTGATTTTGCTGTTACTAAATTCAAAGGATCATCTATTGAATAAGGCATGAATGGTGGTAATCATTACCATGGGTGCCAGAGACTTTTCATGAGCAAGTTTCCGCTTTCGGTCAAGTCTTTATCAAAAATCCAGGGAGAATGAGCTCATTAACTCTTGTGTTTATATATTATTGTTCTTACCGTGAATCTCTATCCTCGCTTTCATAAAGGAGCGGATGGTTTCTTATGTTTTTTTTTTTTTTTTTTTTTCATTTTTTGGGAAGAAAAGACAGGAGGAAGCTCGGAACGAACGCCTGATAAATTCAGTGATACTTATCCAGAGGTGTTGGAGACGTCACCAAAGAAGGAGGGAAAATGCAGCTGTGAAAATTCAGTCTGGTAAAACTACTACGGTGGAAGCCTGCCATACTACATGTATTAGCTTGTTATTACGCACACTCAGTTTTTCTACCCAAACAAGAGTCAAGTAAATTTGTTTTGAAAACAACCCCGTTCGCCACCCCGTTATTTTCGACCAATTACCACCTTTTGGGAGCTTCAGTTGTCATTTTCTTGAAAATTTTAGGCAGATTTAGCAAAGTCAATGCCATGTCAAACGGTTCTGAAGATGACTTGTGGTAGGCTTAATTTGCTGCTCTTCCGATCCACTGTTCAAGCCTGTTTTTAGATGTACCCGCACCGTCGTCCCTGTCGTTGTGCTGTTTTTGCTAATATCTGCCTTTTTTGGTCATTTACATTCTTTCTCATCCTCATAGCCACTCGGCTTAATTTCAAGACCACGTGACCAAAAGAAACCACAGCAAGCCCAGATAAAAGCGATAAAAGGTCTTTCCACCACGCATAATCGTCGTAAGCCCGAGTGCTTTAACGGAAATATTGTCGATGAAATTTGTTACGTTTTTCATGCAATATCTTTTTTTTCAAATTAAAAGCGATAAATTTTGAAAGAAGGCAAATTTATTTCTAGCGACGTCTTCACTGCCGTCGTCTTTGTTGTTTGTTACAGACCTTACAGAGACTGATTAATCTTGTTGTCATTGATTTGTCAATGAACCAATAACAGAACTCTACAGTCGCCTTTATAAATTTAACGTTAATGTTTTGATTGATCGTGATCATTCAACAAACAGCTTTACCGTAATCCTTTCGTTTTAGTGTGGCGAGGATGGAAAGCTAACAGAAATTTCAAGAGGGTTTTAAAAGCCGTTAAAGTCATTCAACACCACACGAGAAAATATCTGGTATTGAAGCGTAACACACTTTATTGTTGTCTTTTAGTTACTGTTAGTTCATGATAGTAACCGTTACTCTAACTAAAACAATAAGAACCTAATTAAGAACCTACATGTCCGTACATTTCCCGGTAATTTGCGCCATCACCCCAGTACAAAAGGCAGATAACCGCTATCCACTGGATGATAGCGCAATTGGCTTCACTAATACTTATCCACTGGGGCGCTATCCAGCGTTTGAACAACCGGGTCATGGGTCATGTCTGGGTCATGTCTTACATTTTCTAGGAGTCGGTAAATAAAGGGAAAAGGATCACGTGACTTATTGATTAGTGAAATAGCTAAAAGGATAAATCACATTTCCAATCATACGAGGCAGATTAACGATATACACAGTTTAGGTAACATTTTGGTAGTGAAGATTCCTAAGATTAAGTTTTGCAACCCTTCCCCGTTTAGGAAAACGTATGTTTTGACGTCATGGACGAAGCAATGTTTTGTGTTCTTTGAAATCACATTTCACGTGTGTTTTTCGTTGAGCCACATTTGTAGTTCACCTTTCAGAATCACTGATGGGAGCAAACCGTTCTCTAGTAAAGGGCATTTAACAAAATATGCTTATTTAACTAAGTAGTCATTTAAGTGGCGTGAGTTATATACTGAGGTGATGATAGAGTCTAGACTAAGAAATTGAACTGGTATGCCTGGTCTCATTTCATAGATAATTTACTATTTTAAAACGATACACCCTTTGAGAGTGGAAAGGCATTTCTTTTTTTCAGTTACGAGATCCTACATCGCCTTTAGATATCCCATAATAGTAAGACCAAACCTGACGCTAAGGTCTGAATTTCATGAAAGCTTAAACGAAGTCTTCGGAAGTTATTTAAAATATGAGTTTCTCGCCGTTGATTTTGCTGTTACTAAATTCAAAGGATTATCTATTGAATAAGGCATGAATGGTGGTAATCATTACCCTGGGTGCCAGAGACTTTTCATGCGCGGGTTTTCGCTTTCTGCCAGTAAGTCTTTATCAAGAATCAAGTGAGAATGAGCTCATTATCTCTTGTCTTTATATATTATTTTTCTTACCGTTAATCTTTATCCTCGCTTTCATAAAGGAGCAGATGGTTTCTTATGTTTTTTTTTTTTCATTTTTTTTTAGAAGAAAAAGCAGGAGGAAGCTCCGAAAAAACGCCTGATAATTTTGGTGTTAGTAATAGGTAGGGCAAATGCAGCTGTGAAAATTCAGTCTGGTAAAGCTACTACGGTGGAAGCCCCCATACTACATGTATTAGCTCGTTATTACGCCCACTCAGTTTTTCTGCCCAAACAAGAGTCCAGTAAATTTGTTTTGAAAACAACCCAGTTCACCACCCCGTTATTTTCGACCAATGACCACCTTTTGAGGTCTTCAGTCGTCATTTTCTTGAAAATTTTAGGCATATTTAACGCTGAGTTAATGCCATGTCAAAAGGTACTGAAGATGACTTGTGGTCGTTGTGCTGTTTTTGCTGAATCTGCCTCTTTTGGTCGTTTACATTCTTTCTCATCCTCATAGCCACTCGGCTTAATTTCAAGACCACGTGACAAAAAGAAACCATGGAAAGCCCAGATAAAAGCGATAAAAAGGTCTTTCAGCTTTCTGTTGGCCTTCAGTATAGGTAATAGCATGATTGTAGTGGTATTTGTATAGGTAATAGCATGATTTGTACGTGATATTTGGCATAAACACCACTTGTGATATTTCAAAATTGAAACCTAACGGTTCGTGAAATTACGTAGAACAATTTCGAAATATCACTCGTGGTATTTATTGCCAAATACCACTACAAATCATGCTATTACCTATACAAATACCCTTGAACTGAAAGAAAGATTAAGGAGGCTATAACGCCCTTCACTTAACAGGAACGAGGGGCTACAGCTAACAATAATCTATATTGTCATACTTTCGTCTTCCTCCCGTCACGGACAGTGTAAAGGTTTCAGGGGCACCCAACGACAATTTTCGGAAAATTATCTGTTCGGAAGACGATTTGAGGTCTAGAATTTTCGGATCATTTTCTGACAAATTTCTTGCTTGCCTGCCTCTCCTAGGATTTTCGAACTTCAAAAAAATCGTATAATTGCCCATTGTTAACGGATTTTTACCCTAAAAAGGTCACCTAGAATTTTCGGGAGCCTTTTTTCTGGCTGAAATTTTCGAAAAGGTAAATTTTGATCCCTATAATTTTCGGATTACTATATTCTCAGCTAGGAAATCCGAACAGATGAAAAATTTTTAGGGGATAAAAATAAGCCTTTATCTACCGTTTAAATACTAAAGTACGTTCAACAATGCTATGTTTATGTGGTTTTGAACTATATTCTCGTTGGGTGCCCCTGAGGTTTTGCAACAACGCATAACCGTCGTAAGCCGGAGTGCTTTAACAGAAATATTGTCGATGAAATTTGTTACGTTTTCATTCAATATCTTTTTTTTTAAATTAAAAGCGATAAATTTTGAAAGAAGGCAAATTTATTTCTAGCAACGTTTTCACTGTCGTCGTCTTTGTTGTTTGTTACAGACCTTACAGAGACTGATTGTTGTCATCAATGACTTGTTGTCATTGATTTGTCAATGAACCAATAACAGAACTCTGCAGTCGCCTTTATAAATTTAACGTTAATGTTTTGATTAATCATTCAACAAACAGCTTCACCGTAATCCTTTTCCTTTTAGTGTGGAAAGCCAGCAGAAATTTCAATAGATCATCAGGTATAATATCATGCAGATACATTGAAAAGGTAACACACTTCATTGTTGTCTTTTAGTTACTGTTGGTTCATGATAGTAAACGTTACTCGAATTTGCTGTATTATGAATATACTTGTCTGTCCATCCCCCCGTACAAAAGGCAGAGAACCGCTATCCACTAGATAATGGCGCAATTGGCTTCACTAATACTTACTACTGGAGCGCTGCCAGCGTTTGAACAACCGGGTCATGTGGCCGTTTCTTGAAAGTGTCCGAAACTAAACGAGCCTGTAATCAAATATTCAAATCAAAAACTAAAGAAAAAGAGCTCGGATCCTAGCGAACAAACTTTGCCACTTGGGTTTGTTAACTGATAGTTTTATCTTGTTATCTACAAAACTGTTGAAGCCTCTATCCCGAATGTACCCTATACCGCGAAAATGTAGCCCCTGCTCGCAGGGTATCCTGAATTTTAACAGCAACAGCGAGAAAAAGCTCTTGCACGTAAAAAAACCTTGCTTACTTCTCTTACTTTCTCTGAGTTTGTTCAGAAAGAGTGTAACCATCCTTATATAGTTCATTTTTCCTATCCCATGGCAGCACCTTCAAAAATTTCTTCTTTTATTATATGATCTTGTTTTCTAGGTTCCTGTTAAATTTCACTGCAGAGTGACCGCTCCTCCGTATGCCTACACCAGACCCCTAGCTTTGATTGACACGGTAAATAGCTTGCTAAAATATACCCCCACCCCACCCCGACTCAGATATGAAAATTACCTCCAACAGACCACGTTCGATATATTAAAATTCTAACATGACTCCGAGGCTTTAGGGTCAAAATTGCAAATTTTTCGCCATTCCATTGTCTCGCAATTCCCAGAAGAGACTTGAGCACAAAGAAAACCAAGCCAACATAGAAAAATGACCAGAAAGCCTCGGAGTCATGTTAGAATTTTAATATATCGAACGTGGGCTATTGGATCTAGTCAAGTCCTTAACACAAATGTTGACATAAATGATCCATTACATACTTGTACCTACAAAGTTAACCCGACAACGTTGCTTCCTTGATGTCCTGAATATAATAGGACTGTTTTTCTTGACAGTGATTAGGGAACTTAAGCACCAGACGATCTTGGTACCACGGACGCCAACCGGAAGTATTTTTGCAGCATGACAACCACTGCGCATGTCAAGACGTTCTTGAGCTGCGGTCACCAGGTCACGGACTTCAAAACGCGAGTTCTCAGGTTGAAACCAGAGGTTCAAATCTGGGTTTTTTCGAAGAGTATTCGTTATTCAAAAGTAGAAATTCTTCATCTGAAATCCTGTTTTCTTCGTGACAAAGAAACAAGACTTAAGGCAAATCTTTGAAGGGCATTTTCAACTGAATTATTCTGTCGGCGTTAGTGATGTTTTAACGTTGTTTTGTTTAGTGATTTGCATTTGGCACGCAAACTGCGTACCCGATCCAGTTCTGCGCGGCCAGCCATGCCGTTCGTGAATCAAGAACGTCTGGTGCTTAAGTTCGACAACCTGTGCGGTAGTCACCCTCAGAGTCAAAATGAGTTGTATTACGTCAGTTGATGGCATTAAACCTCTTAGCCCATAACATCACGGCTTAACTGACAGACGACCAATAACATCGCGACGTAATTGACCAATCAGGTCAATAACCAGAGTTTAATAGCGTCAACTGACATGATACAACTCACTTTGACTCTGAAGATGACTACCGCACAGGTTGTCGAAGCGTCAGTCACCGTCAACAACAACAGTCCTATTCAGGAATACGTTCACCCGAACGATCAAACTCAACCTACTTATGAAATGACTCTTGGGTTCAAACCTTTCACAGTATTATCATTAACATCATCATCATTTTGCTTCATCTTCTTATTAATATCATGATCATTAATATATTTTTCAGGGGCTAGCTGGTATACGTGAGAAGGTAAACTAAGCGTGGCCCGACAGTGTGGATGGGTGACCAAATTAACGAAGCTAAATATTCAATAGCAAAGAAAATACTAGGACAGAAAATTGCATATCAAAGCAATCACTTTCTCTTACAGCGTAACATGAAAGGCGCACTCTTAAACTGTCGGCAAGACGGTTTAGGACTTAAACAATATTACAGAAAAGTTATACATGGCAAGAATTATAACTACCAGCTAGTGTGCACGAGACTGTGTCGAAATGAATACCGATTTATAGATTCTTTGTTTTGTAAATATATTTGAATTTAGAAAGAAAGTACTTATTGAAAACACTTCTTTCCCGACTCCTACTGGAGACGGAATGCCACTTATTTCGCTTGCCACTATGCAGAACGAACACCAGACAGTTCTCAATTTATTTCCAAGGTCCAAAGTTTTATAATTCGCTAATTCTACTATAACCGGTTCGTCCTCCTCTGCTTCTTTTAAAAGAAAGCTTAAAGAATTCCTTCTTAGTACATATTAGCTTCAGTATGGCACTAAGTAGATTATTAGATTAATTAATTTAACATGTGTGTGTGTTTTTGGGTGTGTGCGTATGTGTGTGTGTGAGTCTGCGGTCAAAGTTAGCCATCATAAGCCCATATTGTAATTATATTATCAAGACTAGTTTATCCTAAGTTGTGGAGACCTGACTCATTATAAGCCTCGTGGTTTCTTTCAGGTCTCCTCGCCATTTACTTTTTCTTTAATCTCATATTATTCCAACCTTGCATTGTAAAATTTTGTATATATGGCAAATAAAGAATGAATGAATAATCCGTCATTCGAGCCACGCGAAGGTCTAGCCATTTGCAGGGCAAAGGGAGTACCTTCATTTCTCAGTTATTTTTGAGACCCCGAGTATTGGTCCGGCCCCGGGAAACGAACTCGCGACTTCCCACGCTACAGTCAAGCGCTCTACCGACAGTCATCTATTGTTTTCTTCCGCTTGCTATCGTTGTCGCGATTAGCCCCTCGCTATTTGCAAGCCAGCTAGTTTATGGCATTTCCAGTGAAGAAAGGATTTCAGATTGTTTTACCAGTACATGTGGAAAACCCTATTGAAGAAATATAGAATTTTTAATACTTTATTGTCCTTCACTTTAAAAAGAACTTAAAGGTCGGAGAAACATAACAGTTTTTTAATGTTCTCTTGGTCTAAGTTACTTAGGTCACAACAACAGCGTAAAAGAGCACTTCATGAACAAACAACATTTACTAAACCCAGGTTTATTAACTACTTATACGCAATACATGTGCAAACATTGGACAATCAACTCCACAAATGATTAGTAGGCCAGTTATTAACATATCCAGTATTATAATGCAGGATTCTTTCGTAGGATGGAGCTAGAAAACCTATTGTTCAAGTGTCAAGTTTTAACAAGGATTTTGCATGGCATTTTAAGTAACTGGAGCGGAACCAGCTGTTAAAATAAGAATATTTTCGCGTCTTCAAAGAAAACCATTTTATGATGGATACCGCTCCACTATGATGCCATGACCCTGGAAAAATAATACACAAACCAGAAATGATTAGTATCATAAATTCCCCTTAGTTGGATCAATCTTGCGATTAAGATGGAGAGATTATTAATTCTCGTTATGGGGAATGGCAAATATAATAGCCCTACAGGCAGGTGTCCATAGATATTTTTCGCTCGCTTTTCCTTTCCCTCGATATGGCTAACTGACAGCCTGGCAAGTTGTTCAAAAAGTGGATAACGCTATCCACTGGATAACGCAATTGGTTTCCTTAACACTTATCCGTTGAATAGTGATTTATCCGGTGGAGAGCGCTATCTAACTTTCAAACCGGGGCCTGTAGTATATAGACAAGAGAGAATAATGAGACAGAGAGAAACGCCCAGTCTAGCCCTTAGGATATATGAAATTCACCGAAGTTATTTTTAGACCAATCAAACGATTAAACTACTGGGAAGTTGGTTTCCGGAGAGGTCTTTTATTCAGTGTTGTCAACAGAGAATTCAACAGGCGCCATTACAATACTCTGAATTTTTTGCATTGAGGCAGTTGCGCGTGGACTTGATGACGTTCCAAACAATCGATTACAATTTGCGGACGTCCCAGGAATTAGACTTCCGTTTTAATTAAAGCCTCCAAAAATAACTTAAGTGAAATTCCCTCTCCAACTACCAGAATCCTTCACGGTTTGCTTTCGTTAAGGGTTTTGTTTTTTAAAACTCACTAGGATTAGTAAATTTAAATATGAAAGAAAAAACGAAATGAATTCTGGTCTAAGTAGTAAAAAGACGTTATCGTGCAAATGGCCTATTGCATCTTTGAAATTATTACTCTTAACGATGAACAATTTGCCTCGTAACAGGGTACAACAGGCACTTCCAAGGATGAATACAAATTTAACATATTTGCCTTTTCAATATAAAAAAACTTTTGCGAATGTTATACCATTTTTTTGCCCCTGGCAGTAATCAGAGGTGATCTAAGCTACTTTCATCGGAAGAAATGATTATGGTGGCTCCTCAGTTTTCAGCTCTATGGAAACTGTGCGCAAGTTAATCAATAACGACTACTTACCAGTCCTCCAGCAGCACAAGCGGCGACCAGTCCGTATTTTCCTCCCTCTTTCAACAACCTATTAGCAGCTGTGGTGACGAGTCGGACTCCTGTGGCGCCAAATGGATGACCGATGGACAACGAACCTCCCCACGTATTCAGCTTTTCCATTGGAGGGGCACCGAACTAAAAAAAATATTCACGTCAAAACTGCTCAGAGAAGTCGAGAGGAGCAAGAGAATAAGACGGACACCATAAATCATGGTTTAGTCTCAAACTAACAAAACTATTGATTTGGGGCATAGCTACACTCAGGGAAGCTAGTCGATCAAAGGTGATGACGCGACCTTTTTGTTAACATGGAATGAGCCAAGTTAGAAATACGATATATGTCTCACAATGACGACAACCTTCAAGTGGCCAAGCTTGCTTTTATTTATAAAGTTGACTGTACTTTACAAAAGTTTGAAAAATCCTTAAAACTTAGCGACTAAAAATTAAGAAAATGTTGGAAAATTTCTTACCTTTGACGATCTTCCCATGTAATTTTGTGCAAAAAAGTCGGAGTCCAGAGCCTTCAAATTAGCTAGAATTTGACCCTTGACCAAGAAGGGAAAAGAACGTTAATCGCTGCTAGGATAATTAACAATTCTCGAAAAAAAGTTTTTAATACACTCACCGCAAAGGCTTCGTGGTATTCAAATACATCGATGTCCTCCATTTTGAGTCCGGCTTTGTCCAAAAGTTTTGGGGTAGCATAGGCGGGACTGTATATTAGAACAAGTTCAAAATTAAACAAAAAGTTAAGTTTTATGACTTACAAGTTCTGTAAAACTATGTGATACACGCAGAATAAAAAAAAAACCCTGGACAAAAAAGGGAGAAGAAATTACAGGAAATACCCGAGTAGAAGTTGGTCTTTTGGATCCTGTGAAGTGTAAACAAATTCCCTGCAAGAAAAACGAAAGAAGTAAGCCAAAGTCCTTACTAGCAGGGTGTTTATCGCTGGGTGGGCTTGTGAAGGGCGTATTTTTGTCTGCATGTTGATGCACTAATAAGTTGGGCTTCTTATACCCAGGTGGCCTTATAACCGTATAATGCTGTTTAACTTAGAACTTGGTATGCATTCATCGGTCAAACTTACTGGCAAACAAAGCAGGGGAGGGGGTAACCTGGACTGGGTATAAACCTGTTAAAGGAGCTTTGTCACGAAATCTATCTTCAGAGCGTTGCGTGACGACATTGAAAACGGCTGCGTAGCAGACTACAGTAGGAACTGCCAACAAACTGAATGAAACGTGAATATAACCGCTCAAAACATTTAAAAAGGTAAAAATAACACAGCAAATACAAATGGCAGTACGGATGGAAAAAATTGAAAAGCGATTGAAGCGGACTGCAATGTGGATTTCGAGAACTTGTCAACCTAAATGTTTTCCAAAGTTCATTTTTGTTGTTTGTGAAGTTTGACATAATGCCTGGGAGACACATTTGTTTAAAACGAAGCTCTGATTTTGTCGTTCACAAGTAATTTCTCAAGTTTCGTACCAGACAGCCGTGAGACAGCTCCTTTAATAAGAGTGTGGTCTACTCTACCTCAAGTATGCTTTTGGTTTAAATCCCATTTCAACAGCTTTGTCTTCACTCATGATCAAACAGGCTGAACCTCCATCCGTCTATAATCAACATTCAGAAATTATTTTCGCTATGTTGTCTAGCAAGTCGAAAACCCTAGTTATAGACCTGGTTGGTCGATTTATCCGATTGCCGTTGGCTGTCTATCAGCTGTGAAGGGTTACTACTGGTTTTACGGTAGAGATTTTAGTACTGTATTGGCCAACTGTCAGTAATCTGTTGGTAATCTGTCAGTAACTTGCGACTAACAGTTGACCGACAGTTTTTTTGGGAAGTTTGGCTTTGATCACAGTTAAAAGGATTTTTTCTGTCAGTCTTCGATTTGTTTGTTTTGCCTAGTTCATGATTGCTGAGTAGGCCATTTGTTAGGTTGTGCTTATTACAAGTTCTTCACTCTATTTGGAGCAGGAAAACAACAGTAGGAGTAATTTAAAAATCTATGCTCACACTATACAGTGCTTATCAACACTGCTTAGCAAATCCATTCCCTTTCTATGGTAGTAAAAAGACAAAATTCCCCACCCTACTCCCCAAAGGAACCAAACCTACCAAGAATGAAGCATTCGCAGCAGTAACGGTGCCATGTGGTTTGACAAAGGCTGGTTTGAGTTTGGCCATCTGCTGCAGAGTTGAGACACGGATCCCATTATCAGCTGTCACAGTTTCTGCTTTACCTAAAGCAAGGTAAAAACAGAAATAATGTACAGTACTCTCTTCAACCATTTTCATTCCAAGAGAGAGCAATGACGTCTTGTCAGTAAGGTAAGGTGGTTCTTACTTTTGAGACTATGTGGATGAAATCCTACCGTATGACCACTCAAGTAAAACCTCTTCAGCAGTACTTTCACAAAAGTCCCATTGCAGGGCCGTAGACAGGTAATGGGGTGGGGGAGAAATTATTGTGAGTGCCGAAGGCACAAGCCTTGTAGGGGGGTAGGGGGGTATCGTCCCCCAGCAAATTTTCATATTTGGAGGCTCCGAAACACTTTTTTCAGCACTTGTCATGAGATATGTCTCCTAAAAAATCAACGTCTAATATGAAAAGGGCAAACAATTGCAAGTCACTATAATCAAGACAACTGAGTCTAAAGCTACGGCTTTAGCTGGCTACGGCTCTGCTTTGGCTCTTCCACATTTTACAAAATGAAATTTGCATTTTAGTTGAATTTTGACTTCTTGGATCAAAAGGGTTAAGACGAATACCAAAAAATGTTCTAAAGTAAATAGCACAAAGTAGAACAAAATGTTCTTGTTAGAGATCTGTCTACCTTATTGAGAGTCAAAGAAATTCAGCAGCTGTTGGGATCAACACTATGTTTCACCTTGGGGGGGGTGCCTGTCTTATAGGGGAGCCAGGCTGTATCTCTCAATAATTCAATCTTCACATTGTGTTTAATCCAGCAGTAAAAGTGAAAGGAAAATCTTGGGGTACATCAATATTTATTATTCTGGTCTGAATTATCAGGATTTTTGAAAAACCAAGGGTTTGAGAAATTGGGACTCTGATGTAGATGATATTTATGCCTGCAACAGGGGATAAAGTTATAGCAGCAACCTTTTATGGTATAAAGTGTAACCAAGTGTTAAGGTTTCAGAATTCAACAAAATAATATGCTACACACCAGGTACTTTAAAGGCAAGAACATCCTCTAACTTTCCAGCCTGAGATAAGAAAACAGATACAGTGTAAATGTTTACTATTTTTTAACATGCTGTGCACAACCACAGATGAGCTGAAAAAATACCCATACTTTGAATAATTTTAGATTTTAGGAAAAACATTAATTTAAGTTTGTTCCATTGTAGTACAAAAATGTTGAATATTATTAACATGTGATGAGCAGTATCGAAGGCGATTATTTCATACATGACAACACACAACTGGATGACTTGTGCCCAGACATAAAAAAACTTTCCACCAACTACAAGCATAAGGCATCATAAAAAAAGCTTTCGTGTCCAGAAGAAATCGCCATACCAGAAAAGTTGGACTGACAAGTATTACCATACAAAAGTTGCTCACGAAGTAATGATATCATTATAACAAAATTTCACTTGTGGTACTTGATCAAATTATAAATGCAACTAATGTTCTTACACTTGCTGCTGTGTGTGCCAATGTGTGAGATCGCAGAGCATATTCATCCTGTGTAGGCATAAATGACAACATGTAAGCCATCGTTGCAAGAACTAAACCTCAACAATATTGAATAGCTCTGGGCAAGAAAAATATAGGAGTCTTAACAAAGAGTTTTCAAACAAGTTGACAAAACTAATAATGTAAGATGGTATATTTTAATTTAAGTTGCTTAGTGAAGAAATGAGCAGGATCAAATGCCTGTCATCCGTATGTCACACACTGCTCAGAAGAACAAACTGAGTCCTTATGGGACTACACAGGTGTACTGTCTGAGAGACTAGGCTCATCAGGGCTTGAAAAAAACTTGAATTTACGCTTCTCCTGTGGGCAAGCAGCTCTTACATTTTGCTTGCCGGGGCCTGACTTATTGCCCCTCTTTGTTAATGATTTAGTTAGAGGATAGTGTACCTGGACCCTTGCCTATTGGGAAAGTATGCTTTCAAAGTTACATGACAAGCTAGAGAATCTTCTTGTCCTGGACGACCCAACAGGAATTTTTTTCAAGCCCTGGGTCATAGTTTATACGCTACTATGATACACAACAAACTTTTCTTTTTCTCCTTTGAGTGGGAAAGATGAAGTGAACCCTCTGTTCTGATTGGCAAACCAAGTGGGCCAGATAGGTCTTACATCTTGCCCACTTGGTATTTGCTGCTTCAGTCCCGCTAGAAAAAATGTTTTCTTGACCATACAAAAAATCTTTTATTGGCCACGATTGTTTGGAAAAATGGCTGGATAATGGCCTTTGTCTTTTTCGGCATTTTTATGACTAAAAATTGCGACTTATCTTGGTCCAAAAATCCAGCATTTTTCTGCACAGTTAAGGCTTTTTTCCACACAATGACTCACTAATTAATTTTTTCTTCACCTTGTTATATGCCCTGACTTTATAAGACACAAAACTTCATATAAAACATTAAAGAAGACAATGATGTGGATTGACAATTACCTGCTCCTGTCTAGAGACACCAAATGCTGCAGCCAATCTAGAAAGGAATACAGGTTCGTTAGGTTATTGTTTATCCAAAAATTATTCATGTTTCATTAAAATATAATCATGCTCTTCACCTATCACCACTATGTCCCATGGTTTCACCAGTAGAAAACTCTGCAACAGCAGGTAACTGTAAACCAATAACAGAATGAAATTTAATGAAGCCTTGTTACAGTTGAGGAGACCACACCTTAATTAACCATGTACTTTTCCTAACTGAAAAACATGTAGGCCATGAGAATAAATTGCATGATCCCTACAGAACTTCAAGAGTGGTTTTATGTGAGTAGGGTGGAGTTTTCATAAGGACCAAACTATCTAAGGCATAAATTCTGTTTAGTTCATTTGGATGAAAGCCTCCATTTCATATTATCTCGGTGGCCACGTAAAACCAGTGATTTAATGTCTTTATTTCTAAACATATTCTCTACAAGTCAGTGCTATAATCTTGGAAACATAAGTCAAATTGCCTGACCCTGACAGGATAACCCTTAACTCTGTAGATGAAATCCTCTACTGTAACCTTACAAAATTAATGAAAGTTATTCAAAAGGACGTTCTTGAGGTTCTCTTTAGTATCGTTTTATAAATTGAGAACAAAGTAACAGTATGTACAGTGACTGTTCTTCACAAGTTTTTGTGCACACCCTAAAATATTATAATTGCAAACAACCCCATTACTACCGGTAATTTGAGTCTATGTCAATCATGGAAAATTTTGAAAGAAATATTTTTTATTGGTATTGGGGTAGATAAGATGTAGATGAGCTTTTAACTGAAAGCCATCTTGTAATACTTTCTGCTAAAAAAGTGTACTGTGTGAAACTACCTCTAGCGAAGGTGCTTATATGTAGCAAGATTAAACTGTGCAATGGTGTCATACCTCAGGATTCAGGAAGCTCGGCCTGATCTTTGCTAGAAGTCCAAGTCTTGCACCAAGTGTTTTGGCCTAAAAAGATTATAAATTATTTTAAGTAAAGTTAAATTTTCCTTCAATTTTCAGTGAGTTATAAGGAAAGTTGACAAAGTTGGGTTGAATTTGGCCATTTAAAAGAAAACCTTTTTAGTGATACTTTAGCATAGTGCAAAAAAATTAATCGTTTTGCATATAGATGAAATATGTCAAATTATACCAGGAACTATTTCTTGTCAGGATTTCAAAATTACAACTAAGTTGATGGTAATATGCATGGCGAAGACTTAAGACTTAAACTTTACATAGGTTAGGAGTAATGTATCAAACAAAAAGAGGGGTGATTCATCACACACACACACAATGAACAAAGCATATAATTATAAGTTTTTGAAAGGTGTCTTCAAGGTATTTGAGTAGTACATAAATCACTCCCTTCTATATTAAAAACTCTAAAATGATCAACAACTAGTCAAAACTCTTCCAGAGTTAATTTTTTTTTTTGACTCCCACTCATGAATAATATCAATGAAATCAGGAAAGGATTTTCATTCTTCTAAATCTTGATTTTGATTCTTGTTTTTTAATACTTTGTAACTGTGTAGTGTACCTTGTTTAGGGAAAGTAAAGTTTTTCTCAGAGGTCGACTGAGTCTGATTGGAACATCAGACATAAACTCCACTCCTCCAGCAACAACTGTATCACACTGACCACTAGCAATGAGCCCAACAGCTGTAAAATAAATAAAAACAAATAAAATAAATAAGGCAAAAACAAATGGTTGGTAAATTAAACAAGTACTAAAACTAATAAGAGACTTCCCAGAAGATGGAGTTTTCTTCAAAGTATTTTACAGGAACCTTGCTTTGTTACATCTTCGCGTTGTGTTATTACCATTTATTGTTTTGTTGCAAAATAAACATACTACACTTTGTTGCTGAAAATGTTGAAAATTTAATAAGTGCCCAGCCTCGAATAAGCGCCCACCTCGAAGTAGCACCCACTCTCAAGGTCCAAAAATTTAATAAGCGCCCAGGGCGGTTAATCGAATAAATACGGTAAGGAACAAATTTACCTGCAACAAATCCATGTCCCAGCAATCACATCATGGGTAAGTAAAATATGATTCCCCCGGTGAAAGTAGTGTTGAGTAGGACTGTTGCTGACAGTGACTGATGTTTCGACAACCTTTGTGGTAGTCATCTTCAGAGTCAGAGTGAGTTTTATCACATCAGTCGATGGTAACCAGAGTTTACTACAATCAGCTTGTAAGATACAACACACTTTGTCTCAAAAGATGACTGCCACAGTGGTTGTGAAATGTCAACTAGTGTTAACAACCGACCAATTCAGGATGCCACTCTCCTGGACAACCACATTCCACTATGTGAATCCTTGGTTCAAACCATTTAGTAAGATCAAGTAAAGTTGAACTGACTACATTTCTTTTATCTTTTATTTTTTTAGTTAAGTCAAGGGGTGTAATGAACCTTTTTGCCTGCTACATACCTGAGGTGATTGCTTGATTGGATGAAATGCAAGCCATAGTAACAGTATGGCAGGGAATCTTGTCTGAGAAGCCAGCACTAAGAGCAGCCTAAGGAAAACAATGTACAAGTTTCATCTTAAAATTCAACGAGTTAGGCAAAGAGATGTGTATTGTACAGTGTGGTTCTAAATCTGCGGGCTATACGGACCATGACGTCCAGTAGTGTGACCATTCAAATGAAACCTCTCTGAAATTACGTTTTTATTGTGAAATATTTGTTTGCACATTTTATCATAACTATAACAAAATTGTCCAAGGTGAATGGCTATCAGTAAACCTAATTTCAGCATTGATAGGTCAATACAATAGGGAAGTTTGTGTCACCCCTATAGATGGAGGTAACTAAACAGTATACAAAAAAGAAACTTAGGTTTTAAAAGGCTTGGTTTTGAAGTGATCAAAATAATAATCTATGTGTTGTTTAAACCTGTATCAAATCAGACTCATAATTTAATACGTCAGACTCTCACTGTGTAGATGTTAAATTTGTTTAACCACTTTGTACTAGACAATGCTGCTGGACTCGTTCCTATCCAATTACTATTCATTACTTTAACGTATGTTATGGATGCGATTTTTTTTACCTCTCTGGCGATGTTGCTAGTTTTGACTTCTTGAATGACCGTACCAATAACAATATGATCTACAGCATCTACAAAACACATTTACATCATTAACAAAATCAAAACCTAGCCTCCACTTGACATTTCAGAGCCCCCCAAAATTGGCTTTAAAAGTAACCTTTCAAAAGAGTGAGTCATCAAAACACCTTGACTTACCTTTACTTATTCCTGTCCTTGAGACAAGGCCCCTAAAAATACAAACACAAAGTAAATCAAGCTTTTGCAGCTACTCAGCAAACATGCTAGTAAAATACTTTGTACTCAGAATATTTATTAGTCAAGCCAGGAGAGGGAGAAAAATGACAGAGACAAATTGAGCCCTCAGAAGGTAATAAAAAAAATTATCATTATAGCTATATAAATAATTTATAAATAACGATAATGATAATGATAATGATAAATGGAACTCTTTCGTACCCAAGGTCAATGATTTGGACCTGGTGCTTCAGCAGTGTTCTCCCCAAATTTTAGCTCAGCAGGTAAGCAACCATTCATGGTCAGTAAGGCAAAAAATATGCCCCAGAGGTGCACTTCCCAGAGGGGAGAGGGGTAGTGGAGTGAGGGACATGGCCCCACCCTAGGAGGAGAAAAGTTCTTTGAATTGTCATTCCCTCATTTTAAGACCTATCTGACGCAAATCGGCCGTTGTTATCTTTAGACAACAATTATTTAAAATGTTTGATCTCAATCATTTTACTCTGTCTTCAGTGTTCTCTTTCTAAAATGCATGGCCCATAAAAAGGAAAGCTGTGTACTTTGCTATACATTCATTCATTTGAACCTGTGATTGGATTGGATCGGATCACAACTTGCATATTTTTTAAAACTACTTATTCAACTCTAGCAAACCTTCAAGAGGTTGCAGGCGGTAAGAAGTGTTCCTTCAGGCGGTAAATTTTACCGGTTACTGCCTGATAAGGAGAACACTGTTCAGGGATTAAACAAGCAAGCCAAGGATTATAAATGACAATAACAATAACAATATCAATGAAAACCACACAGAAAACTTTCTCTTCATTGTCAACACTCACTCTAACGCTCCTCTTTGCACATCATGAGGTAACAGGTTAGCATAGCTGACAATTGACAGAATAAACAAATTAAAAATAAGCTACATTTATTTTAATAAAAGATTCATACATGTAAAAGTTAAATCTAACTGGTCCAATGAACATTACAATAAAGTTCACATAAAATAATGCACACTCTGATTGGCTGAAAAGCATGCTTGATGAGAACATAAAAAACAGAGCTAAAGCTGTCATGCCATCTGCCGATAGTTTGCTTTGAAATTAAGAAAATAATGCATAGGGAATTAAATGGATTCCTTATTATAAATCAAATAAAGAAGCCTTGACTGAGCTCTGTTCTGTTGTAAAGAACTTATAGCTGTAGGAAGCACTCAAAAGTTACAGACACAAAAAATGAACTTTGATAAACTGTTAGACTAACAAGTTTTCAAATACCTCAATTTCAATCTTTTTCAAGTTTGTCCATCCATGCCTGCTTTTGTATTTTCTGTGTCATTTATACCTTTTTTAGAGTTTTGAGCTGTTATTTTAATGTTTCATTCAATTTGGTGGTGGTTCCCACTGATCAATTTTGTGACGCAGTTCCTTTAATTCTCCCCAGCCCTTAATATTATAATAAAATTGTCAGTGTTTCATTTTCTGGAAGGCTAAAAATGATGAGGAACTTTATCTTACATCTAAATCAAATTTTATGCACATTTTATGAAAAACTCTTGCATTTTTGTTCCTTTTTTCAATGACAACTGACTTTCCTTACCTGGTTCCTGACATAAGAAATGGAGTCCGTACTCCTTCCACCAAAACAATGTTTCTTCCTGTTCTACCTGAAGCTTTGGCACCTATAAATACATTAAGGAAGAGGACTTAAGAATGAGCCATACATCAACATGACTTGAGTGGGATTTCATCCAGCAGTTCCAAATTATTATCATTGTTTGAGTTTACTGTGATTGTTTCCATGCTGCCAGCAAGGCATAGGAATCAAAGTTATATCACCTGGAGGTTTCAAAGGGTGGGGTGGGGGTGGGGTTGGGGGATTAGCTATTATACACAAGTGAAAATAATAACACACCTAGTAATTGTTGAAACCCCTGCTATGCTTTATTAGTCAAAAAAAATTCCCATCTGGTACACTTAACAAAGATTTAGAATGCTGGTTTTAACCTTGATCTTTGTCAGTGAAGAAAATGTAGACAGGTACGTTATTTTTTCTCGTTTGAAATACACTGAAATTTCGTCTATGCTTTAGACTTATTCTGGTACATGCATTTTGAAATGCAAATAAATTCAGGTTTATGCACTTTCAGACAAGATAACCGTAGAAGTTTAAAAATGTGATAATTCAACACGCTTACAACAGCTAAAAATTCTATATTACAGATGTTTAAGCAAGTCTAGATCTCTCTACCTTTAGGGGTGTTTCGCGTTTGAGAGGTACTTGCACATCTGAGGAACACTGCATGACAAAATAAAAAATATTAAAGTCAACAAGATCGCGGCCACTAAAGAAGAAAAGTTGCGTGAATTTCAGAAAGCTTCTCTTGGACTTTGATCCTTGCAATAATGCAACGTAACGTGAAATGTACATTACTATTAATCGTAATGTTCCTGAATAGAACATATTAACATAAATTGCATTTAAAAGAAACATGTGCTAAGTGGGAGAAATCTTACCATTGTTCACGTTTTTAGCCTTACAGCTTCTGGCAAAAGTTCTCAGAACTTTACCACCACAATACACGCTGGCCGCCATGATGTGGTGGGAAGTGGGGAAATGAATGTAACCGCGCCTTCAATATTCGATTGTTTACGAATGGCTTACGATCAACAAGGTCAATCAAGGTGAAAAGGCACGAAACGTCACGAAAATAGGCAAGAGCCCTCGGGTACTTCCGAAGATGTGAAATTATGGTCTGCGAATACCATGTGCGCAGTCCCGCGAACTCCGCGAGTTTGGCGGCGCTTTACCTCGATCGCGGATCAACTAGTCATTTGCGAGCTCACTGCGGCCACGATATGATCTTCCTGGCGACAAGAGTATAAGTGAAAGACTTTCATTTTTGTCGTTTTAAGTCATGGCGATGCATGTGAAGTTCCCTTTTGGGAAATTAGTGAGTGTGCTAGTGACGCACGTGGAGGCTTCGACGGGGGATTTCTTCGTTCAAATCAACGATGAGGCGGGAAAGTTGGATGCACTTATGGTTGAAATCGAACAAAATGTTTTATCGGGAAGAGCGAAACCAACCACAGCTTCCGAAATCATGTTAGGGCGTATTTATGTTGTACAGTATCTACAAGACAGTCGATGGTACCGTGCTCGAGTGTTAGGTGTGAACGTGGCCGAACAGCAATGCGAAGTCTTTTTCATAGATTACGGAAACACTGAATTTGTGTCTCTTAGCTGTATTAGAAATGCTGAAGAGAAGTTTTGCGAACTGCCACCGCAATGTTTTGAATGTGAATTGGAAGGTTTTGATCGATTTCGCGGCGATCGTTTCGATGAGATGTTGACGCTGTTAAATGACACCATACTAGAACAAGAACTATACTGCAAAGCTATTCATCTGAAGAAAAACTGTGTTCTAGTCGCTCAGTTGTTTGTTGACGATAAAGGCACCCAGTCTGTCTTAGATGTGATGCAAAATGGTGGAGCTGGTACTACCGAAGACGCTCTGAGCAATGGAGATGTCACAATGGCTAGACAGCCAAGTTTCAAAAGAGAAGTGAAATACAAGGTTGTCACTCTTCCACAAGATTCCTTTCATGACCTCAGTGTCACATGGGTTGAGGATCCGTCTCATTTTTGGTGCCAGTTATTGTCCAATGCTGAAACACTGGAGCAGTTAATGGAGAGGATTGCTGATGTCTATGCAAACCTTGATCCGTCTATGTTACCTCTTCAGTCATGCACTGTAGGTCATCCTTGCTGTGCAAAATTCTACGAGGATGATGCTTGGTACAGAGGGATAATTACTAACGTGAGTTCAATTGTGACTGGGCAGATAGAAGTCAGATTTGTTGATTACGGCAATACCCAAAACACAGAGTTGTCAGATGTTAGAGACTTGAAGGATGAATTTCTTAAGGAACCATGCCAAGCTTTGTACTTCGCCATTGCAGGAGTTGACCCTGCAAGTAAAGATGGACTGTGGGCTGATGAGGCCAAGGCACTATTTGAGAAGCTAATCAATTATAAACATGTTGTGGGGCTCGTAACCAGCGTGGAGAGTGATGGACGACATAGAGTTAAACTCATGGATACAACTTCTGATCTTGATATGGAGCTCAACCAGATTCTTATAGCTGCTAATTATGGTGTCAAGTCTGCTGACCCCACTACATCCAGGACTTTCACTGCGCCCACAACTGCTTTCAAACCATCTGATCCAGCTTCAAAACCAGCTCCTCGGGCTGTGTTTTCGAAAGAGAAGATCCAGATCGGTGTAGAAGAGAAGGTTTTAGTCACAAACATCATCACCCCTGGAAAGTTCTACTGCCAGCTGTTTAGGAATGGACCCAGACTTGAGAACTTGATGATGGAGGTTGCACGCCATTATACCAAACTTGGTGCAAATGAGGAGCTGCTGTCATCACCATCCCCTGGCGATCCATGTTGCGCTCAATTCTCCGAGGATAACTGTTGGTATCGTGCTGTCGTGATAAGTACTGCTCCAAAAGGAATCACTGTGCTCTATATTGATTATGGGAACTCTGAGACTGTACCTGCTAGCAGGATCAAGAAGCTGATTCCCAAATTTTCTGAATTGCCGCAACAGGGCATAGAGTGTACTTTGAACCGGATCAAACCCAAGTTTACTGGAGGAGCAGGAGAGAGCAAGTGGAAGTCTGGTGATAGCCAAAAGTTCATGGACTTGGCTTTAGAAATGGAGGGCAAGATGACAGTCATCGCACAGGATGGGAGTGGAATATGCAGAGTGGAACTTGTCGTAAGAAACAGAAGAGAGGAACAAAACATCAGCGAGCAGCTTCTTATTGGAGGAAATGCTGAGCTAGCAGATGGAGCTCTTCCTGCTTCTGCAAACTTTAGCAACCTCAAGTCACAAACCTTTCCGGAGCCTGATCTGGAGGTTGGCCAGTTTGAAGATGTGATTGTTAGTTACATAGAACATCCTTGTGACTTTTGGTGTCAGCTACAAAAAACTGCTGAACAACTTGATTCACTGATGCACGAGATTTCAGAGCTGTATTCTTCTGGGGGACAAAGAAATTCAATCTCCAATCCAGCATGCGGTAAGTAATGTAGTGTTAAATTCTCTAATCCCCCCAGGGTTCGTTCAGGTCATGAAAAACCTGGAAAGTCATGGAATTTAATTTTCAATTCCTGTAGGACACGACATGATTCTGTTGGTGTGCGATGGCCAAAAAACTTTAAAAACTGTCACCAAAATTCTTGAGCGATTTCAAGAATCAGTGGTAACACGGAAACAAATTTTACCTCTGCAACCTGTAGACTGTTGCGTATAATTCGTTTTGTGAAGGACCGGTATTTACATATTTATGTAAAACGTGCTTTTAATAAAGTCGCTTTTTTACCACTGCACCACCTTGAAAACTACCTTTTTATCAAAAACTTTTGAAATAATAGCTTTGCTTGTAACTGCCTGCAGGTTTTGTTAACCATTTCAAGCTCAAATGAATTGTAGACCAATCAGCAGCGCTTCCAAACGCACTGTTGTATAACTTTTGGTTTCTTTTGGAGAAACAGATGTGCCAGTAAACTCTAATGGAAGAAAATCTACATCAGATGTTTAGAAACGCATAGTGCTGCTTTTAAAGTTTAAGCCAGTAAGTTTTTTGACGTACCCAAAAAGCTTTTCTGAAAGTGTAAAAAAGAGTATGCAAATACAGTGTTTGAGAAGTAGGTTTCAAATAATTACACGTTTGGACACTACTCAGATTTTTGATGTGCTGTCATGCAAAAAATTTTATTCAGCAAATGCATTGTTGTCCTTTTTTTTCCACTGTAATTTGTTAAATTCTAGACAACTTTGAAAGTTGCCGCTGTGGGTGAACGATAACTACTCACATCAAAAGATTCGGTTCTTCTCATGTTGGTTTGTTCATTCAAAAAATCAAGAAACTAGAAGTGGGTTTCATGTTTTTGTGAATGAAACCTCAGGATCAAATATCAATCGCTATCAAATTTGAAAACTCAGAAACTGCAATTAAACAGTGTGCTAATGATCATGACAAGCCCGTTTTCCTCAGTCTTTGAGGTAAAGCTATGCGAAATGTTTAGTTGGTTTCTCTCTGGACATGTGGTCAGTCATTTATGCCAATGTGCTTCAAGGATTCTCGAAATTATTCTGTAGTGCATGACGAGAATTGCATAGCGGGCAATGCGATTCTTGTGCTGCAGGAAATGAGACACAACTGGTAACTTACTTTTATTGTAACTGTAACCCCAGTTAGTAACGTCTGCAAAGCAGCAGGGATTTCCTTGCTCTCGGCCCCCAATGGACTCAACGAATTACCATTAATGCATTTCAAATTCCCCTTCAACCTGATTGCTGATTGTTCGCTTAAGGTGCAAATGGTTATTGTTAGTTTTCTCGAGAAATGAATCATTTCTTGAAATCCTTTTGAGAGTTGAATATCAAAAATGCTGATTTCTTGAAACTCAAGGCTCGATTTTTGCATTTTCAAACTTGATTCATTTGAGTTTTGATTAGTCTTCCTCCCACGTGTTAATTGTCTCATCACGTAATGCTGCTCAGCGTTGTGTGATGACACAAAAACGGTTGAGAGGGGGACTAAGTTTCAAGAAATGTAAATCAAGTTTCGGGGATCTGGTTGAGACTGTCAACTTACGATACAGACACTATCAATAAGGTCATCCTAGTTAACTAATTAAAACTAGGTTTAGGTACCCTAGCTCCAGGGTTCTGTTCTTGAAATACAATAAAGTAGAAAAAAAATTTACCTATAGCACCCTGGGGAAGGTTGAGGAAAAGAAATTTAAAAAAACAAAAACAACAAAAAACGGAGATTGACCACTGACATTGACATTCATGCTATGCTATTTGTGCCCCTATGAGTTAAATAAATAATAAATTTGATGCTTATGAATCAACCAATTACTGCACCATGTGTCATTGGCAAGAAGTTGCCATATTAATAAAGTTATTGATTTTTTTTTACTGGGCTCCTAACTTTTTATTTTAGGGGCCCAAAGGGCTCCTAGAAAATTTTCTTGGACAGCAGCCTTGCTTCCTCTGTGGGGGTGTGGATTTTTTCTGGAATAAACCAATGGTAAAAAAAATACCAAGATAAAAATTTAAGCAAATTTAAAAGAGAACGATAGGACAATAAACTTGTTCCTTTTTACTGTGATTTTTGCTTGATTAATTAACTAAAGACTGCTATCAGAATTTCTCAATATTAAATTTTGATCCAGACCAGTGATTCTCAATATTTACAGTCACTTACTCTCAATACCTGGAGTTTTTAATACAATAAACTAGTCAGACTACAACCTGTCATCTGTGACATTAATAGTTAATCAAAATTAATGGTATATTCTTGTATTCTAAGCAGAAGACATCATCTTGCATTGATTGGCTAGTTTTAAAACTTTGTTCTCTTTAGGTATGTTGTGTTGTGCACAGTTCACAGAAGATGACAAGTGGTACAGAGGGAAAATTACAGGTGTTCAAAAAGGAGGCCAAGTAGAAGTCCACTTTGTTGATTATGGAAACTATGAGTTGCTTCCAATGTCACGTGTCAAAAGGCTACAGGCTGAGTATTTACTCCTTCCACCCCAAGCAGTTAAGTGTGCTCTTTTGAAGATTGATCCCTTGAACAAAGATTTGCTGTCAGATGATGTCATGCATAGATTTGAAGAACTTACACTGGACAAAGAACTTGTAATGATGGCCGATAAACATGATAAAAGCAGTGGTACCTATGAAGTTGTTTTACTAGACACCACCGAGGGAAAGAATTTAGATGTTGCAAAAGAACTTCAAGCTCTCATGGGCCCCTCCATAAACCAAGGAGCAGCCAGTATTGTTGGTGTGGCAATCCAGCCTGGTATCACTGAACAAGTGTTTGTGTCCTCTGCTACTAACCCTTCAAAGTTTTCTTGTCAGTTAATGAAAACAGCTTCTTCTTTGGATGATCTAATGAATGAGATGTTTGACTATTATGAACAGTTGGGTCCGCAACAGGAGCAAATGTTTAAGCCATCAGTCGGTGAATTCTGTGCTGCCAAGTTTACACTGGATGATGGTTGGTATCGTGGTAAAGTGCTTAGTGCCCAAGGGGACAGCATATCAGTTCTGTACATAGATTATGGAAACTCTGAAACTCTTTCATTTTCAAGACTGAAGGCCTTAAACTCAAAGTTTCACAGCCTTCCTAGCCAAGCTATTGATTGTGCTTTATCTGGGAATTTTGGGGGCATCAGTGACACTCAATTCCAAGAGATTGTTTCTGAGAAAGAGTTCATAGCCAAATTTTTATCTATAGAAAGTGGGGTTGCAGCTGTAGATCTGGTATCAAAGGAAACAAGCCAGTCTGTTGCCAACATGCTTGGCACGGACTCAAAGTCCTCAGCGCCTTCAGCTTGTACGATTGCTTATTCAGACTGGAAGATTGGAGACACCCTTGACATTTATGTCCCGTTCGTTGAAAGTGCACAGAAATTCTTTTGCCAAGCTTCAAGTCATTCAAGCGAGCTTGACGATCTGATGAACAAACTTGAGGAATATTATAAAAGTAATTCAGAAAACCTCACGACAATCTCGAATGGTTCTTGCTGCGTTGCAATGTATAGTGATGGTGGATGGTACAGAGCAAAAGTGGAGCATGTTCAAGGTGGAGAGATCAAGGTTAACTATATTGATTATGGAGACAGTGCCATTGTTCCAATTAGCAGCATCAGAACTTTGATGCCTGAGTTTTCTAATTTGCCAGCACAAGCAGTGCAATGTTGCTTAAAAGGTTTCTTATTGAGAACAGGTCCCGAAAACTTCAAAGACCTTGTCCTTGAGCAAGAATTTAAGGCACAAGTTGTAAGTGCCAAGAGTAGTGGTATCTACGAAGTTGATTTAATACCACAAGATGGTTCTGCATCAATCAGTCAAGTGTTGTCCAAGGATTTTGAAACAGACTCTATATCATCCTTGAGCATTCCCAGCATTCAGTGGAAGCTTGGTGACAATGTAAATGTTTTTGTGTCGTTTGTAGAAAGCACACAAAAGTTTTTCTGCCAGGTCTCTGAATATGCAAGTGGTCTTGATGATCTTATGACTAAACTTGAGAAGCATTATGGTGCTAGTCAAGAAAATGTTCATTCAGTCACTGCTGGAATGTTTTGTGTTGCCCAGTATGAAGATGGCGGATGGTACCGGGCTCAAGTTTTGCACATTCAGGACAAAAGTGTCAACGTGTTTTACATTGATTATGGTGACACTGCTACCCTTCCTTTGAGCAGTTTAAGATCACTAATACCTGAATTCTCATCCTTGCCTGCCCAAGCTGTAAAGTGCTGCTTGAAGGGACATTCTACTAACCAAGGACCTGAAAACTTTAAGGATCTTGCCACTGACCAAGAATTTCAAGCACAAGTTGTTAGTGTGAAAGGGCAAGGTACTTATGAAGTGGATTTGGTTTCAAGTAACGATTCCACTTTCACAAGCAACAAGTTGTTGGAAGGAGCAGAAACTGCAGAAGTGTCATCTTGCAGAATTCCTAGCATTCAGTGGAAGCAAGGCGATCAAGTGGAAGTCTTTGTTCCATTTGTGGAAAGTGCACAGAAGTTCTTTTGCCAATCATCTCAGTCGTCAAGTGACCTAGATGATCTTATGATCAGGCTTGAAGAGTATTACACAACAAATAAGGAAGCAGTAACATCAATCAGCACCGGTGCTTTCTGTGTTGCTCAATATGAAGATGGTGGTTGGTACCGTGCACAGGTTACCCATGTCCAAGGGCAGAGCATCAGCGTCTTCTACATTGATTATGGTGATAGTGCAACACTTCCTTTGAGTAGTATTAGATCAATAAGGCCAGAATTCTCATCCTTACCTGCCCAAGCTGTAACGTGTTGTTTGAAGGGACATTTTCCCACTGAAGGGCCTCAAAACTTTAAAGATCTTGTCATTGAAAAAGAATTTCAAGCACACGTTGTTGGTGTGAAAGGGCAAGATACTTATGAAGTGGATTTGGTTCCAAAAGACGGTTCCACTTCCATAAGTACCAATAATTTGTCTGGAGGAACAGAAACAGCTGAGATGTCATCTTGCAGTGTTCCTAGCATTCAGTGGAAGCAAGGCGATCAAGTGGAAGTGTTTGTTCCATTTGTGGAAAGTGCACAGAAGTTCTTTTGCCAGTCATCTCAATCGTCAAGTGACCTAGAAAACCTTATGACCAAGCTTGAAGAGTATTACACAACAAATCAGGAAGCTTCAACATCAATCAGCACCGGTGCTTTCTGTGTTGCTCAATATGAAGATGGTGGTTGGTATCGTGCTCAGGTCACCCAAGTCCAAGGGCAAAGCATCAGTGTTTTCTACATTGATTATGGCGACAGTGCAACACTTCCTTTGAGTGGTATTAGATCAATAACGCCAGCATTCTGTTCTTTGCCTGCGCAAGCTGTTCACTGCTGCCTGAATGGTACACCAGAAAATTTAAAAGATGTTATTCTCGAACAAGAGTTTGTCCTTCATGTGGTCGGCAACAAACAACCTGGAATTTATGAAGTGGAGTTGACATCCAAGGATGGTTCTGTCTTGTTTGGTGATGCACCACCCAGTGAAATTAAAACCGGTATGTACAGGTAGTAGCTGAATTTAAGGGTGCATCCCATAGGAAATCTGGATTTAGATTTTGAAATTTGGATTTCAGATTTGAAATGTTTTTAATGTTTTACGGCAAATCCAAAATCCTGATTTCAATATCTAAGGCTAGATTTTCCAATCAAAAGCACCCCCCTGAGTATAGAGAGAAGTTGTTATATCTCATTACCATGTTAGCAAAATTTCTGAATCTCAGCAAATCATTTTCCAGCAAATATGGAAGAAAAAAAAAGTTGACAGGTACGACCTTTGGTCGTCTGCTTGATTGTTTTTTTTTTAGTCAGGAACAAAACAGTAGCCCATAGTTTTTTTGCATGGCTCTGCGTGCAAAGAAAGTAGTGTCCGATAGCCCAGGACTGGTGGATTTTGCTGTTGGGCTAGTGAATTCTGTTATTAACTCTTCCAACAGGCAAGCGGAATTTTTTGAGAAATTCAAATTACAGAAGAACTGCTAAATCAAGATCTGCTCATCAAAACGTTTTTGGGGCTAGTTGAAATGATGTTTGGGCTAGTAAATGTTAGCTTCAGCAAATGACTTTCTTTGCACCCTGATGGCTTGATAAGGCGAATAGCCATCTCTGTCAAGAAAGATTGCTGAGATCCAGAAATTTTGCTACCAGGTTAACATGACATAACAGTTCTCCTCTCTATTAGATATTAATTGTTTGTGAGTAACCGGATGCCTCTTGTCTTACCACCATCTATGTATTAACTGTAGGTGGTTATTTAAGGGAGGCAGAAGAAATGGATGCCTTTTAGCCCACCAGGGTTGTCCTTGACATGTGAACAAACCTGGGAAATGGAATCCAACATCTCATTCCAATGTCTCATTTTATTGACGTCAAGCTAGTATACAATACATGTATTATTATAGCTAGAAATAACGCAAGGGTAGATAGTGTGGTTATTGCAGATACTGATAGAAGGGTTCTGAGGATACATTTTAGAATTGCAAGGGTTTTGGAAAAGAAAGCAAAGTAGTATTGGAGAAGACCTCTGTTAAACTCATACATGTACAACAAAGTTGACCTAGGATTATAATGTGAGCAACTAAATCAATCACATAAGTTTTTCTTGGTTTTCAAAGCAAGTGCCTTCAAGTCAATTAAAATTATGAATGAAACTATATATGGCGTTACTATTTGAATAACCATACACTGCTTCATGTTGCATTTTTAAACATTTCTCAGCTTTTACGTGACATGTTCAAGGTTACAGTAGGTACTTGCTTATATTCGCCATACAGAGATAACTTCATGTGACTGGAACTGCATAACATACAATGCGCAACACAACATTTTTCACATTCTTATCAATCTTAGTGGAAGTCTTAGAACGGTTCACAGCCCCTGCGTACTAGATTTTGACCAACCTGATTTTGATCATGGCTCCTTGCTCGCCAACAATAAAATTAGAGTGGTTTTCTCTCTTAATATCTTTGTGTCAAATCTTAATTGACTCAAACATCAGTTGCATTGATCGGTCGTGCTTAAAAAATGCAAAAAAAAAACATACAGAGTTGACTCGAAAATTCCATGGAAAATCTTTATCCAACCACTAACCACTACCCACCTGCACTTCCTTTTGTCCAATCTTACAGTCCTACAAGTTTGCCCAGGACATTTTCCCAACTAAATGAAGACCAAATTCCCAGGAGAGAAAGCGAATTGTAAGGAGAAGGTATCTCCAAATCCTGGATCAAAAATCCTCCAGTGTCATGGTTGCAACAAGTCGATGCTTCTCATAAACTAGCCTTCTGCACATGTTCAAACTTTAGAAATTGATATTTAGCATCATGAGCAGAATGCAACATATTGCTTGAGTTGCAAACAGTGCTTTTGATTCTTTTCAGCAAGATAGTGACCACAAATGACTTGATTAAGTTCAAAAGATCTTTTTTGGCAAACGTTCAAGGGGCAAATGGGTTAACTGACTACTTGTTCTCTTTTCAAGATACATCCTTGCTAGATGAGATTACAGAAGGTTCATCCATCCAGTTCTGCCCTACTGCATGTGTTAGCCCACACCTATTTCACTGCCAGATTGCAACAGCTGATCATAAAGAGAGGTTGGAACAGCTGATGAACCAGTTACAGGACTGTTATGAAGTACTTGGAGTGCAGGAACAGGGAATCAGCAACCCCACCATTGGAATGAATTGTGCTGCAGTTTTTGCAGGTCAGATGTGAAAAACATGGTTTTGCATCATTTTTGTTTACAGGTTCTGTGTAGCACTGTGTACTTCTTAATACACTATTCATAAATTAGGCACCAATTAGACCAATAATATCGTGGATGCAAACTCGGGTAGAAAGGGCTTGATGCCAAATGTCTCAATGGATGCATTTCCATTAATTACAGCAGTAGTAAGGTAGCTTTTTGTCCTGTTTGCACATGTATGTTTCAGGTCTACTTCATTAGAGTGCAATCCAGTGATGAAAGAAAGGACTCCCTCTTCTGAGTTATTGTGAGGATATGTCCAAAACCGGAATCGATATAGAGATTCTGAGGAGGCACTCTAGAGTAAGATAATTGGCTGTTTCACCAGAGGTACATTGCAGCCCTTTTTCTCCCATTATAAACATTATTATTGACATGTAATGATCTTACAGCTTATCCAGGTTTAAGGCAACAGGAGTTTTCATTTAGCCAAGTAGACACCACTGTTAAGCAGACACCAACAAGTTAATATGGGTGTTACTGCAGGTGGGCTTGATGACCATGGCATTCTCTTTCAATTTCCAGGTGATGATTTGTGGTATAGAGGAACCATCGTTGAAGTGGTGGACCAACAGAAGGTGAAGGTGTCTTTTTCAGACTTTGGTAACATTGACACAGTGCCCCTGAGCAAATTGAAGACCATCAGCGCCGACTTGTTACAGCTGCCTCCTCAGGTGATCCAGTGTGGCATTTCCTCCATCAGTCCTGTTGGTGGTGCTGAGTGGTCTGATGATTCCATTGAAAGGTTCTGCAACCTCATCATGCACAAAAGGTTACTTGGCAAAGTTATCAAAAAAGGTAGTGTTCCCTATTTGTCATATGTAAACCCCTCTGGTCAAATTTATCTGTCTTCCTTCCAAGTTACATTCTATTGATTCCAGCCTTGAGATTTATATGTAAGTTTTCTATTAAATTGTTAAGCTTTCAAGACCCATTTGTGGAAATTACCTGCCAGTTCTCTTTTTGAGTCATCAAGACTTCTTTTAGAAACAAAAGATGGAAATTAGTGGTGATAACATTTTTTTGTTTGGCCTCATCATAACTAGTTTTGTTTCTGTTTTCATGCCAAAGCAAAGCTGTTTCAACACAAAAAACATACATTTGTGGGTTCACAGTTATTGATGTTTTCCCTTTTATATTTCTAAAACAGAAAGTGGCAACCTGGAAATTGAGCTTTTTCATACCTCTGATTCTTCTGAAGACATCAACATTGGTGAGCTGTTAGTGAAGGAAGGTTTAGCCAAACAATCATCATCAGCAATCAAATCCCTGTCTGACCTTAAAAAACCATGTGTTTCAAAAAATGAGAAAGTTTACATCACAGCTGTAGAATCACCAGAGAGTTTTTATTGCCAAATAAGTGGTTCTGAAGAAAAGCTTACTTCTCTGATGGGTAAGATCTCTGCCATTTACGATTCTATGCCTGCTGATGAGTTGAAGATAAACACCATCTCTGTGGGAGATGTTTGTTGTGCACAGTTTTCGGAGGACAACCAGTGGTACCGTGCTATTGTGGAGGATGTCAATGCTAGTGAATTGACTGTGAGATTCATAGATTATGGCAATTTGGAAACACTGAATATTGATAGGACAAAAGTGCTAAATGATGACTTCTTTGGTGATCCTCCCTTGGCAATCAAATGTTGTCTTTATAAGCTGCAACCGCCTGCTGGTCAGACGTGGGCTGATGAAGCAGGCACATTTCTTGAGGGGCTGGTCTCTGAGAAGGAGCTGGATGCCCAGTTCTTGTCGTTTACTGAGCCATTCAAGATTCAACTAAGAGATGGCACTACTGATGTTCAAGAGGAACTGGTCAAAGCAGGTTTAGCTGGGATAAAATCCACTGTTCCGGGCACAACAACAGCTGCTGAGTATATCAAGCCCGTTTTGAAAAGTGGTGAAACTTGTGGTGTATGTATCAGTCATATCTCTTCCCCTGGAGAGTTTTACTGCCAACTGGTCAACTTAAAAGAACAACTCGATGGAAGTAAGTGCTAGTCAAAGTTTGGTTTCTACATCTTCTTCCTGAAGGCCTTTCTTGCTCAAGCTTTTTGTCACAAAAAATTTTGTGAAGAGAACAAAACAGTGTGAGCATAGTTTTTTTTTTTAAAAAAAGAATGAATTTGTTCAACTGATCGGTTATTTTCTTACCATGTTGTTACTTGTCCTTATTGTTGTAGTGATGAATGACCTGAACAGCCACTACAGCCAGCTCTCCGAGACAGAAAGCTCTATTGATTCACCAGTGGTAGGACAGTCATGTGTAGCATTGTATGAAGGGATGTGGTACAGAGCTAATATTCTTGGCTTCTCTGAAAATGACTTTACAGTGCATTATGTGGATTATGGAAATGAAGAAACTTTGGAACATTCTGCAGTTAAACAGATTTCACCATTGTTTCTCAAGACAACTCAAGTTGCTGTCAAGTGCTCTTTGGATCCTAACAGAGGCCAGTGGTCGGAGAAAGCAACAGCCCTCTTTGAAGACTTAACAGGAGAGGATGAGCTGGTTATAAAGATTATTGGTCAGAAAGGTGACACATACCAGGTCAAAGTGTTTAGTAAGGATGAGCATTGTGTGAGCGAAGAAGTGTACAACACCTTTTCGGGAGAAGGTATGTTTCTGATCGACATCTTTTTTTTTACCATGCTTAACATAGAATTAATGAAAATCTTGAAAGCTGTTGTTGAATACCACATTCCTAAGACTAGTACTAACTTCTATTTAACCTAATCATCCCAGGGAATTGTGCTGAAAAATGCGTGTTGAAGCTAGTCGAGCAGTTTTCTAGTTACTGTCTGGCTATAAAGTTTAAAACTTACCTAAAAGTCGTTTAGGTGCAAAATGTCACCTTTTAAAGTCTGGGCAGGTGCAGAAAGCAAAATGTCAAGGTTTTAGGTTTAAAAGTTCAAGTCACGAGTTTTACCTTTCACTTTCCTTCTTCCCCTTTCCTTTCAGTATTCTCCCCCTGTAATTTTTTCTGGTTTGTTTGTTTGCCTTTGTCTAGTAGTCTTCATTTTGGTGAGAATAGATTTTGGGAAACCTTTTAGGATTGCGAGATGGGATGGAAGGAAGTGCAGGCTGGTAGGGGAACAACATTTTCATAAGAATTTTCTGGCCAACTTAACATGGTTTTGTCTTTTTCTCTGACCCTTGCTTATTTTCATATGGTTTGAAAGATCTCATCCCCTGAACAAGTTAGGTAACAAAGTTGTCCTTGACTGTGAAAGCTGATAACGTCAAATTGCGTGCAAGGATTGTAGTTCTGTATGGGCAGTTACGGGCAGCTCAGAGGCAAATGGAAATATATTTGATAAATTCTAAACTTTCCAGAGTGTTTCTCTCCTATATACTGTTGTATCAGGCATCAAATATGGAAAATATTGCTTGTACAATGCACCATTACGGTAATTATTTTTCTAGTGTAATTTTGCAGCGTTCCAGTAAATTAATTAAAGTTAATCCACAGTTAAATGATGAAACATTTTCATTTTATGTTACATTTGTCCCAACATAGTGTGACTAAAGAGGCAAACATTGTTGACTGAATACCACATGGTGTAAGCCCACATAAAGGGTTTTGTATATTACAGCAAAAAAATAATTCTATGTACTCTTTTTATGATCGCTTATTTTTTTCCTTTTTGAGCTTACTTTGTTACCAAAGCTGGCCAATTGATCAAATATTTCTTTTTGGCGCAAAATGCTGCATGAAATGGTTTGATCTAAATCATACATGGAAAGCCTTTCAAATGCCATGTTAACAGATATGGCTAAACCATTAAATGTTTTTCTGAGTCAGTGTTGGACTAAAATGTTTCTTCATTTAGCCGGTGCTTAAACATTGGCATTAAAAATCTCTCTTTTCATTGGCTCGTTACCTGAGGAGCAGCTTCCACTGTAGCTGTTTATCTAACCCTTGTACTAATGCGTTAAAATAATGTCCTACGTAATTTAACCCTTGGAAAGTTAAAATTGAAATAACTTGAGCTATCCTGGGTTTCCTGTTGTGTCATTGTTATTTTGAGATATTTTGTACAGCAGCCTTGTTACTTGCTTTTGGTAAAAAAATAGTTGTCAGTGTATGTAACTTCTTTGGATGTTATTCATAATTCACCATTTTTTATTCCTTGCCCTTGACTTCAGTTTTTGTTTCTCTTCTTTTTAATGTCTTGCTTAAGAAAGCAAAGAAATTTCTTAAATACATGTACATGTACCATTGCTGTGTTCTGTGTTGTTGTATGCTGACTCCTGAAGGTCTGCTCAAGGAACAATAATTGTGTGATGCGCTAAAGCTCTAACCAGTGAGATGCAGGGTGCCCTTCATAATTGCTTCCTAATTTATTTTTTATGGGAATAAAAGTCGAGAATAGCAGCCATTTTCTCTGTAGCACAATATACTTTGTTGTCACGTGAGCTGGTTTCCTCATTTTCAGATTGCCAGCATGCCACCCTAAACATATTCTCCATTGCCTCCAAACCATGTGATGTGACACGTGTTTTCCATAGCTTCAAAACTGTGAGATACACCTCACATGCTTTCAGTTGCCCCAAGTCATGTGATACACTTTATTAAAATGCGATTTCCAATTGCTTTATAAGTGAAGTGGAATTAACCCCAAGATTTTCTTTCCAGCCAAGACATAACTGAACCACTAGGGGGCACTGGTGCTGTTGCAGCGCACCCTTGCTTGACATACATTGCATTGATAGTTTTTACTTTCTGCGGTCATGTTCTCTTTAGTATTAATTTGCATTTGAGCGGTGTGATATCATTAAGAATGTCATAACTTCACTCTTTCGCAAATAATTAAAATCTTTTGTTTCCTGAGGCAGCAGTTTATAGAAAGGTTAAGTAGGTTGTGAAGTTTATGGAATTGTTGATTGAGGTAATTACTTTACCAGTAAGAAACGTAATAAAATAATTTAGGGTATCATTGAGCAATGCAGCTTAATACTAAAGTATACTTGTGTAAGTGCTACACTTTGTTCTTAAAGGAAAGGGTGCTTGGAGTTCAAAGTCAAGAGTCGGAGACCTGTGGGAACATGGCCTTGTCAGAAATCTACTGTTAAACATTCAGTGGGACTTCACTCTATCTGTAGTAGGGTTGTATTTATAGTAGGAGAATCAGACTTGAGTTGACTGAGACTCGTTTTCTTTATTTCCAACTCAGTTCAAGACTTGCAGCGACAAAAGCCAGTCTTCCCAGAGATGGCTGTGCACTCAGGCCTCACAGAAGACATATATGTTTCCTACGCTAAGAGTTCACAAGCATTTTATATCCAGCTGTCCAAGACATACGACCAACTTTTACATATGATGGCTGAACTTTCCAGAGTTAACTCCAGCCTCCCTGATGATGTGCATCCACCAGATCTTGATGTTGGTACACCCATTTGCGCTCTTTTTGCTGAGGATGAGGAATGGTACAGAGCAGTTATTGAAAGCATTCCCTCAGAGTTTGAAGTCGGAGTTCGCTTTGTTGATTATGGAAACAGTGATGTGGTTCTTCTGTCAGACGTCCGGCCATTGGACAAGAAGTTTTTAAATGTTCCAATGCAAGCAGTTCATTGCTGCCTTGATTCTCAAGTGGATGCCGACACTTTTCATCAACAAGTGGATGGTAGAGAACTAAAGGCAACGTTTATGTCACTGAAAGAAACAATGCAGTGGCAAGTTAGTTTATCAGATAAAGGAGGCAAATTAATTGGACCAAAGACGAAACCAAAGGTACAACATCCTTACAATGATGAAGGACCTATGCTAGAAGACAACTCAGACACATGTGAGATTAGAGAGTTCACTCAGCTGAAGATCAAGCCAAATGTGACAAACACCGTTTATGTGAGCCACGTGGTGAGCCCAGACGAATTTTACGTTCAGTTTGAATCTGCGCTCGACTCATTGTCAATCCTGAGTGAGAAGATGAGCACTTTTTACACTAAGATGCAGCCATCGGACTTCTTGTTGAATAATCCATGCACTGGGATGTCCTGCTGTGCACGCTTCAGTGAGGATGGCAACTGGTACAGAGGGAAAATTAGGGAAGTTGGTTCTCATGGGGCACTTGTCCAGTTTATTGATTATGGGAATTGCGAAGTTGTACCCTTCTACAACATTAAGGATACTAAAAAAGAATTTATGCAGTTGCCACAACAATCCACTCTTTGTGGGCTAGATGCAACCAAGGATGTGTGGTCTCCTGAAGAAGTGAATACTTTAAAGACAGTTGCTCTTGACAAGTGCTTCCAAGCCAAGTTCATCATCCGTGATGGTCCCAAATGGAGGGTGTGTCTGGAAAGCAGTGGAGTCTCTGTTCTGGACATGTTCATGGGAAAAGTTACTGAAGAGTCAAGTATACAAGTGGGAACCTACGCTCCGCAAAAGCTCTCCTCAAGTCAGGTCGAAGAGGTGTTTGTAAGCTATGTGACAGAGTCTGGTGACTTCTTTGTTCAGCTGTCCAAAACATCACCTGATCTACAGACCATTGAAATGCTGGTTAGTGAAACGTACGACCAAATGGGGCCTACTGAAGATGCCCTGGAAATGTGTTTTGTGGATTCCCCATGTTGTGCCAAGTTTAGTCAAGATTTCAAATGGTACAGGGCACTGGTCACAAGGATTTTTTCTGAGGCAGAAGTGGAAGTCCTTTTCGTTGATTATGGCAACACTGATACTCTTAAAGTGGAAGGTGTGAAGCAAATAAAATCTGAACTCTTGACATTCCAAGTGCAAGCAGTCAAGTGCCGCTTGGAGGGGTCCAAAGAGGTTTGGACCGATAGTGATGTTCAGCAGTTTGAAGCCAGTGTTATGGACAAGCCTTTGCATGTAACGTTTACAAGACAGCAAGGTGATACCTGGTTTGTAACCATACAAGAACTTGACTTGTTCAGTAGCAAAGTAACTCCAAAAGTGAAGTCTTTCTCTAAGGAGGAGTTTGATTGTAACAGTCGAGAAGATGCTTACTTTGTTTGTGCAGATTCCCCGGACTGTATTTGGCTGCAGCCAGCAAGAACAGGAGAGGCGTTAATTGCACTGATGGATCAGATTGCTAATGATGTGACAGGCCAACAAATGGACAAATCTCAGTTGTTGCCAGGAGTGCCTTGTCTAGGGCAATTTACAGATAATGATGTCTGGCACCGTGCACAAATTCTAGATCTACAAGGCAACTCCAGTGTGACTGTTTTCTATGTCGATTATGGAAATTCTGAGACCCTCACTGTGGATAGGCTTCATCCAATAAGCGACTCTCACCTAAAACTACCAGCACAAGCAATTCATTGTCGCTTGGCAGATTTAGAAGGAGTGGATCCCACCAAGGTCACAGAGTACTTGAATGAGGTTCTTTGCGAAAAAACTTTCAAAGTTGAAGTGCAGGAAGGGCATGCTGATGGCTCTTACACAGTTAAACTATACGAGGTTGGTTCTGAGCTGTCAGTTAATGAGCAGGTAGTAGGAGAATGTCTTGGGGATACATCTTTGATTGAAGAGGTTACACTGGAACAATTGACTCCACCACGTCCATCAGCACCTGGCGAAAAGAGATCATTTAAGCTTCCAGAAGTCAAGAAGGGAATCATGTTACCTGTTAGTTTTGTTTCTGCTTTCCTGCCTTCAAAATTGCAGTTGTTGCTCTCTGAAAGAATTGAAGAAAGAGACAAGATAACCAATCATGTGACTTCCATGTATGAGGCACTTGGTGAGGGCGAGCTCAAGCTTGAAAATCCAGAAGTTGGAGTTCTATGTTGCGTTCATTTTTCTCCTGAACAAGGTGAAGCTTCGAAGTGGTACAGAGGGGAAGTAATAAGTATTTCTGCTGATGACACTGCTACTGTGAAGCTAGTAGATTATGGAATTCATGAAAAGATCCCAATTTCAGAGCTACGGTTTTTGAAGAATGAACTCTTAGAAATGCCAGTTTTTATATTGGAAAGTAGTTTAGCAGGTATACGTCCAAGGTCTCATGATGGCCAGTGGTCGCCTGAGTGTTCAAGTGTTTTGGAGTCATTCTGTCGCTCTAAGGTGCTTACTGCAAACATTACAGAAGTATACAGGGACTTCGTAGAGTTGATCTTGACTAGTGATGATGGCAAAGTGGTGAATGAAAGTCTGGTTGACTTGGGATATGCAGAGGTATGCAACATCCAGGAAGATTTCTCTCTAGAGGAGCGACAAATCAAGTGGCCAGAATTGCAGGTTGAACAATGTTTAGATGTTTTTATGATGGCAGTAAAAGATTTACAATCAATACAACTGCAACTTGCTGACTCAGAGGCTGAGTTGACAAAAATGAGGGAACAGTTAACGGCAGTGTACTCGTTGTTAGGTGAAGCAGAAGAGGTTATTGGGAATCCAAGGGTGGGACAGGTTTGTTGTGCTCAATTTGCAGATGACGGAGAGTGGTATCGAGCTGTAATAACTTGTGTTTCAGATACTGGAGTCAAAGTTAAATTTTTGGATTATGGTAACATGGATGTGGCTTTGTCAATCAAGCAACTGAAGGAGGAGTTTTTTATTTTGCCAGTTCAGTGTTTTGAATGTAGTCTCGGTGGTATAATCCCAGCTCCTGAATACAGTGACACCGAAACTGCAGCAAAATTGCTTGAAATGTATGATGGCAAGCAACTCACGGCAGAAATCACCTTTGTCTCAGGAGATTCTGTGATGGTTAATTTATTCCATGATTCAGGAGAAACAAAACAGTCTGTTGCAGACACTCTTGTTAACCTGAGATATGCAGTGCCCCAGCTTAAATCTAGGGATGACGCGAAACGGGTTTCAGTGAGTGATGAGGGCAAAATAGTGTACAATTATCCAAATTATGGAGAAGTTCATACTGTGTGCTTGATATCAGTGACTTCACCGAGTGACTTTTGTTGCCAGCTAGAAAATTGTAAGACTGAGCTTAAGTCCATGTCAGAAAGGATTGAACTGTTTTATTATTCTCTGGGTGAAAATGACTTGAGGCTTCACTACCTTCAAGATGGAGATGTCTGCTGTGCAAAATTTGCTGAGGATGATAAGTGGTATAGGTCTCTTGTTGATAAAGTGTGCTCCGATGGCCAGGTCAGTGTGCGCTCAGTTGATTACTTTAAGCAAGAGACTCTTACTCTCGACAGGATCAAAAAACTTGAAGCAGCGTTTGCTGTACTTCCTGTTCAGGTTGTTAACTGCAGTCTTAGCAGTATTGAACCCCCTCACAAATATTATGGAGAGGAGTGGAGCAGTGAAGCTGTGGAACGTTTTAAAGAACTTGGCAAAGGAAAAGAACTTAAGATCAAAGTCAAAGGTCAAGAAGGTAATATCGTTTTGGTGGAGCTGCTGACTTCTACAGGTCTCTCTGTCGCTGATCAGCTGGTATCTGAGCAGCTGGCTGTAGAGAGGAAGTTACCTTTGACCGTGTCCCCTTTGAAAGGCACAGAAAAACAATTGAAATCTTTGTCAATAAGTCAAGTAGAGAAAGCCTTGGAGCAGAGTTCAGAAGAGGATGTCTTCCAGGAGGCTGAGTCCGGCATTGAAGGAGTACTGGAGTTATCAGAGGGGAAAGAAAGCAATGAGGAAGAAGAGGAAGAATTTCACGATAGCTCTGATCAGTTTACCAGTGAAGAGAAAAGTAAAAGTTCAGCTGTCCTGGAGAATGAAGAAGGAGACCTGCAGACAGCTGAGAGCTCTGTAGAAGAAAAATATGCTACCCCTCTGGAAGAGGCAGAGGTGCAAGGTACTGATAATCTGCAAAGTAGTGATGAGCAGCCAGCTGAGTCTTCGGGAGAGGTTATTGAAGAGAAGCCCGCTCTAACAGCAGATGAAGTGCAAGAAAGCAGTGTCAGAAAAGAAGCAAAGAGTGAGGCAGAAATTGTTCTTGGAGAACAAAAAGAAGCAGAAACAGAGGCTCAAAGCAGCGAGAAGATTAAAGTTTCGGAGCAGGTGGATTCTATGGGCAATGAAGAAGCACAAAATGTAATACCGTTTGCTGGGGAAGGATCCGAGAAAGATGACAAGGGTGAAAAAGAACTCAAGGTAGATAAGGCGAATGAAACTGCTGCTTCTCAGAATGAGGAAGAAGTTGGAAACACAAGGGATGTGGATTTGTCTGAGACAACTCAAGTTGAGGAGATAGAAACAAACAGTGAGCAGGAACATGTAACTTGCGCGGTCTCTGTAGATCAGAGCGAGGAAGATGTTGGCAAAGCAAGTAATGTGGATACCTATGAAACCACCATAGCTGAGCCACAAGAAACAAAGACTGAGCAAGAACATGTGACTAGTGCTGTCTCTGAGAAGCAGAGTGTGGAAGAGGTTGGTGAAACAAGTAATATGGATATTTGTGAAAGCTCTGTAGCTGAGCATGAAGAAACAAAGACTGAGCAAGAACATGTGACTAGTTCTGCCTCTGAAGAGAAAGAGGTTGGTGAAACAAGTAATATGGATATTTATGAAAACTCTGTAGCTGAGCATGAAGAAACAAAGATTGAGCACGAACATGTGACTAGTTCTGCCTCTGAAAAGCAGAGTGAGGAAGAGGTTGGTGAAAAAAGTAATATGGATAGCTGTGAAAGCTCTGTAGCTGAGCATGAAGAAACAAAGACTGAGCAGGGACATGTAACTAGTTTTGCCTCTGAAAAGCAGTGTGAGGAAGAGGTTGGTAAATCAAGTGATATGGATGTTTGTGAAAGCTCTATAGGTGAGCAGGTAAGAACCAGCATTCAGCAAGAAGAGATATCTGCTGCTGCCCCTGAAGAGCAGAGCAAGGAAGAGGTTGGTAGAGCGAGTAATAAGGATATCTGTAAAACTACCATAGCTGAGCAGGAACATGTAACTTGCGAGGCCTCTGAAGAGCAGAGCGAGGAAGAGGTTGGTAATTCAAGCAGTATATATACCCGTGAGACCACTGAAGCTGGGGGCTCAGAAACCAAGATTGAACAGGAGCTTGTATCTGCTGCTGCTTCTAATGAACAGGATGAGAAGGAATATCAAGGAGAGGGGGAAACGGACAGTCCTGAGACTGCACTTGGGCAGGTCAAAGCAGAGGCTGAGGGTCCTGTTAGTTTGGAAGAGAAGGGTGATGGATTGGGGACAGTACTTGCTGAAGATCAGGAGGGAGTAACTGAAGCATTCTCGGAAGAAGACTTGACAGGTAGAGTGTAGGCCTGGGACTGGGATCGAATGTTATTGTTAAAAACAAGCCACTCTTGAGGAAGTAATACGCATCCACCCATATTACATGGTGCTTCTCAGATGCGAGTGTTGTTTCTGATTGGTTATGATTAATTTTTTAAACGCATTAATTCTGACCAGTCAATGCACCACCCAAATCTGAATTGTGCTGTCTGGAGTTGACTAACTGTTTATTTTGGTTTGTTTCTTTGTTTGGTTTTTTCTTCTAAAAAACAGTGCAAGTTTGCTTTAGGCTTCAACAATACAGCAGCTTGTCAGCAAAAGCTAACTTGCTAGATAGTTTTACTGTTAAATGCAATTTAGCAGAGTTTGCAACCAATAGGACCTAAAATAAACTTGCATGGTCAGCAGAGTCAGGTTATGGACGTGCATCAGAACTCTGTTTTTGTTGTGCCCTGCATTTTTCAGACCTTGAGGTAATCTGGCATTGCAGCCTAGTCTAATGTACATTTCAATCCATGTGCAGAACAAAAGTGGTCACTACTAGTTTTCTTCCATGACAAGAGTCTGCTGTATTTGTTAGCGATTCAAAATCTACGTATGAATTACTTTGGGGAAAACATGACTGGACTGCTAAAAAACCTGCTGTTAACATCACGTTTTTTCTCCTTTTTTTAACCCTGTGTTAATGTTCAACTCCTCATCTCGTAATATTTTATGTACTAACAACTTCCTTTTCAGCAACACCACCGGAATTTTATGGAAACGTTTTGGTATTCTCTTTTATGGGTTGGGCTCTCCATTACTTCCACTGTGAAGAAGATACATGTATTCATGTCCATAACGTTTTCATAATGATATATGGAAATAGTTTAGGTAACCTTACAATCCACAGGTTGGCGAAAAACTGAGGCAGTCAAGTTTCTTAGGTAGTATTAGGGTAATAATAAACATGATTGTAATAAATTCCCAAGGCGCTGAAGAGCTGACGCAAGGGACGAACTTTGTACTCACAATGTTAATCTTCAAAGATAGAGAAAAATGTTTAGGAGCATTTTAATTTTTAGTGAATGAACAAGTTTTGTATCCCAACATTTTAGAAGTAAATAGATCATGTAATTTTAGTTGTTGTCTTCTAGCTAAGGCAATAGCCTGCCAGGAGGGGCCATTTTGTTTTGTATATAGAAAATGGTTTTGCTTGTTTGTTATCTAAGGGCATCTAGGAAAGTTATCACTGACATTATCATTATTATTGTTAGTAGTACATTTTTGTTAAGTGGTCTTTTGGTGGACAAAGACTATTCATTTATTCTGATATTAAAATTTATTGCTTGAGGCTGATCATGGTATTAAGGTCTAATTAAGCAGATCAATCTGACCAATAATGAAAAACATAATGGTTTATTAACTTAAATTTCACAAAAAGTCAGGTCGTTACTTGTTTTGAAATGTCATCTGTCAGATTAAGCTAATCAACAATGAGACATTTTATTTCGTTAATAATGGGTTAGGTCATGCCAGGTGTTATCAAACAGTTACTGTTAACAGAGGTGGCTCTTTCATGAGGAAGGAGAAAAGAAAATACATGGGGTCTACCCTGATATAAAGACAGTCACTTAATTGCTGTATCGTTTGCCTCACTGGCTGCCTTGTTTAGAATTCAAATGTTAAAATTTTAATGGTGAAAACTATGGAGACCTCTAGTTTGATTAGTTTCTCACTGTTATTACCTCTTTTTTTCAAACAGCTATCACAGGCAGCGCTGAAGATGGAACAGAAGCAACTGAGGAGAACAAAAGTGACGAAGAGCGGGTAAGTTCGGCCAGTCCTGCGTACATTCCACCTTCCAGCCCTGCAGTATTTATACAACCAGGTGGTGAGGTGCAGTTTACAAAGGATCAGTCTCCCGGAAAGGAAACTCAGGACAGCTGATGTAGAATAGGAAGTAGAATGACGTATGCTACAGCTTTAACCTCTTCATTTCCATAAGTTGCTAAAGTGCAAATTCGACTAACCTTTTAAACTTCATTTTGTTGAATGCTAAAAAAAGAACAAATAGTATCATGTAAAAAGGCAGCTAAAGAAAATTTGAATATCATTCAAACCGCCATTTTATTTTACTGTGGGTGGGAACAGGTTAAACGTTTTGTGAAGAATGATTAGGCAAGGAAGATGTGAATATCTTGTTAAATTTGCCGTAGATTCCAAAACGTTAAACAGAATAGTTTCCATGAAAAAAATTGGTCTAAAACAAGAGAGATAAAAGTGATTGCATAAAATGTAACAAGTAGAGTAGTGGAGAAAAATTTATTTGTAACAGACAGACAGTAAATCAGGCAGGATTGAGAGTATAAACATCCTTTGTCAAGTTTCACTCAGAAATATATTTTTTCAATACCAAAAACCTGAGTGAATGTCAGGTGAAATAAAAAATAGGAAAATCGCACTTAATTTAATTTTCAGGTTTTGACCAGAAGATGCAGATTATCTGCTTTGGTCAAGTTTTTCATGTTCGACCATGAAGAACATGTTGTCTGGGCTTAAAAGTTGACCTATGTCTCAATTATCGATATAGGCAACTGTTGTATAGTTTGGGGGACAATGAGTCAAAAGAAGAATGCGGCAGAGCACACGAAGTCTAACTACTTTAAAGCTTATCCATTCCATCAATGAAATCAAAATAATGTACCTGATAGGTTGGCATCTGTCTGTGTCCCTTTTTGTCATTTTGGAGTGACCTGTATCAGCGTAAAGACAGTTACTCGGTTTTATTTCATTATAGAGTGCAATCATTACCCTACTCTCCCAACGTGGAAGCAGGAGAGGGAAGGTTGAAATCTGACACTCATTCAGGGAGGATGTTAATTGTACAGTTATCTACATCAGATTCTCTGGTGATATAGTAATAACACTGGATACTCTAAATAAATAGATATCTCTAGTTTCCGATGCATTTGAAGCAATTGTATTTCAAAATTGAACAGAGAAACGGTATTTTGTCTGAGAAAAATCACTCTGTTGGGCAAATCATTTCGATTTGATGGATTGGAATGGATAAGCCATTAAACGCTTGGGCTCCCTCGATCAGAGTATCAGGGAGCTTAAAATAATCTTATAATTAACTTTTACTTGCTTCTGAACGGTAATGCACACGGACATGAGGATTTTAAAACACTGAGTGACATTAAAAGCTTAATATTTCAGGATCAAATTAAGAGTGATTCATTAAAACTTAGTTTGACGTGTAATATTTTACGTGAGTGTTTAGATAGTCGTAATGCTCTTAAAGTTTGAACTTGGAGAACAAAATTTCAAGATGAATGTGTTTACGGTTCTCTTAACTGTTGGGAAAGGTGTTTTGTTTCACAAGGTTCGAAGTGACCTTTCATTCAAAAAGTATAATTGATTAGTACAAATAAAAGTAGTGCAATTTGACATAATACTAATAGTTTCCTAGTGATAAATCATGTACACTACAGTATGCTGTGGCTAATGGCTTTTCATGTTATTTGAACATTTGCTTTTTCTAATTTGCCATGCTTAGCTGTAATAGTTGACGATAGAATAAAACAATAAAAGGTAAAATTAATGTACAACTAATTTTTGTTGGTTGGTTTTTGGTTGTATCCTAAAGCTAACTCCTGCTAGTCTTAATGTGGTTGCGTTATACTAATTCTGAGTAAGATCTTTTGTTCGAGGCCTCGTAGCGGAACGGAGAGCCTTTTCCTTACTTGACTGTCCTATGCAAGTACATTTGGAATTTGAAGTAATTTGTATGGTCAAGTAATGGCTGAGAAAGGCAAATGTCGCTAATCATTGCCCATTCATTTTAAAGAACTTTATACTTGTGCGTTAAATTCACAATAAAAAATATCTTGAAACATAGAGGCGTGCACCACCGGTATCCTGCAAATCCTTATAGTGAAGGGTTGTGTATTGTTTGCAGAGGTTCGAAGTTTTCAGTACAGTATTCTTTATAAAATTATGATATAATATTGAAATAACTACTGACAACTTATGAAAATTAAGTGTTTGTCTTGACCTTACAGCAGCGTGTGTCTCTTTGACCTTGCACATAGTTTTCTAAAATTAACCCAAACCTTTGTCTCTAGGGCTGCAACTATGTATCAAAATAATACCTTGACGAAACTCACAGTCGTATCAGAAAAGCCATTTTGATTTGGGGTCTACTCTTCACAAAAGGAAGCGTGGTTAACTGCAGTGTGTTCCCTTTCTACACTTTGTTGATAACCCTGCCACTAATTCTCTTCCATCCTTGAAATCATACACTCTATCCTCAAACTGCCCTGATGAATTGTACTTAACTTCTATCATTTTAATCGTGCTTTTTGTTTCCACAAACCACTTTGGTGAATTGTAATGTAATCCCAACCTTGCAGTCCTGCAACCAATCACTAGTCCATCCAAGTTACTGCAGACTTGCCCTTATCCCCAAACTACTACTTTGATTTCCTATCGTGCTTTCTCTTTCTTACAGTCATGTGAAATACTAAAATGACCTTAATAAACTCTACCACAGTCCCATCCTTTAAGTCATGCAATTTAAGCAAAGCTACCTTCATGAAATGTAAGGCAGTCCTGTCCTCACAATCTTACTATTTTCCGTCAAACAACCTGGTAAAATGTCTTTGGTCCCATCTTAAACTTTGTCTTGCATCTTTTCACCCTATATAATATGCAGTCCTAGCCTAACCTGACTCCTGCTCTTTATGACCAAACTACGTACTGTGATTAACCAAAATGCTGTCCTTCTTGCAATCCTACAATTTCTTATCAAACTACTTCGATGAACTGTGAGTAGTGAAGTTTGATTCTTCCAATCTTGTTAACAATCGTTTGAATAACTAATACAGTTCCATTCTTGTAATCGAGTGCTTATTCACTAAACTAAAATGAATTGTAGTGCACTGACATCTTGCAATCCTATAATTTCTCATCCAAACTACTTTGATCAACTGTAATTCAACCCTTTATGATCAAATTACTTTGAACAACTATTAGTCCCATTCTTGCAATTAAGGACTTATTCACCAAACTACTTGGATGAATTGTAGTGCACCGATATCTTGCAATCCCGCAATTTCTCACTTAAATACTTTGATGAACTGTCATGCCATCCCATCCCATTCTTGCAATCCTGCAATTTCTCATCGGACTTCTTTGATGAACTAGAAATGCTGGCAGATTCTCTTAATCCTGTAATTTATCATCAGACTGCTTTGATGTACTGTCATGTCACCCCATTCCTGCCATCCTGCAATGTCTCATTGAACAAATTTAATGAACTGTAATCCTATCCAATTCTTCTAGTCCTGTAATTTATCACCAAACTACGTTAAGGAACTGTTGTGTAATCACATTCTTACAATCCTGCAATTTCCCACTATATTATGCAGTCCTCTTTCTATCCTGCAATCTCTCACTCAACCTCTGATGAACTTAATTTGGTGCAGTCACATCCTTGCAAAACTGCAATTTCTCACTATTTCTACTTTGATAAAGTGTAATGCCATCCCATTCTTGTAACCCTGTAATTTTCATATTCAACTACTTTGATGAACTGTCAATAAGTCTGATTCTTTCAATCCTGTAATTTATCAACTACTTTGATCAACTGTAATGCAGTCCCATCTAATGCAATCAAGTACTTAATATTCACCAAACTACTGAAATGAGTTTTAGCGTACTGACACCCTCACAATCCTGCAATTTCTCACTAGGCTACTTTCATTAACTGTCATGCCATCCCATTCTTGCAATCCTGCAATTTCTCATCATCTGTTTTGATGAGCAGCAGCAGCTTTTTTGGATGGACCTTTATGCAGTCCCATGTTGCGGCTTGCACTTATTTATCAAACTACTGTTAATGAGTGAATTGTAGTACAGTCACATCCTGGCGATCCTGCTATTTCTAACTGAACATGTTTTGATAAACTGTATTGCCATCCAATTCTTTCAATCCTGTAATTCATCACCAAACTATTTTGATTAACTGTCAATCAATCAATCATGCAATTTGTCACTAATTTCTACCTTGATAAACTGTAATGCAGTCATATTCTTTCAATCTTGCAATTTCTCACTAAACCTCTGATGAACTGTGGTGCAGTCACATCCTTGCAACCCTACAATGTCCCACCAAACTACTTTGATGAACTGTAATATGGAGCCCTGATCTTGCAATCCTGCAATTTCTCACTAAATCACACAACTGTTATGCTGGCACATTTGTGCAGCCCTGCAATTTCCCACCAAACTACTTTTACACTTTTGTTATTTGTCACTTGCATATTTTGAGGGACTGTTATGAATTTCCGTTCATGAAATCCTGCAGTTTCTCACCACCCTACTTTGTTGAATGGTAATGCAGCCCCATCCTTTCAAAAATTTTGCACTTTTTCCCCAAAATGTTATGCAGTCTCCACTTTGTAGTTCTTTAATATCACTCCAAACTACTTTCAATTTATTGATGAATTATGATTAACTTTTGATCATAACACAACCTGAAAGACCATGTTTTTTTGGAACTTGTTCACAGAAGAAAGTCCAGACCTATATTAGCAGGCATTAACATAAACATAAACCATTTTGATACAGGCAGTTAATGTAGTGATGCCAAATATGAAGCTCGGATTTTGAAGACCCCAATAATTTTTTTTACCTTTCTACTGAAAAAACTGCACCACACTCCAAAACAAACAATATGTGACTACATACTGACAATACCTTTCACGAACATTGATATATGTTGAATTACACTTAAAAATTCAGATGAGTTAAGATGGTTCAAACATTGCATTTCACCTGGGCCAAATTTAATTGCTATAGTTATGGAGGGAAATCTTTTGACTGTTTTTCCCCGAAGTGCAATGTTTGAACCCAGCTTAAGGGAAAGTATTTGGTGACAAAAAAGAAAAGAAGAAACAAGTACACCTAATGGCATTTTATTTTTCATCTTCTCAAACAACAGTTCGAAGTAAATTTCTCTCTCTTTCTTCTCAAGTAGAAAGAAAATAATTATTTTAAAAAATGTGCATGAAGAATTCTATTTTGGTAACTTGGACAAATGTATTAATTCTTTCTGCAGCCACAACAACCAAACCTGCAAGAGACCAACAAACAAACTTCAGTCGAGGAAGAAACTGCTAGGGTCTTCCTTGATGAAATCTTGAGTGAAGTTTGTGGGGATGATGATAAGCCACAAAGGGAACAGTTAGGAAAAGAAGAAGGTAGGGTTAGACTCCTGCAAACATGACCTTACTTTTTTCAAAGAACATTTGAAAAATGTTTGGGTGTGTTAGTGGAGGAAATGTCACAACTTCCATATTTTATTTTGTTGTATTGCACTATCAATAATTATTACTTCCTGGGCTGTTAGATCATTGGCTTGTTACGAGTGCAGTTTTCAAATTTTGTCACTCTTATAGCTATAGAGGTAACTTTTGAGGCCATTCTGACAATCACAATAGTATTGTGATAGGTATGTGATTGCAGCAGTGAGTTAAGTGTTGTAGCCGTTCTGCCAGTTGTCAGAAGAAATCATCAATGGTGGAGGAATATAACAAGCTGCCATATCATCTTGAGCTCAGACAAGAGCAACATGTATTAATTACAACTGGGGCCTGTTTAGTTCCATCACAAATACTGGTGGTGGGAGGGTGGGGGTTTTCGGGGGATAAAAAAACAAATGACTGCTCATTTTATAGGAATATTATTTGTAACTACCTGTATCCGAAGCACCAGAAAGGTCAAACAACTTTCTAGTTTTGATCTAGAACATTATTTCTTTGTAGGTGCACAAAACACCACCACTGCAAATGACGAAAAACCAGCTGCTAAATTGGGGTCTGAAGCTGATCTGTGTGTTGATGTTGATGACAGTGTGTTGTCTGATGAGGCCTTAGAGAAACTGGATAAAGAGCTTGAAAAAGCAGGAAACAAACCTGAAGTCAGCTGCTCTGGTGCTGCTATATCTGTGAATGGTGTTGATCATGAATAACAAGGAACGTCATCAAGTGAGTATGGTCATTGTTGGACTCTAGCTTACTGACAACTATTGTGGAATTCAAGACAGTTTTTATGAGGTTTTCAGGGACTTGGCAGAAGTGGTAAAGTAAACCGTGGAAGAGAGTGCTATTGGGAGAAGGGGTAGGGTTGAGTTGTGTAGCTCCAAGAAAATTCCTAGTTATGCCCCTAAAGTGGTGGTTTATTGGATGCACGACCTCTGCTTAGTGTCAACCATTTGAACAGCGGGGTTCTCCAAAAAATGTAGAGTAGAGAGAGAGAAAAAATTAAAGCAGGCAACAGTAGCTTACTATTATGGGAGAGGTAAGCCTATCATGAAGCGTAGCCGCACATGGTGTACAGTGTAGGTATGCCTGGGGGTTGCCCCCCTACCCCTGGGAAAATGTTTACTCTAGGTGCTCTGAAAAGTGCATTTCTGTGCATATTGAGCGACCAGTTAAAGAAGTTTAGCCATGGAGGTCGCACCTTCATTTACCTACAGTACATTTGTTTTGAGCAATTACCTGGTGCTTCCGTGGCCACTATTTGGTGATTTTTGCTGGCTGCTGGAGTTTCTGGCGAACCCTGTTTAAAGGACTCCACCCTAAAGTGCCGACTCGCGGCAGATTTTTATTCTCTTGCCATTTTGACATTATTATTATTATTTTTTAATTTGCTGTAATTATGAAAATGTTTTTTAAAAAAGTTTTAGACATGCTTGCATATTTATTTGTTTACTTTTCATTTTAAAAATAATGAAATTAATTAGTTGGAGTATTTTGTATTTTAGTAGGAGCAAAGTGAAACAAATGCTTTGAGTGGCTGCTACAGGAAGTGATGTGCCTTGACGTTGAATGAGACTTTTCAACTGTTGAATGAAACCCAATATCTTCTGCTTCCATGCATCATCACAAGTAGGGCATAGTTTAACTGTTCAGTGACATCTCTTTTCTGTTTGCTACATTAAGCATTCATAATTTTAAAATTAAGGACAAGGGTGTAGGCTAATTACCTGACATACAAAAGAGTTCTTACCTTCTTCTTCTTGTCTTAAAGAGTCTGTTGTCAGCTAAGAGCAGTAATTTCCTAGTTAAGGGTTTTTGGGAGCTTAAGCAACTACAATAAGAAGGCAACAAAAGTCGATTGAGGAACATGTCAACTCTGCACATGCATTACATTTTTTGGTGCAATTCTTTGCTGTAACTGCACTCATATGCACAACATGAAACTTCTTAATTTCCCATTTTATGAATGATGTAAACACATGACTATGGATGTCTTTTTCTTCTTCTGAACCTAAAACTAACCTTTAGAATTCAACTCTAGCAAAATTCACCAACCTTTTTTGACAAATAGAAATTATTTTATGGAACAATTATGATTAAATTTGAAATGGCACAAATGCACTTTTAAGTGATGTTTTGGTTGCCATAATTGTTTTAGTTGCTTAACCCCCCGCAAAATTCGAAGCAGGCACTTTAGCACGTTGAAGTAAACCAGGAGAGATTGAGATACTAATCATAAGCATTTGAGAAAAATCCAGACAATTAAATTATTTGGTGCAGTTTGGGATCAGAAGTAGCTGCTTTCATTGTCACATCAGATTGGCCAGTCATCATTTTGGCTACAAAGTTAAGTGGATTGTCTTATCCTACAACCCTTGATACCCCTAAAACTCCAATATAAACAGGAAGAGGAATATTATTTGTACTCACCAGTTCGGATGTTATAAAAGATTATATATATTGTCTGTTAACTTGTGGATATAATTATAGTAAACCTGTGGTCAATTCAGTAAAACTTTACATGTGTAATTAGCTTTGTTGGTATAACACATTTGCAAGAGTAATCAACATTAGATTGTTAGTAGCTGGGTGTAGTTGGGTGATGTTTTCATTCAGTTTTTTGATTAACACAGATTAAAAGTAGAAGAGATTATTCATTATGATATGGTTGAAAACTGGAAATAATCTTCATCAATTTGGCACCAGGATTTTTCTGGGTGTTTCACATTTTGAAGATGTTTAGCTCCTTGAGTCTGGTTTCACAAAAGTCGTAGTCTTTTGGCATGAAGCCCTGATTAAAATCAAATCTAATGAATGTTAGTGTATGGTCTAGCCCAATAGATCTCTTTAGCTGGTATGTTTTGTAATTCTAGTGTAGTTCATAATTATGATGTGCTCAAGGGAGTTTGCCCTATGTTTTCTTGCACATCGATCTGTGTGTGAATAAGACAGAAACTGAAAGAAGCGTTAACTTTATTGTAAAAATTTACCGCCATTAAGAAAACAAAACATACAAGCTTGAGGTCTCTGAGCTTTTGGAGGTTTATAACTTGCTGTGCTAAATTAGACACCTTGAAAACATGGATCCTAAACATGAACATTGCAACCACAAAATTTATAGCTTTCACAAACTGAAATTTGAGTGCTCTTGGAAGTGGAAAAGTTAGGGAAAGAAGTTGGCAACAGTCATTGTACTTTAAGAGATGAATACCAATACTCCTATTCCTTTGATATTGTTGCATCTGTGGCATTATGTCCAGTAAATAATTATGTTGTGATATAAATATCAGGTTTGAACAGGCAAGAACAAGTGCCAAATTGCTCCCATGCCTCTGTGAATTTCAAGCAGTGTTTAAGACATGTGGAGATCAGCAGGTTAAGAGCGACTTTACACCCTGACTACAATTCTGAAATGTAAAGGGGCTCTAAATATTGTCACGCAGATGTCTTTGAACTCTGCAAAAGGGTGTTTTTAACTTGCTTAGCACAGTTTGGTTATAGCGAATAGGGGCAATAGACGCGTGACTCGTTTTTGAAGTTGTAAGGCTGTAGAGCTAAGCTAAAAAAGGTGTGTTTATGAATTGTGTTACTATAGCAACCTTTTTTCCCATCTCCAAAAATGACCATGACGTCTTCAGCAATGATTGAGTGTCCCACTAAATGATCATCAACACGTTACTGTTCCAACATAGGACTGCTGAAACCTTGGAAACACAGTTATGGGCAGCATGAGCTCTTAACACTCTAACACCAGCTTATTCTCCACACATTAATCCTGATACTGTTTTGGTACTTAATGAGGAAATGTGTTTCACAATCAAAACCTTTTGACTATCATTTCGTAGCTTCTCGTGAAAAGTAGTTTGATTAAGCACTATCAGAAACCCATAAGGGTTTATGAGTTTCTGGCAGTATCCAATCTGGTCACTCTTTGGGGTTAGAGGGTTAAGGTGTAACAGCAAGTCAAACAAACACCTTTTTTCCAGTTTTCATTTAGTGCAATAATTTATAGTGTCATTAAGAGGCAGATACAGAATTTATCTTTGTTGCTGTTTGAGGGAAGATTATTCTGTAAATATAATATTATTAGTCAGAAGAGGTTTGAAAAATTGTTAGTATTTGAATTGATTAAAGTTGTCTTTTTAATGTCAATGTGGTCTCAGAGTTGAGAATTTTAAAACTTAAGACGAATGCAAAACACAGTTCTTCAGTATATGCTACTTTGTAAAGAAAACATAACAGATAAAGAGATCAATGATTTCAAGGTTGAGAGAACAAGAACAAGAGCATACTTATGAATAATAGGTGGAACCTATTGGAAGGCTTAAGTTGACAGTTTTCATATTTTTTACCAAACCATATACATACCTGAGGGACAACATTCATGACGACATTTTGCATTTCTGTTTACTGACATTTACAAAACTTATAAAATTTAGGCAAATTAAATTTGAAGTGAATAATATTTGAAAAACAAAGTCACAGTCAACAAAAAATCAGACAATACTAGCATAGCAGATCAGAATATTTCTTACTTGCATGTTGTTCCAGCAAACTACTAACTTTTTTATCTGGCTCGATTTATTTTTTCTAGCCTCGAGCTATCTGGCTAGTTACCTACATTAGTTGCATTCATTTATAAAGGGGTTTGATGCAAAACATTGGATTTGACTACTTAACCAACCTGATCCCCAGGTTCTCTCTTCTTCCCACACACTTTTGGGGGAGAGAGGGACGCTGGTCCGAACTGGTTCCAACATGACTTTATGAATTTGGGAGATGATGACAGAGGAGGACTGAAGGAACAGGTGATTTACTCGGGTGGTTGAGTGTGAAAGTTTTCCCTGTTTTCATTTTCCGGCACTTTCATCATGGGGGCTTGTCTCAGTTCATTCAGATCATGTTGAGTTCCTGTCACTTTGGTTCGTGATTATAGTGAAATGAAGACTACTTTAAAAGTGAGATAGACTGAACCACCCCTATTTGGACAGGGACAAAAAAGAAGGAACAAAGGTTTTGGAGAAAGGGACCTCTCCCAGGGTTTTGCTTTGTCATCAAGCCATGCGACCAGCTCCAACCATGCAGGGTCTTTCTCAGAAACTCTGGACAGGAAGAAGAGAGAACATGGGGATGAGATTGTAGTTTGTTTTAAGGGGAAGGTGCTAACAAGGCAATGCTTACTGCTTCATATAGTCTATTTTGAAAAAAAATCAACCAAGAGGTTTACTTACGATAACAAGTCAAAATAGAGCTTGTTGGAGGAATTAACGTCTCTAGACAAAATTGTCATTTCTGTCAATAATGATGCATAAACCCTTACTTTTTAATTTTTACTGAGCCAACTCATCTTAGCAGAGCAATAGGCTCCTTTCAGGGTATAAATATTCAACTCCCTGGGCTTAGAGGATCCAAACAAAGAAAAATAATAATAATAACTTGTGGTTTGAAAGTAACCCATGAAGTTAAATTTGTAAAAACTGAGAGGACCCTGTTTCGAGTTACACCTTGCATGATTAAACAGTTACAAAAGTATATTTCAACTAGAAAAAATATTGAGTCTTCCAAAGATATAGCTGCAGTACAAGGCCTTTTCTCTTGCGGCGAATGATTTCATTCATAAAATGCTACAATTTGCATTATGTTCCAAATCTTTGAGACGGATAAATCCTACTTGTGTTCCAAACTGTGGACCATCTCGTCGATGTGAGAAGAACCTTTGCTCTGCGTCACACTTGGTGCACTGTGTTGGGTGTTGGGAGGTTGCTTTTTCGTCTGTGATACTGTAAAAAAAAGCAGTTGAAATAGTCACCTCAAGTAATGTAATCACATGGGGCTGAGAAGCAGGTAAACAGCTCTATGTGTGATTTGGTTACGGATGCCCCCCCCCCTCCCCTGGGGGTACTCAACAAAGTATTATACAGGGAAGTTACACCCTGAGGTCCAACCCCTTAACCTTCTATATAACATTTTTGACCGAAAAGGTGACCCTTTCATATACCTTCTATTGACAAATGGTACCCCTTGCACTTACCTAGTTTAGAACTTTGTATCCCTTTAAACTGCTGTTGATGCACTATCTTTAATGAATAAACCACACATCCAAAAGGTTTTTCTTTTTTACTTTTTCACAACCCATAAAATGCATCTGTCAGCCCTTTTGAGCCTTTTTAAACACTCAAATGACAGACTTCCCTACCCCATATACCTGAAAACTGAAAACGGTACCCCTTTTGGGTGGAGCCTCCCCACCTGGGTGCCTGCCCCCACCCCCGAAAAGGATGGTTACATGCTGAATCTTTTATAAATAAAACCACAAAGCTCTCATAAACATACTTCATTGGCCCTTGGAATCATACCTGCTATAATTATTCATTGTTTAAAGGATTTTATGTTTGGATTCATCTGTTGTTTCCTTTAACCCTTTAAGCCCAGGTACCAGGCACAAATTCTCCAAAACTGATCTCTATACATTTCCTTACAGAATTAGTAAAGAGAATTTGATAAAAGATCAGGGCATTTTCTTTTTGATGATCATTTTATTTGTTCTCATAACCTATCTCTTGACAGTGTATGGATATTGTTAGGAGAAAACTGATGTGGGTCACTAGTGCAACTTTAAGGGTTAAAAACTTGTTCTGATAGCTTTGTGGTACCCTTTACAAGGATGAAGAAATTCAAGGGTCACATAAGATGATAGCTGAGAGCCACTTCTGGCTGCTTCTTGAGATACAATTTGATTATATTGCATAATGGTGGCATATGACAAAATGTCTTACTTTTCTTAACTACCATGGAGGCACCAGGTACACGCAGTTGGTAGGTGGGGAATTGGCCAGTTATAGGGCTTTTCTTTTTTTTTTAAAGTAGCTGGGGGTCATGTTTGTTGTAGCCGGGGCAAATCCCTGGCCCCCAGCTCTGTCAGCTTTTAGTGTCAGGAAAGCCCTGCTAAATGTTAGGTTGTTTTCCTTGCAAAAAGAAAAACTCATAATTTTTCTCACCCTGTTCCATCATCAATATTTTTTGACATTACTCCTTTGTTCTCCAGCTGAAGTCTGATTGAAAGACGCAGATCAACAAAAGGGAGGGGCTGTCCCTCTCTTTTTACCACAACCTTCTCACCAAATGCCTTGGAAAACTTTTCAGCAACATCCTCACCAACCTCAAAGCAACAAGGGCCAATTGAGGGTCCAAGAGCAACTCGGATGTTCTTTACTTTGCACTCAAATCTCGTTAACATCACCTCAATTACAGCTGCACTTATCATTTCAAGAGTGCCACGCCATCCTGAATGAGCTGCAGCACAAACCTAATGGCAATAAAGTGGCTTATCAGTTTTGGTATCCATTAAATTAGCAATAAATTAAAATACAAACAAACAACACCAAAACAACTTAAGTTAGTCTTGCATACCTTTTTTACTGGATCACAAAACAAAACTGGTACACAGTCAGCACCCGGTGCTGCAATAGTCACATGACTGTTATCTGTAACAAGGGCATCATAGCTGTCTGGTTCCTGATCACCAACCACCCACACATTAGCTTCATGAACACACTTGGCTACACGGAATTTATCAGGGGCAAAGCGACATGTGAGGGCCAGCCTACGGCGATTTTCTTGGACATTCACGGACAGATCTCTCCTTTTGTCACTATGCACCAAGTTTAGAGACGACAAGGTCTCGTAAGTTGAAACGCCACCATGTCGCATTGTAAAGCCATGAGTAAATACGTCTGTTGGAATCAGGGATGATTGAAGAATTTCTATCATCTTGCCATCAGGGAGAGTGAGTTTTGGCATGATCATTTTGATGTGGTCGTCAATCAAAGGGAAATATTTTTCTTCTCTGCTTTCTCTCTTTTTCTTTTCATCATCATCCATTTCATGGGTGCAGTCATAAAATTTGACATTATAAACCTGCGGCGAGTACAACTGTGTAATATAAACGATGAAAGAAATAATATTATTGTTTGAGAAGTTGGCAGGGCATAAAATCAAATTAACAGCATTAAATTAAGTGCACTTATATTACTAGTTCTAACAAAGTCAGTATTTTTGGAGCAAATATTGCAACAATACATAAATTATTGATTCATTTAAAAATTTCACGTTTTGTTAAATATAACAAACTGCAAAGATGGAAGGCTGGGACAGCTACATTCACAGAACACAACAAAGAAAATTATAACTTTCCAAATTTTTCTTCGTAGTTTCACATTTTCTTCTTACTTTGCTTTTTGTTTAGTTTTCATTTCTACAGCTGTAGGGGACTAAAAAGTGGTCACTGCAAGTCTTGTACCGTATTTATTTGATTAACCGCCCTAGGCGCTTACTCAGGTTTTGGACCTTGAGAATGTGCGCTTATTAAAGTTTCACCATTTCAGCAAGTTTAGTATGTTTATTTGGCAACAAAAGGATAAACGGTAATATCAAAACACGAGGATATAACAAAGCAAGGTTTCTGTAAAATACTCTGAAGAAAAGTCCGTCTTTGGAGAAGTCTCTGGTTAGTACTAATATCCTATTGAATTACTTAGATTTAAGGAGTATTATGGGATGCCCAGGGGGCATGAGCACAATCCGACATACTCGTCCAGGATTTACGCGCCAGGATTTACAGGCCAATCTTTCTTTAAGTTTTTCTAGAAAAAGATTGTAATGGGAAAAAAAGATCGTTGTGCCGTGTTTGGATAAAATAATGATCACCTTTTTACTGAGAAATATAAAGTGAAATTTTCTCTTTGCGTGAAAAGTGTGTATAAATACTGAGCAAGTACCCCCTGGGCGTCCCATAATATTCCTTAAATCTAATAATTTGAAAATGGCTGCCATATCATTAAAAAGGTCTATTTCAACCTCATTGTCACTCAAGTCAAGTCAGTTCTCTGGCACTGCTTCCTCTATGTCCGACATCGTAATGTCAATTCTACTCTCACGCACTTAATTTTTTTTGGCTGGGAGGGGGAAGGGGAGTGGGGTGGTGGTGGGCGCTTATTTGAGTTTGAGTGGGTGGGGGAGGGGGTAGGAGCTTATTCAAGGCTGAGCGCTTATTAACCTTTTCTGCTTTTACGATGGGCGCTAATTCAAGGTTGGGCCCTTATTGTAATAAATACAGGTACTCACCTTCTCAAAAATATTTTTTGCCCGCTCCATATGAAACTGGGATGTTACAACATGAACATTTACTGCGTCATGGTCATCCACAATGATGCGACTGTAATAGGCATTTTCTGCAGTGGTGGTTGCCTGCTCCTCTTTGATAATGTGTTCTTTATCTATTAAGCTGTTTTCAGTTGCATATGTTTCCATTGCACTAGCCTCTGTTACAGTCTGTTGATTGATGTTAGATCAGTAGAGCATTTGAAAAATAAGAAGAAGTGGTGCAATTAAAGCTAACATGACCATAACTGCTGCTTATAAGCCCCTTCAAAGCCCTGCCCCAAGTTATAGGCCCCTCTAAATGTATTGAAATGAATTTGCATCTATGGCACCCTTCAAGCCCCTGATCAGTATCAAAAAATCAATGCTTTGTCTGGAGAGTTAAGACCCCCCACAAGATGAATTTTCTTGATATTTTATCAACTTCTCCCCACTACTTCTGTAGGAAATGAATAGGGCAACAAATGAGAATTCAAACTTTGATCTTAGGGTTTAAAGGGTTAAAAAAGTGAAGGCAAACGGTACTTTGATCAGCACTACTTTAGCTTGTTTTGTAGCACATTTTCTGTTTGGCTTATTAAAAACCCCCCTCTGATATAAGCCCCTCTGTTTATAATCCCTTCTTAACCCCTTACAAAAATGCATAAGCCCAGGGATAATTGTCAGCAGCAGTTTACAGTACCAATCCCCAAGATTAAAAAAATTTCAAATGAAGCACAGCAACAAAAACTTTACACTTGCAATAAGCATGAGGTGACATGTTTTTAATTAGCTGCAGCAATGGCATGAAATTTGGGCTCTCATGATTGCATTGCTCTGTATTTAATTCAGGTTTTTTGTATATCTTTTGCAGCATAATAATTACATAAACCAGCCTCCAATGTTGGGGGTAAAGAATGGTAAATGCAAGACCGAGACCGAGACTTAAAAAAATTTGAGCCTCTGAGACACAAAATCACCCAAAAATGAGTCTATGAGACCCATCGTAAATGCCTCCAAGATTTCAAGATCAGGCCTAAATTTTCTGAGACCCACATTTTTCAAGGAACAATTCTATACCCCTAATGAGGCCCTGCCAGGGTAAATTCCGACAAGTAACATGGCCCAAAAAGTAGCGACAGCATGTAAAAGGAAATCGCGACAAGAGACAACCTCCCTTGGCCGAATTGCGACAGTGACAGCAAAGCCGACAATAAGCAACAAGCATTTATAAACACCGACACGAGACATTTTAAAATTCGGATGGGCGACATGGGACCCCCCCTGGCAGAGCCTCCCTAATGTTACACGACTTCATCATGGAAAGTGCACCATGAGTTACAGGTGCCCATTACCTGTTCTGGCCGTTGATACCCAGTCATAATAACACGGCATTCAATGTTTTGTTCTTTTAATGATGTATATATCTGAGCTGCTTGATCTACTCGGGATTTCATCATATCACTGGAAGACCCCTCTCCATTTGTATGTGAGCCAAGTACAATGATCATGTCAATTGCATTTTCAGATTGTGCCATGTTCAGGCCTGTGAAAGGGATATAAAATGCATTATTATTGAGTTGCAACTGGACAGACTTTAAAAGACACATGAACACTGGAGAGCAAAGTATGCAAATTTACAAGGGGGAGTGCAACCTTAACTGATTTCAACAACACCATTAGCCTTCTCCCCTCTTATGCCAAATGAATTAAAATAAATCAGCCCTCGAAATCAGTAAAAATTACTTTTACTGTAAGTAAGGCAGTTTTAGAAATGCCCATACATGGAATATTAGGGTAGTCTAGCCTATGTTTGAATAATAGTCTTCTCACCTTTCCATCAAAAAATGTGTAAAAAAAAAAGTTGTGACTTTCCTGCACTTTTATATCTTATTTGGGGGGTGACCTGCAGGGTGCGTGGGGGGATAGGGACAGGCAGAGTTACAAAATAACAACTAAAAATTGTCACACATGCAAAGCACTCCCCCGTCTGTATGCAGAGGTATGTTGCTAAGAGCAAACAAGGTGGTGCTTAGCTAAGAACTACACAATTACCCTTCAATTAATAACTGTCAATGAAACACTTAAGGGGAAGGCTAAAGTGAGGTTATAAAGAACCTCTAAACGCCATTGCATCTCCTATGGGCGTACCCAAATTGTTTGTCAGGGTGGGCCGAACAAGGAATTTGCAAAAGCTTTGACACCATGATAAGATCACGCACACCAATGAGTGATACCTAATGTGGCGATTATACTTTGTTTATGCAATCACGGGTGACAAAACTCAAGTTCTACGAAATCGTGACATCCTAGGCCTGCTGCGCTGCGAGTAAAAACAAAAACACGACTGGAATACAATCGGCAGTTTGTACGCGAAAAGTTGCAACTGCTTGCAAATCGCTCGCGAATTCGTTTGCAAACAACAAGCTTTTAGTGTAAAATTCAGCGGCCTGTTTCTCCCAGACACCTCGACAAAACTCCTATCACAAACTAACGGTCAAACCTGGTTGTTCCAAGGATATTAGAGCTGCATACCTTCGATGGATATAACCTTTCCAACTCCGATTGATGTTACGTTGTTTAGCGGAAGTGATCGGGAGATATGAGATAAATCGGAAGCCTAGGCCCCAGTGGGAATTAGCAAGGTAGGGCTTGGGTGCGTGCAATGGCCTTTTTACCAAAGTCACGCAAAAATTTAACTGCCATTGTTCTCGATGAAAACAGGGAAAAATCTTTTCAGAGTGATATATGATGTTCAATCTAGTAAACTTACCAGGTTTCAAGAGAAACTTCAAACTCGGGGAAGTTTGAAAGTCGAATTTACAATATTTTTACGCAGCAGGAACTCGTGTTCGATTAGACTCACCCCACCCATCTCTTTGGCACAAACATGCTCTTACGCACGCTCTCAGATTTCTGCAAATTCCTGGCGTGAAGTCGGTCGACAATGTTTTTTGAAGTTGCAAATTTGCGTGACGTAGCTAAAACACTGCGAAGAACCTAACTTGAGCCGTATCCGACTGAGGGAGCGTTTTGAACATAAATAAAATTGCACATGGAAATCTTAAAGTCTTTTTGTCTGCTAAACATTGAGAAAATCTTAACGATCCTAGGAATTTACCGCACAACTGCAGTGCACTTTGTTCTTGGAGACATTTCAAGACTTGTTACATAACGTAGAAATGATTAAATAATCCCTTTCCCTAAGAATAACATTACTTATAAAATATAACTACAATTAAAACTCTAAAAATATACAGAAAGATTCTAACCAAAAAAAATACAAGGTTAAAATGAATTCACATTAGTTACCTCTACGTAAATCGACTACAGCATTTAAAACATAAAATAGTTAAAAACATTTAAAATCTTGGTAGTGCCTGGGCGCAGCGACTGGACCGACTGTGCGCTAAAATCAAGTTCCTTAAAATAAGAGTCCTTCTTCACTTTGCGATAAAAAACAGTAAACTGGTCTGTAAAATGACTCGAGACAGCGTTCCAAAGAATAGCGCCTCTATAACTAATAGAGTTTTTCAGAAACTGCGAGTTAAAACATGGGACGATTGTGTTATTACTCCTTCTGAAGTTGTATGCAGTGCAGGGTTTATTTGTCAAGTATGAAAGAGCCGTAGATGCTTCACCTATAAACACGCTATGGGGTAGCTTACTTAATCGAAGTTTATAATGGAGGGTTAAAGTATTCCAGTTCGAATGTCGGTAAACTTCCTCAGTAGGCATATCTCGGGGCAATTTGTATGTTATTCTGGCTGCCCTACGGTGAAATACTTCCAGAGAATGTAGAAGGTCCGCATTAGGGCAGCCGCCCCGAACGACTAGTCTATATAGAACAGATGGTAACATTATCTTGAAGTACAAGTCCAATAGGGCGTTTCTTCTCAAGAACGAACTCCTTTTCAGGGGGTTCAGTTTGTTTATGAAATTCTTTTTTACATCTATAAGGTGATGTGACCAGGAAAGCCTGTCATCGATAGTAACGCCCAAAAGACGAGAGTGTTTCACCCGCTCGATCCGATCCTCTCCAATATTCACAGAATTTAGTCGCCCGATGTGCGGTTTTTTCATCAGGTGTGTATAGCTATTCATCGAAAACTAATACAGTATATCATTAGCCTAGGATCCATATACGCACATACGCTCGTGCGTACATCAGCTGAAAAATTATATATTTTTTATTTCCTGAAAGCATTTTACGATTAATCGAGATGATTGATAAATCTTCTGCATTATATTGGTATCTCTTACTTGTCTGAAGGGTAGAGGTCTCCGGCGCCCTTTGCTTGTAACCTCCTTGATCGCTTCACTGTTTTACTTTCTTTTTTTGTCCTGTTTTATCCTTTTTTCCGTAAACATTGTACATACCTTACTGATAACACTAGAGATGTGAAATAAACTACTAACTATTGCATTTTACTTCGTATTTCTGAAAATGTCGTGCGAAAAACACATGAAATGGTACTTCTGAGCCCCTAAATTTGAAAAATTTTCTGGAGGAGGCCTCGTACACCTTCAAAACCTCACGGCGCTTCGCCCTCGTATATAAAACTATTTTGTGCTTCAGTGCACACAAGATGTTAGTTCTTGACAAGCAATTGTTATATTCAGTTGTATCACGAAACGCGAATTCATTTATGATAATTTTAAACCACATAGTGCTATCTTTTTTTTTTTTCGGACACTTAAACAGTTACAATACAGTAAGTGAGTACATTTACAATTCATTACGATAAATGCTAATTATAGTTTACTAAATTTTACCTTACATTGAAACAGGTAACTGTTATCACTTACAGAAGGGGAAAAAAGGGAAATAAACATAAAAAGAAAGACAAAGTCCACAAAAATACTATAGTTGATATATTAACAATTAACAGTTGAGAGAAGAGAAGACTGCCTGTCTTTTGGTCCTCCACCCCCATCTGCCCGTTTGTCACTTGCACTTTAATTAACTGTATAACAAATTATTTTTCTGAGGGGCATTGTTTGAAAGCAGCCCATTTCTTCCTATCCTTACTGCTATCTTAAATGCTTTTCTATAATCTCCGTAACTCGATTTGTATTTGTTATTCGGTGACATTGGTAATCATATGAGCCGTCCGAATTGGATAATTTAAACTCGTATTCCTCGTACTCTATTTCGTCGGTCTCGTCGTGCTCGTAGTCCAATCTAAGAGTCGATAATAAATGGCTGCAAAGTGTAAATATTTATGCAGTGTCATTTGCCAGCTCAAAATGTGCAAATGGAATAATTGGTCGATGACGAGTTACTTTCATGCAGTACGTCCGGGACGTTTCAACGTAATGGATTGGATCTTTTTTATACTCCTTAAATAATCTATGATTGGCGTATTTAACTGGTGCTTGCATTCGAACGTTTTCAATATAGTCCCTCCAAGCCTCTTGAGCGTTTTCTAGTGTGCGTGGATAATTGCGATGCAAACTGTTCTCCACTGATATGGGAAAAAATATCAGCGCTTGTCCGCGGAATTTCAATTCCACATTTGAAATAACATGCCTTAGTGTATACCACCAAGAGACGTTTTCTCGTTGATTAAGCAATGGAAATATATGGTGAGCAGCGTTTGCATGAAATGCATTAAAGAGAGGATCGAAGTATACAGTTGGATTGGTAGTAGAATTGTTGTTTATGTAAATTCCACAATTTTTTCGCGTCCTTTCGCGAACTTTTTGTGCTTCATTAGCTCCTGCATAATCGACAACGCCAACAGCTGGTTCGTATTCCAGAAGCCAGTTTTGAAACACTTGCAATGGAGTGAGTTGTTTCATTTCTTCCGAGGCCGCTTGGTTAAACTTTAAGAAAACGTCATCATCTGTTACGATATAGTAGGTGTAGCGTGGTTTCCCTTCCATTGTTGCGTGGGTGTACAGCAAATTTCGTCCAGTTCTCCAAGTACTGTTTTTGTCAAATAGGTAAGTTATATGAGGCGGATTCCATTCCGACTGACAAGCCTTGTGATAACTCAACACAATCACCTCGCATCGACATTTTTGGCTATTGTCTAATCCCATATTTTGCATCAGTTGCGGCCGAAGACACTCTTCCGTTTGAGTAAGGAAAACAAATGGCCGTGAGTCTTCTTTCAGACCATGCTTGATATCGATACGACGGATTTTCAGCACAAAAAATGTCGCTATTGATACAAATAATAGAGTTAGAGCCGTTAGCGAGCCGATCTTTAAAGCAGTTTTCATGACCCAGAGTCGTATGTTGTTTACGTGAGTAAAAAAAGAAAACATTAATTATGCATATTAAAACATACATGACAATATAGGCTGAGTGCAGACTTCTAAGTTTTCCTTTGTTTCTGAGTAGAGCAAAGACAATAGGAGACTTATGTCATACCCACAAGCACAATAGACCTATTCGGCTAACTCAATGTTGTACCCAATTCAAACCCTTTGGGAATAAAACGTTTTGTTTCAAGAATTTCCATATCATTTAAATGTGAATGCCACATTATAATGCAAATGCAATACGCAAAGAATCTTATCCCCGGCAGATTTGAATTGGGTACAACATTGAGTTAGCCGAATAGGTCTATGCAATTGATACTATTTCAAGTTAATACTTTTTTCTGTGATTTGCATATTCTATATGAGTATTTAATTTCGCGTGCTTAAATTCCACGAGGATTTATTTTCGCAGGTCTTTGTTTTCGCGATTTTCGTTGCAGTCACGATAAAACGCGCGAAATTAAAGACCCGCCAAAATTAAGTACCAATTAGGTACTTATAGGGAGGGGAAACTAAGATGGCCGCCTGTACCGTAAGCGCTCGATCCTGACGATCCCACGAAAAAATATGGGACTGTGAGCAATTTAAACAGAAGTGATTTCCACGTCGGTCAAATATCTCGAGGCGAATTTAGTTTATGTAGTCTCCGTCTTATGTGTTAACTGTCTTCGCAACTTATTTTTCCCGTCCTGAAAAAATTTCGCGCCCGAGCATGGAGTACATTTATATCGACAAATGGCGCCAATAGAAAAAACAGTTTCAGTTATTACAAACTTAGAACTATTGATTTAAGTCGATTTTCAGTAAATATAGCGATTTAAACAGTGTATATATTGTGGTTCAATTTTATCCTTGGTTTAAATTTTATTTTCCTTTGTCTCAAACTCACTATTATACATTCCCATTACCCAAAACAAAGGAAAATTAAACTAAAACAAGGATAAAATTGAACCACAACATATATATTAATCTTTAATCAGTGAAAGTAACAACACTAGCAGAAGGCTTCACCTTTGCATAGCTCTTGCAAGTCCTTCGTTTGAACGCGGAGAGGTGGTCCCGAGAAGTAGTCCTTAGCGCTTGTCACCACCAGGCATTCTCGTCTCGATCCAGTGCCTCCTGTCCCTCTGAGTATCGTGAAAAAACCTCAGTCGGCTATGAGAGACAATGAGGCCCTTTGGATGAGACAGTGGAAAACAGCATAACCTCTTATGACACGCTCAACTTAACAGTGAACTGGCCGTGATGCCGCGGTGGGGTAAAGATCGCAATCATTTGTGATCTTGGCATCTACTCAATGAGCTTGACATACAAGACGGCCTCTATAACAGGAAAGAAAACTCGTAATGTATGAAAACTCGACGAGCCTCGGCGATTTTGGAATGAAAGTTCGTTTCTTTTACCATAGTTATTAAAGTGGAATGGTTATGAAACCCGTTAGACTCTTTAATTATATGTTTTTGTTAGCTTTTTTGGACCTGGCTGTGCACAACGTTCAATAGCATTCCTGTAATTTTGAACTTACTGACCAATAGAAACATCGCATTAATTTATTCAGTCACAATTTGTGAACAAAGAACAAAGGATTGTGCACGGTCAGGGAGCTTCCAACATAAACTACTGAGCACCGTTGTTTTCAACTTTGTGTTTGTCGGCTTTCATAACCAGTCTCCTCTACCAACTATGCTTGTACGAATCAGCATTAGAACCCTTAAATTTCTAAAGCAACGGCTCTCCAATTATCTTCTCTTGCCTTATAAGACTTTAAAAAAGTGTTCTAAACTTATTATCGTTTTTACCTGCATGATCCAGTAAAAAAAGCAGGCCGATATGTATCACAAACTCGTATCTGCTTTCACGTTCAAATTTCAACTTCAACACCCTATCTTCTGATGCAGTGAAAACCGTTTCAAGTAGAAACCCATGGGACCCTGTCTAGTGTTTAGTTAATAGATAGAGGTGAGTAACATCTGCGGATGTGCAAAGACGGGAGAGGCCTGATGAATAAAATGAAGTCATGGACACCCATCTGCAGTTCGTTAGCCCAGAGACCTCTTACCCGCCGAATAACAGGGAAAAGAGGCCTCTGCTAGCAGGGAACTGCGAGCAAGCTCTCCGGGGCGCTCTGACGGCGGGGCGGGAAAAGGAAGGGGAGCTTGCAACTACGTCTCCTCTGGAATTTGAATTCCACCTGAGCTGTCAGATTTCCGTCAATCAGCGCGAAGCGGAAACAAGCGCTAGTACAAACAAAATTTGAAAAACAAGTGCCAAGGGTAATGACGTCATTACTGTCAGCTCCGCCAATCAGCATTTCGCATAGACTTTTTCGATGCAGATATTCAAATTCTAGAGACGTAGTTGCAAGCTCTCCTTCCTTTTCCCGCCCCGCCGCCAGAGCGCCCCAGAGATCTCCCTCGCAGGCTAGCAGTATGCTATTCAGCTTTATCAAAATAAAGAAAAAATGAGGCCAAAGTACTTAGAGGGTACACAATAAGGTTCTTTAATCCCGTCATCCAACACAAATGCCGTAATCCCTATGGTTATCTTCGGCATCCCTTATCCCTTGCATACTTTCAATCCCGAATTTCACCCCCAGTTTATTTTAAAATCCTGAATCCCAAAAAATCTATTCGGAACCTTCTAATAAGGCTAGTATCCGCTTGATAAAGGTTTAGGCGTCAGGATCGGGGACGAACTTTGATGTCGCTTATCTGTATTCACTATCACTGCTTCGCCCGTACCTTGGAAATTCATGCTTACCGGTACTTTAAAATATGACTGATTCGAAATAATCCGCACAACACTACATGTACTAGTTAACGGTTTTTAATGCAAGAAAACAAATGTCACAAAGGACGTTCAATTATATTTACCTCACCTTAAAACATTAGTACTAAAATAAGATAGTACACCATTCTTAATCTCCTCGGTATTTTTCCATCTGATTTTCAAGGTCGAGCGAGACAGCTGAGTTCGAGTGACCGCTGCCTTTATTTCTAGTAATGAGCGAGGCAAAAAGGCCCATGGGGATGGCAGGTGATATATCCAACCCTACCCCCAGAACCCACGAGCAATTTATACTCTTCGACAATCGACCTTGATAATCACACGGAAAAATGGTGGACTATGAACAGTCCACCTCGAAAGAATAAAAACAGTAAAAACTTAACCCCAAAAAAACTCTAAAAGGCTTGTTTCCGCGTACGAACTATTCTTCAGGCACGTTTAACTTCTAATAATTTATTTTAACTAATAACAAAAGACAAGAACTTCTGTAACGCCTCCGTATCATTATGACTACTATTGTATTCAATTAAGCTATCCTACGCGTTAGTGGTCGAAGTCAACAAAAATTGCTTAATATTTTCTTTCTGCTAAGATAAAGCTAACTCTAGGAAAGTGCTTGGAAAATGGAGTTCTTTAACAGTTACTATTAATATAAGAATGATGATTAATGCAAACACGGTATCTAACTATTCAGGGCTTATGTTAAGAATGTCCGCTTTCCAGCAAAACAGCAAACTTTCAACAACTATCTTGACAGGGCGAGGCCATGATTTCTTTAATGACGCGACGTTTTTACTATCCCCTCTGGCTTGGCCAATAACAATACACAAGTGTCGGTCAGCTTCTACTTCTGTCGATGAAATAATAAAAAAAAAAACATCACTTAATAGGGTTTAGGTACACGACGACGAAACAAGCCGCCATGTTACAAAGGCGACGGTACAGAAGCGTTACTTATAGTGTTTTTGCGGTTTTTTTTTAACTTAACCAGCACTCCATCTCACCCAATTTGTCAACTGTATAGCCGAATCCTACAGAAATTGAATTAACACTGTGTCCTAATTCAGAAAGTAATAGAAAAATTGGACGTCGTGTGTACATCCTCCATAAAAAGTCGCATCGGAAAGCTTAACGTCGTAATCGTTCAGTGACCAAAATGTGTTCAGCACATGCAAAATTATTGTTGTACTTATCAAAACCTATTTGCGTTTTTACGTTCGCGTTGCTGTCCCCGTTGTACATTTAAAACTTTCTAGTAGAAAATAGAGATGCAAAGAAACTGAGTACAATTGCTGTTTGGACACAGTGATTGATGAATATCAGGGTTGCCACTCGTCAGAAAGTTAAAAAATCCCTGACTTTTCCCTGACTTTTCACTGACCTTTAAACAGTTTTCACTGACCTTTTATTAATGAGAAACATGTTTACATTCACTTTAGCCTTTTTTGCAGGCCATCGATAGTTTTCTCTTCATTTTCAACCTCTTCCTTCTTTTCTCGGAAAGAGGAAAGAAAGCATTCACAACGAAAACCATTGACTACAACTACTACATGTGTCAAACGTGGAGTGTCAAATTGATCGTTTTGCTTGCTTTGCAGCATACTTTTCGTCTTTTCCGGAAGAAAATGCATTTCTAAATCTTGAAGAAAACTTATAAACTACAAACCGGAAAACACAATTCTCCCAGACTTTTCACTGACTTTGACAATTTCAAAGATTTTCCCTGACTTTTCACAGAACGCCTATAATTACGGTGCTCATATGCCATATATAATTCGATTACCATGTTTTCGAGTTCCTTTAATAATCATTACATAAATAGCTTCTTACCGTTTTCACATTCACGCAGAACTTTCATCTTCAGTCCTTGTTATTACAACCTCGGTGATTTTTGCGTTAGGATTTTCCTCTCTGGCTCGTTGGATGGCTTCCAAAATAGCCTAAAAAAACAGCATGTGAATCTGGATTAACACACAACACTTATGCGTTTACAACTTCAAAGGCTTCTTCCACCTGGTAACGATTCAGTAAAACGGTGTTTTCGTAAATAGTCTTAAAAATCCCACTTACAGCATCAGTGTCAGGGTCACCGGTTTTTATGATGTTTCCATCGTCATCCACAACTCTCAGTGTCTCCGTCACTGTCTTGGTTTGCTTTACTTCTTGAACTCTAGTTGTGTAAGTCTAAGAAAGGAACAAAAATAACTTCATATCCTTAATGGAATTTCATATGACCATACATAAAACAATCAAAGGGGTTATGCCACGAATACAATGCTGTCTTGGGTCAACTCCGCGCTAAACTCATTAGTTACATGTAGTGCTTTAACCCCAAAAAAAATGCTCCTGTGGATTTCTAAAGATATCAAACACAATTCATCACGGAGCATTCACCCTCGTTTTTTAATGATTGTTAGACGCATAGCATTAAAGCTTGAAAAGAGAGAACAGTTTCGATGCCCCAAATAGTCTTAAACAATAACACTGGACTAACACTAGAGTGTTTTCACATGACGTCACGGCGGCCATTATGGTGTCCCAAAACAATGAAACGGCGGCCATGTTGGTGTCCCAAACCAATCCTGTGGGATTTGAACTCTTTTCTTATACAAACGCTTTCTTTTGTTCCAATAAATTAGCATAGATGCTGGCCACGTGAGTGAAAACACTCTATTATTTTGGAATTCAATTAATATGAAGACTCATTTCAGCTTTTTAGAAAGATAGTACATGGTGTGCCATAACCCCGTTCAGTGCTCTGAAAATGGTTTCAGACAACATTTGTCAGGATTCCAATGAGTTAGTTACTGTTCACAGTCCCCTATTTTTTCCGTAAGATGGTCGGGATCAAGTACCAACCCTCATGGGCAGCCATTTTGGATTCAAATTTATCGAGAGCAGGATGGCCGGTAAGTGCTCGATCCTGACGATCTTAGGAAAATTGGGACTGCGAACAGTCTAAATGAGTTAAGGTGAGCTGATTTATTTGTCATCACAACGTTTCTATTTGTGGAGCAAATCCCATGGTGTTACCATTCACATGAAACCTCTTGGGAAGAACTTTTGCATGCTGCTATCTATTTCTTCGGGTTTTACAAAAAAGACATTTGCAATTGTTCTGAACTTGTTTTACTTCTGGTAGGATAATGGTTAATGAAAACTTACCGTGGTAACCACTTCACTGCTCTCAAGATCTCCTGCATGTTTAGAGATGATATCTCTCAACTCTTCTGCTGTCAATTGATCCCCATCTCCCTCAATAGTAATGGTCTTCTGGATAATCTCAGTCGGCATGGTGGTTTGACGGATGGTTTCTGTTCTTGTGGGTTCAGCACCTCCCATCATGATAGTACGAGTGATAACCGTGCCACCGTCCTGGGTTCCTGCAGATCACAACATTACCCAGATATTTCCTTTGAGTTTGCTCTAACAATCAGTACAGTACCTAGCCTACGAGCGATTTGTTAGAGTCGAGATCAGTCACGCGAAAGGAGACGCGAGTCACTTGCTCGCGCGTCCTCTCGCGGCTTGCGCGCTTGCTCGCAGGCTAATCAGTACCCAGACGGTAGCCCTACTTTAACTGGTACTCTTTTTACATGTAAACGACATATAGTTTTGAAGACTAGGTATCATGTTCTTTAATACATTCTCCATTTTTTTCCGAGCCAAAAAATATTCTAAATAAAAGCAGCACTGCTTGATTACGTTTTAGCGCAGCAGTATCATTCTTGGCTGACCGCATCTTTCCGAGACTAAAAGGTCCTTACACATACCAAGGTTATTGTTGTTCAATGGTCTCAGGCTACATAACGTCTACGACAAGACACTTACCAACCCCTAGGTTAATTCTTTGCGTCTACGCACACTTTCATTCATGTCCAGAAATACAGGTTAGTGCATGTATTGTTTCCATATTATGTCGTATTTGATTGGGTCATTTCTTTTTTCACATATAATATTTTCATATATATTTTTTCATATATATGCACATGTTTTGGTGACCTTTTTTATGAGGAAGCTTTGACACTTTCACAACAATCACTATTTCTGGACATGATGAATATTCCTTCACAAAACTTTTCACATGGTAAACATGTTCAGGTTAATGGTAAGCTTGGTTATTGCCAATACGTCAAAAACATACCTAGTGATAATAACGAAAAGAACTAATAAACGTTAATTCAAGTTATCAAAAGTTGCATCAGGCAAAGATTTCCTGTGATGTTGGGTACAAATTTCTCTAACTTGTGTGCTTTAAGCTTCAAGCTTCAAAAGACAAGTTCATTTTAAGCTGTTCAATTTTTTTAAGTACCTGACACAGATTTAGTCTGGAATGACATAATTCAGCCATTTTTGAAAAGAAACTAACGAGAACATTTCAGCGTACAAAAATATATCTCTATTCTTGAGGAAATGCATTGTTATCGAACGCTCTGACTTTCTTGCCCAGAGAATGGTTAATGGTTAATATTGCGATTACTTTGATTAGCAATCAAAGCATGTTATCAACCACGAATGGACCAGGTTAAACCAAACAGTTTGAAAGCCAACATTTCTCAAGGTGTTACAGTGCAGTGCACAGTTAGTGTGTTAGAAAAATGTTGGATCAAAACAATTTCCACTAACCCCTGGAAGGCGGGCTAACTGGTGGTCCATTTTGGTCATACACCACTCTCTGTGTGGTAACGCTGGGCACATTGTAGTGTCTTGTATGTGGTGCATATGGCTCAGGTGAGCTAGCCGGCGAAGAGGCGTTATAACGAAAGCGAGTACCTTGGTAAGCTCCTGGATCTCCGTTTTGAGATCCTCCGAATGACAAGACTTGGGTCTGTACCTCAGGAGGTTGGTTTTGCCGATACACTGTTGGTTCTCTTCCACTGTTTATTACCATGGTTCGCGTAGTCACCTCTGGTGGAGCACTCTCAAGATCACTGCGCACTGATTGCCGCTGGATAAAGCCCTCATTTCTTCTGATGCTCTCTCGTACAAAGCCACCCTCACCTTGCTCATGTTCTAAGTTAAGATCTTCTTTAAGGGATCGCTTGATCTCGTGCTGTGGATGCTCTAACCTCAGCGTGTCGCTGCTGGTTGATCCAGATGTGTAACTCCTCACTAGCTCATCCTTTGTTACAAGAGGAACCTTGCCTCGCGAGCGACTCTCATCAGAATCCAGCAGATCCTCTGCACTACGTCTCCTCTCCTCCTCAGGCTGACTGCTACTGTCATAACCCTTCCTCGCTCCACGGCTGGGTAAGGTTGCACTGGTGTAGGTGCGGGTGTGGGTGACATTATCTCCTCCTCTTTTTCCACCACCCCAAGTATTAGTCCTGCTAACTTCAGGGCCCTGCCAAACAAACAGTTGTGGTCAGTGGATCATAACTGTAAACCAGTATAAGTTTCTCAGAATCGTGTATTCAGGGATCCATACTTTGAGAAACGGGTCCCTGAATCACACCACGTAAGTACTGAGGAAGCCAAAACGAACTGTGGTTCCTGAACAATGTCCTCGCCAGGGTTTTCTACACTGGGGTCCACAGGAGCCATAGAGAAGCAAAAAGGGGGTCATGAGGGAGAAAAGCGGGTCTTTGTGCCTTTGGGCCCCCTTGGGCTAATTATACTGCGGCATTTCCCGAAAAAGTGCGTCAATGCCGCATTGCTGCATTGCCGCGGTCTGCTAAGAATATTGCTGAAAGGCCAATTAGCGCTAATACAGAATTAAAATTTTGTTCCGTTTTTGCATGTTACCTTTCAATGTATTGCTGAGAGTAACATGATTTGTTATCATTATTGTATCTCGGAGTAAAGATTCAACAATATTTTGAGTAGCATGTTCTTAGCCAAGAAAACCTTGCTTAAAATTTGGCTTGATCCTGGGTTAAACTTCATCATCTTTCATGGAACCGGGCCCTGAACTCTAAAAGCAAAGGGTAATCGACAACATCTTACCATTTCAGATTCTGGCAACTTAAGGACACGTCCCTTGAATGTATCCGTGTCAGCAACCCTCGTTTCAGCTCTCTTAATGGTGTCCACACCACTCTTGGGGGTAGCCATACCCACGCTCACCATCTCGGGCTCCTCTTTCTTCAGTTCCTTCATCGTATATGTTGCTCTATAATTTGAATATTTTATTTATTTATTTTTCCTTTCTCTCTTTTTTTTGGATACCTTATTCCTTATTCAAGACTCAGACAGACGTGAGGCTAGTTAAGAACCTGTACATGTCCATCTTTAATAGTCGATGCACTATAGTGTAAGAAAAGACATCTGAGGGACAACTGCAGAAATTCCGTACTGATGATATGCCACTACCCAGACCTGGCTAGAGCTTTTGACTGGTCGTGCTGTGAGGACAATTTGCTTCAACCAATCAGAAGCACTACCCAGAACTGAGTAGTGACACACCACCAGTATGGAATTTCTGTGGCGTTACTCAGACATCATATCGTGCGGAAACCATGGCGGCATTGCAAAATGTTGGCTGTTTTCTCAAGCTTAAGATCTTATTCACGGCGAAAATGTCCAAAACTAAAATCTGTGCACATACCTCTCAGCAGGTCCACCAGGCGCGGTATAAGCCATGCCTGCCACCTCAGGTGGTTCTTGTACTCTAAAAAAACAAAAACAGGAAGCCTATTTGAACCTGAGCACACTAAAAGAGATAAAGAACAATGTAGAATAAATAAACCAACTATCACCTTTTCTTTTCACTTTCAATCCATTCTTGCAGCCTTCTCTCTCTCTCAGCTTCCTTTTCTCGTTCAAGGCGTTCTTCCTCACGCCTCTTCCATTCTTGCCTTTCTCTCTCCCTTTCCTCCTCTTCCCTTCTCTCCTTCTCCCGTCTTCTAGCTTCCTCTTCCAGTGCAGTGACTGTAGCTTGTGGGTCTCGCCTCTCAGCAGTTCCATATGCATAACCAAGACCTTCACCAACCCCAGTGGCCCTGATCACGTCTTGGCCTCCTGCCTGTTGTCTGCGTAATCTATCTGCTATCTCTCTTTGATACTGTTCCCGCTCCTCTGGTGTCATGGTGTCTGTTGACTCCTCTATCACATGTGGAGCCTGCAAGTAATCACAGAAGTGGCAAATAGCAAACTTAAAAAAAAAACTTGTTTTTTTTTTTCTTTACTGCTCTTTGTTGAGAGGTCCTACGGATAACAGGGGGCCGGGAAGAGGGGGAGATCATAAATCAACTGGGTGCGGTTAGGTGCACCGCTGACCTGCGCCTTTTGCAGGTCTATCAAGAGACATCAACAGTTCGTTTTCGTCGTTTCATTTTGTGGTTTCTCTTATAATGAGCTTGTAGGACATGGAACTGTCTTATCTTATCTACACATTTCTGAGAGCTTACGACGATAACGAGGTTTCTGTAAAAGTTACGGGATCAAGAAGGCTTGAGAATGGACTCGTTGTCCCAGGATCATTCAAAGCGCGAACGCCGAGCAGAGCTATTGCCATGAGTTTTGAGTGAGATATATTGCGGCTTAAAGAACTTTGCGCCCACATGGACATTAGAGTTGAAACTTTGAGGAAAATTCCAACATTCTCCAAGACAATGAATGTAGAGATTGTAAGCTAGTGAATAAATAATAGTCAGTACTACTCTCGTGTACTTAATTTTCTTTGGGTGGGAGGGGGAAGGGGGGTGGGCACTTATTTGAGGTTGGACGCTTATCCGAATAAATATGCTTGCTCAGACATAAGACAATTCACATAAAATGACATTTTCAAGAATACTAGCCATGCATGACAGAGCATGGCTGTAATTCTACTGTGCAACAATATTCAGCCTCACTTTGGTTCACTGCGGATGTCATTTTCATCGCGCGTTTTCAATCAAGCCGTGGTAACATAACCAGGGAGCTTGCGCAACCACGACCAGGACAAAGGAAACAAGAAAATAAGAAAAGCGACAAATTTAATGATTTCTTTTAATACATTTATTAGACGACTAATGATGTCAAACTTTATCGGAATGGTAAAGTGATTGTCACTTTGATCTTCAAGTTAAGATCACCATTTCATCAATATTAACTGTCACAACATTGATTTCATCGGAAATACTCATCAAGAGTCTCAATATTCCAACAAACTCACCTTTCCTCCTTTTGACATCCAAGGTGCCCTTAATGGCAAATCTCCTTCAGAGAGAGGTCTCTTTCTGGGATCATCTTTTCCATCTTCCACATAAATCCTAGTTTCTGACAGAGAAGGCATTTGATAACGACGAGACCAGTTCAGGCTTGAAACACGATTAAATTTAGGCTGTTCTTTGACTGGGTGTCCTTCCTTATGCAGCTGGTACAGAGTACGCTCACTGTAACGGAACTTTGAGCCCATCTTTAAGAGTGAGGTACTTCGAGATGGTTGTGGGTCAGAAAATGTTAGTCTGTCAATATGAAAGAAGCACAAGTCTTCAATGTCAAGGTTTGTCCCAACCTTTTGAAAGTTTGAGATGTGGTCTTGGCCCTCATATGTACCCATACAAGGAAAATTTATTCTGAATCACAATGTTTCTTTGTTTTGTAATGGTACATGAATTTGGTAAAGGGAGGAAGCATGGCTATGTGGTAAGAGATCAAAAGTTGCAATATGGAGACCCTGAATGCAGCTCTGAGTCTGTCATGCCCTGAGTGCTAATTAGATTATTTGTTATTTAAATAGTAGTCCTATGTTCAACTCCTCCAACAGGGTTGTAAGTAGCCAACTAGTTTGCATCTGGCTACCAGTTAGGATTGTTACATGTTTATATGTTCATATCATTATTAGTTTCTGTCCTCTACAATGCAAACTACTGTAATATCAGTAATGATGTTACCCTGCATATAAAGTCTTATTAATAAACGTGCATAATAATGCTAGAAAAAAAGCGATGGAGGCGGGGGGACTTACACCACTTTACAACGCCCACAACACAAAATTGTTTCCAAACAAATAGTATGTCCTCTGTTAAGCTTACCCTATTATTTTGCAGAGCACTTTTCATGGGGGTATTGGAAAAGTTAATGATTAGAGCGACATAAAAGTATTCTATCTAGGAATGAACCTTAGTGCTAAAATGTGCAAAGATATAATTTCTTCCGAGATTATGGTCTAGCCATCAAAAACAGTAATGTGCTCACAAATACACTGTAATTCTACAGTAAGGTATGCAACTCCCTACCTGAAAAATGTATGGTGTTCAACACATGATTTGTACAAGCGTTTTGATGCTTTCTCACTCGGCAATTTATAAATTGCAGTAGTGGTTAATGTCTCCAGCTGAGTAAAAGAAAAAAAGATGTTAGTTGACCCCCTGAGGCCTAGTTACTTGCTTAAGCCAAAAGGAGGCTATTGACAGTGTTAAGCCATCAAAACCACAACCCACATGTATTTAACCTGATTGAACAAAATTTCTATAAAAATTAGATATACAATAATTGAATCAAAAGATAATAATAATAATAATAATAATAATAATAATAATAATAAAACAAAAAAAGAAACTTTCTGACTGACAAATAAAGAACAATGGCCAAATGCTAATCAAAATGATACTCTTAACTAGCACAAGGAAAGTAATCATAATGCTCTGGTTTGTGGTTTATATTAATTTTGTGATCTATATGGCACAGGGTTGTCATTAAGAGCCGGGGGCCGGGGATTTTCCCCGGCTACTAATAGAGTGGCCCTCCGGCTACTTTTATTGGAAAATAGAAGAAAAATAGAACCAAAGAAATCCCTAGCCATTTGATTCGCCGCCTACTTGTTGTATTTACCCGGCAACTTGAAATCTTAGTGACAACCCTGTGGCATAAAACTACTTACTTTACATGAACCTTAAAAGATCTGATACATTTATTTCAAGTAATAAACACCCTGTTTCTTAAGGGAAAATTACTTTGGGAGAATCCAATATAAGATTCGTCATCTCAGATTCTATGAACTTGTAGCAATGAACTTGTTTCAACAACAACAAAAAAATCCAAAAACCATGGAAAATAATAATGTAATAATTCCATTCAGAGTATTCTTTGCTTTCAAAATCCACTTTGGGATTAATGAAGAAGTATGTTTTTGAATCCAAGAATTCCTTAGCAACACACCCTTACAGCTGCAGATTTGTTTTCAAGACACAGTCTGTCCCTTTCTTCTTACAAAAGAAAAATTGTTACCTTAACAATTAGATCCTAAGGATCATTATTTGGAAGATTTCTTGTACGCAGGGCTCAAAGTAGTCATATTTTGTTGTATTCTTTATCAGTATTTTAATTTGTAAATAATTTATTAGGAGCCACATTGACATCAGCTCTGCTGAAGGGGCAAATCCTGAATTTTGGTTTATTTAATATTACAATAGTAACATTATCTAAAAATAATAAGTACGAGGTAATAATAATAATAAAATTAAACCATAACGGTGCAAAAAGGGGAAAAGCCAATAAACTACCATTACCTCCCCTGGATGGCTTTTAACAATAAAGTTTCTCTTTCTGTACTTGACATAAACAATCTTTGTCCTAGACAAGTTAAAAAGCACATAAAATTAATGATAAATAGATTTAATCAGAAATCACTAAAACATGTTCCGAAACAGAGAACTTAAATTTAGATCAGACTTCCTTAATTTCTTGGTCCAACATGAGAGTAAGGAAGTGCTAAAGTGTTGATGACCTTGGGGTTAATAGCACCTTAATTAGAGTGTCTACACTAAGTTCGTATCACTTTCTGTCATCAAAATGACACTGGAATGTTACCCTTCATGACTCATCCTGGGGTGCAAAATTAATCCAAATCTGGAGAAAAATAGCCCCCCAGGCAGATGCTTAGGGCCTCATAGTGAGCTGCATTGATATTATAACAATTGCAATTGACACCTACAGAGTTTAAGTGTAATTCCAGCATAATACTTAGCCCAAAAGGAAACGTAGGCTGGCATGGATGTTTACCTTATATTCATGGTGTGGCTTTTTTTATGTAACATACATTTTAAATGCAAGTACTGACTGCACTATTTGGAGGTTTTGAAACATGGCTGTGCAAACCTTTCAAAAGATACTGTTCAAAACGTTTTGAATACATGTAGCATTCAGTTTATTTTTATTTTTAAACCACCGCTGGTAACAACAAAATATTTTTTGTCAAAGTCCTGTATGTCAGAAAGTGGAAGACGTTCTGTACTTGCCTAAAACCTTTGAATGTTCAGCAGACTTTAATGGGGGGAGGAAGTCGAAAAATAACTATCCATTTGGGAGGCTACAGAGGGCTCACAGCAGCTCAAAAAATGTTTTTATTTACACTAAGGAAGTTTATGTCACTCTCTGGCATTGCATTGTAAAGATTCATGACTCATCATCAGATGCAAATTTTATCCCAATTTGGAGAATAAAAGCTTTAATGAGCCTTTAAAATTAATGACATTCATCTTAAGTTATAACTTCCTAAATTCAAATTAATTGCAGCTTTAAAAGACATCTGTCAGTACTTTACAATTTCCACCATCCACAACAATTAAAAACAATTGACAAGCCTTAATGAGCCTTTGACAGGTTTGTTGCCATTAGTTTCCTGATAGATGTATTCATAAAGCAAGAAAGACCAGTTTTGTATGGCTATAAAGGGCACATTCCTGATAAGTTTAGTCTTAGTATAAGGAGTGATAAAAAGTCCAAGAGTCTAGGTCTAGGACAGGGCATCATCTACTGAAACAATGCCTGTTGTATATGTAAAGGGAATCAACTCTTTGGATGTCTGGGATACTCAGAAGAACTTTGGTGTATAATGGATTCCATCTTAATGGAATTTCTAATGGATTTTATCTTTATGTTTCAGAAACATCACTGCAACATGTTAAATTCAATGAACATCATGCACCCTCGCCCCACTTCTCAGTTACGTACCACGCCCTGTAATGTCAAGATAATCTGTTCTTACCAAGGGACACTGTTCACCACTAGTCGATCCTTGTAGGTGGCCACGCCTTCATGTGAAACACCAATCAATATCTCATTGCCTTGTTCATCCTAAACAAATGTAGATAACAAAAGTGAAAAAATTAACTAATTTAAACAAGAAGTAGTTCACAAAGTATTTTTTCCTTCCCCTTTCTCCCATACTATTCACAAGAACACAAAAATAACACTGTTTGGAAAACAAGTTAGAACAAGAAAGTTGCATTGATTCAGTTTTCTTTAAAAGGGTCTAGTTTCATCATTTATCTCATGGCTGTCACTTTGATATTGATAGCGACGTTTCGACTGCTCACTGCAGGTCTTCATCAGGGGATAGCGTCGATTTACTGAGTCAAACTATTTGTACCACCATGGTTGTTAGTGATTGATGTATCACAAACCTTGCTCATGGTTGGTGGGTTTCAATCCCTTTTCCTTTACTATTATAATACATGTGCATGTATGTACATGTAAGTGCTACTAGGTATGACTATTACTAAAGGTGCAAATTAATTCTCTTCATCCTTGCTTGCAATTGTCTTTTGCCTACGTATTTTTATGACTTAAAGTAGTCATCACAGATTAATAAAGTGCATTTCAGATTCCAATTCATAAGTCATATCACCTGGTTTTGAGACAACAATTACCAAGTGTGTTGATACATCACTTTTATTTCAACACGGAGAATTTGTGTGATATCAAGGATTTTTGAAGGTAATAGGGGAAGTGTACAATATTTTCCCGCAGGAAAATGTAGGCCTGGGGTAGATTTGCGTGCCAGAGAACGTCCACCAAATAGAGTACCGAAGTGTGACGTCATAGAAAATGAAATTTGTGAAATTATGGGATTTGTTAAGCTATTCTGAAAGAACAACGTCCAAGATGCCTACTCGCCAAAAATTAGCAATTTGGGGCAAATTGTCTCTGAGGTATTAGCCCAGATATCCTCCGATGACTCCATACAAATCCTTCTAAATCTTACCTGGTTCCTAATCTTATGAACCAAGCCAAATTTAGAAGGATTTGTATGGAATTGTCACAGCATAACTGGGCTAATATCTCAGAGACAATTTGGCCCGAATTGCTAATTTTTGGCGAGTAGGCGTCTTGGACGTTGTTCTTTCAGAATATCTTAACAAATCCCATAATTTCACAAATTTCATTTTTATGACGTCATCACTTCGGTACTCTATGCTGTTGATTTTTATCCCCAGTACACTCACGGGACACCCAACAAGAAACAAAATTAGGATTAGGTCTGTCAAGTCTTAGTCTTGGCCGCCAAGTGTCATACACAACATTATAAAACCACACTCTATCAATGTTTGTCTTCAAGTGTACTAATTTGAAAGTGGGGTTAACATAACATGTTATACAATGTAGTAGGAATACTGGACATAAAAAAGGTTACCCATACCCTGGCAGGATGAGCATCAACGCCAAACATAACAAGTTTGGAAGCTGCAATCTTCAAGTACTGTGAGTCAGCCTCTTCAGGGCTAAGACCCCTACAAACAAAATAACCAATCTCCAGTTAACAACTGAGCATCTCTTATGTTCGACACTGCCGGGTCTGGAATGTCTAAGAGCGAGAGAGATGCACACCTGGCATGGTTGTTCAAATGTTGTACAGTGCTTTTATCCACCGGATAAGTCTCTATCCAGTGGATAAGTATTAGGGGAACAATTGCCTTATCCAAATGGATAGAAATCTAGCCAGTGGATAGTGTTATTAACCCTTGAACAAGTAAACTTAGGACTGATAGAAAGTGTCGACTGTACTGTATGTGAATTAACCCTGGCTTTGGTTTAAAGGGAATCTAACTTAGTTATCATTACCATAAAACAGAAAAGTGAAAAATAAAATTCAAACTAATTTGGAGTCCTTCTGAGCTAAATTCCTTATTTAACATGGACGTGAAATCACAGCTGTATGACCAAAGATATACACAAGTTGTGGAATAGTAACTTAGTTCCAAAGTAAAGTACAATAATTACTCACCTATTTTCCTTGTGCAGTTCCCTGATTTTTTCCAATAATTCAGGTGTCTAAACAAAATTGTGATAACAGAATCAATAATGATACTTTTCTATGGCATAATATGTAGAATAAGGAAGTAATGTTCCCTTTTCTATCTGTGGGTAGACTTCTCAAGTGTGACAATTCAGAAGGAAACTAGCAACTAGCAATTTCTAATGGTAAAACTTTCTTGTTGAACAACCTGGTAATAACAGTACTAAAGACAACCTACACATTTTGAGTGGGTGAAATCTTGCAAGAACTACTTTCATGTGACACTGTTTTGTACTTTTTACTGTCACAATTTTGTACGTGCCAAATTTAACAAAGTACCAGTAAATAGTGAAAAACTGCAACAAATTCTTTAGCATTCTTTAATTTTTTTGTGTGTGTTTTTTAGACTTTTATTTTCTTCTATTTTTCATGTACAAAACTGACACAGATATTATGTACATGTATATTATTTACCAGTTTTTCTGTAGGGTTAAGTGCTACGTTGTGTTACCTGATTGGGTGCAAAGACCATTCCATCCAAGTAATCATCACCATGATCACGTGCCTCATGATCTCCAACATCACCTGAGCACAAACACACGTCAGTCATAAGAATCAGACAAAAGCAATTACAGCATACAAGAAAATACCCAATGCACAAATCTCAAACTTCTGTCATCCATTTCCTTGTTATTTATTGAGCAGGCAATTTCTCTTCCATAATTACAGTAATTTAGGTGAGGCTGGGTTATATGTACAGATTGTAGGGTATTTTGTTCCAAAAACAGAGTATCATAGTCTCACTAGCTATCCCTTAGTGTATACTTGTAACTATTTCCTTGTACCAATGGGCACAGTAAATAAAAAAAATTAATACTGAATGTTCTTCTGTTTTCAGTGTTTTCATGACAAGTCCTCAGTATAATGGTAATCGTCCTTCTTTCTTTAATGCATTTTAGCTATGCCGGACTTCTGATATTTCGCGGAAAAAAAAGCAAAATTTCGCGGGATTTTCAGGGGTAAATTCGCGGAAAAATCGGCCGATTTCGTGGGATTTTCGCGGGAAAAAAGTCAAAATTCGCGGAACAATCGGCCGATTTCGGTTGATTTTCGCAGGAGAAAAGTCAAAATTCGCAGAAAAATCGGCCCATTTCGCAGGATTTTAGCGGAAAAAAGTCAATTTTCGAAGGATTTTCAGGGGCAAATTCTTAGGAAAATCGGCCGATTTCACGGGAAATTTCGGGGGGAAACTTCGCCAAGGAAAAATTAGTAAAAAACGGCCGATTTCGCTGGGGTTTTTTTATGGCAAATTTCGCTAAAATCGATCACTTTGGCGCCGATATGACCAGCGTTGGTGAACGTTTTTTTTAACAGGGATAATCATTTGCTCTTTCAACAACAGTTCGCTCGAGAAATGAGCGAATGTTAAAGCTATAAACATTATGGTTAGTGCCCAGTTTTTCGAAACGTTAATCTAGAAACGCCTGGTAGTTTTGGGACGTTGTTTACTCGTCGCAGTGACGAAGCTTCAAGCTAAATTTGGACGTTTGGGGTGAATAAAACTGGTCTAATAGCCAAGATAAGTATTAAATATGTTTTGCCGACATGTATTTGGAAATATTTCTGGCGGATTTCGCGTTTTTGGGGGAATTTCGTGGGATTTCGCGGAAATACCTGAATTTCGCGGGTCCGCGACCGCGCGAATTATCAGAAGCCCTGGCTATGGCACAGATGATTAATCAATATTCAATCCACATTTTCACCTCACCTTGCACTACATAAGATCCAAGAAGTGCTTGATTGTAAAATGAACATGGTAACCTAAAAAAATATTATATTGATCAATATAATATTTAAAGATATGTGATCACTAAGATGGAAAGAACACGGGATCTGTCACTTACCCAACTCAGAGCCTACCTAAACCATCTCTCAGAACCTTCATCATTATAAAGCTAGCAAAACACGCAATACAGGATACTAAGTAATGTAAGTCACCCAAAACTCACCTTCCAGAGTTAATGTCATCACGTAACTGCATGCACATCAAATACCTTGGAAACAGTTGCAAAAGAAAAACAAAAAACCTTTAGAAACCTGAGATCCACACAATGTACTTTACAACGAATCAGTTAACAAGATGTACAACGTACAATGCAATTTGTCAGGAGAAACTACCAGGTTATCACAAGTCAACTGGGCCATTTTCTACACACACCTTCATTTATTTGGGTTTGTGTGTATTACACAGGTTTTAGCAAAAATTAAAAGGAAGATACCATTGAAATCTTTATAAAAAATATCATAATGTCTGGTAATTGTTCTGTGTAGCAACATTAATTCGCATTGTACAATGTGCAAAGGGTTTACAGCCCTTCAAGAAAGCGACACAACATTAATCTGTTTCCATCATTCATATCATGATCATGAATCTGAAACAAAGGGAAAATTTTCAAGACTGGTACAAAACAGACAATTAATTTTTTTTTAATCAAAGAGAAGTACATATGTCACTGCCTATAAAACCTTTTTACTTAGGTTTTTCAAGAGTGAATTATACTGTTTCTTAGGGATATCTTTTAACTAAAATAACAGCAACTTAAATCCTTAATAAAATCTAAGAACAACAACCTGGGAGGCAAAAAGAGCCACCAGGGGCAGACAATTTTGCTTGATAAGAGAACCTTGGAAGAGTACCAACTTTCTAACTGTCGTTAACGCCAGGGCTATGCACAATATCAATATCTTATGCCCAGTATTCTCAGGTTTCTTGCCCATGCAACAAGAGATTTCAGAAAAGATTTTAGGGAAAAAGGGCTTCAGTGGTGAATGGAGTTTTTTTAGTTAAAAGTTGACTTATAATCATCATGTATGTTCTTGCTTTCTTTTCCCCACTACAGTTTTCATTAACACTCATTACTTGTTTGACCAAGGCTTGTTTGGTCTGTTCAGTGAAGATAGATATTGGCCCTATTCTTATTTTGGGTTTTTATCAACCTTGACTTTGACTGCATTCATAAAAACACACAAAAAAAGAGCAAGGCCAATATTTCATTATCTTGACCAAACAAGTTTGGTCACCAGTTTCATGTATGATGTCCCCTGAAAGTCATAGCTGGAATGGCTGATAATTATCAGATTAAAAGAAAACAAGAATCGCCAAAAGCTGATTTTAACTGGGCTGCCAAGGGGTCATTTTGTCTGAGGGGAGGGGGTGGCTCTACGCACTCTTTGTACCCTTTTGGGAGACTTTCATAACAAGAAAAATGAGTACCATTTTTAAATCGGGGCTGTGTAGTAGTTAAAATTAAATTCCACCATTATGAATAAAAATAAGCCAGTTAGCCATTCTAGGCACAAAATGATTACAGGGTCCGAAATTAACTTTTTAATATGGGCGCCAACTGGTGAGCAAGTATAAATTTTCGGTCGCCAGGGGGCAAATTATGGTCGCCAAAAATTCCCCTTGGCGGCTTGGAAACGTTCAACTCGTATTGATCGTAGCTGTTGTGGAGGTATATTTACAGGAAGATTCGTTTCACTTTTAAATTAAAAAAATATCTGCAGGACGAAAAGTAAGACACCTGTTGGCAAATAGCTTTGAGGTTTCAATTCTTAATCATTTTTTTCCGAACGTGAAAGTCTACAATGACAACCAGCTTTACCAGTCGCCAGCTGGCGACCAACTACGAAATTCTGGTCGCCAGAACTGAATTTTTGGTCGCATTGGCGACCAGGAAGGCGCAATTTCGGACCCTGGATTAGCATTATTTTCAAGCATCCCTCCTCCAATCCCTGGGGAAGGGGACTGAGTTACCTGGTGTAGTCTGTTTTGATGTGAGACGGGACTGGTTCATAAAACTTAACCACAAAGGCAAAGTTGGGCTGAGCACCTTCAAAACCAAAAATAATATTGTAACATTCAGTCTGCAAGTCTAATATTATACTTCAAGCTAATTAGAAAACAATTGCCATTAATGAACAGAACTAAGGAGTTAAATATTAACCCTAAAGACCTCCAATCCTAAAGCAAAACAGTGCAAAAAATTTCAAAAGCTTTCGATGTCCACATCTGTGATCTTTATCATTTATATACGTGCATGGATATTTGGCCTTAAAAACATTTTCTTTATTTCAAACCAGTTTAGATTCTACTTCCTTTGTCTCAGCACCATTAAGTTTATTGAAACATAACTTGAGAAAAGGGAAAACAATAAACTTAAAGTAATATAGCTTGCAAATTTTTAACCACAGAAAACTTTGAACCACGTCATATGTAATGCATAAAGGATTTGAAGGAAGTGCATACGGTTTTTGCTGATCCAGTTTTGTTTTCTGCACTCATTTACTTGACATCATGGGCAAACGATCAAAGTTAAAATACAAGATTCAAGCATTACTTGCAACCACACAAAAAATGTCCCTTTATAACAAAATTCATAAAATTGAAAAAACATTTTCTACACTGATTTACTAAAATTATTAATTCATAGTAAATAGAGCAATATGCTACAAATCTTAATGCTTCTTAATCAAAACAAGAATTTTCTCATAGACTGACGTCAAAGATGAAAATAAAGAACAATATACACGCCGGAAAAAACATTTCTCAAACACAAACAAATTGTGAGATCATTCTTACACAGCTACTCCAAGGAGAAAGTTTAAAATTTTAACAGTATCATAATGTCCTATAATTAACAGGTAACAAAATATAAAAAAAACAAATTGTGACCCTGCAATTAAAGAGTAAAGAATCAGTTATCTGTAATTTTCATTTGATTAAGAATGTATGGAAAAAAACAATTTTCCCCAATCTATCATCATTACAGATCTGACAAGCTATATTGATGCAGAATTCAACAGTTAGGATACACCGCAAAAAGGTGGACTGTACCACACAAGAAGCCGCAGTGTGTTACAGGAAGCTGTTGACACACACGATACTAAACTGTTTACTGTTTATCTACGTGCAAGCAGAGTGGGAATGCTCCATGTATTCATTTACACAAACTTTTTTTTTTTCACACCAAAATACACAACCACCTTATCAACCACCTACACTGTATGTTGAATAATACTGGTCATGGGTGATTAGTTTGGTCAAAGCATCTCACATTTCAGATCGCTGTATTCAAAACAGGCTAACCCACGCAAGGAAGCATTGTCAACAGCTTCCCTTAAAAAATACAAAAGCTCTTAAAAGGTTAAACTATGATCTGTTTAGGTTAACAATAGCTGTTGAAACAAGATCAGGTCAGAAATCGGAGGCAAATAATTTTGCCTTGTAACCCCTAATAATCTTGCATTCAGTATTTGCAGTTGAAGAACTTGACAATTTATGAAAAATAAAGACCTCACAGGTTTACAAATATAAACAAAGTAGAACATGCTATCAAAAACGAAAACAACAACAAAATTTACCACAGAGAGTAAGAGATCGTTCGATGTTTTGTACAAGTTTATTAACAATATTCTTGGAATCAAATTGTCTGGGTAGTGAAATGAAAATTAACATGACAAAAGTTCTTTAGCTAGGGAGGAGTTTTAAACGTGGGAAAAATTTACTCAATAGGAAGTGGAAATAAATTAATCTCGATTCATATTTTAATACATCATACCATTAAGCTGAGTTGTTATTTTCTTCTGAGGATCCAACCAGTACTGAGGAGTAAGAATAAACGGAATATTCAGCGCAGTTATTGAGTACACACATGAAAGGCTTTTATTCTCTCTTCGCTATTAGCACAAAAACATCGCGAAGTCACGCGACGAGAACTGTGAAATATTTGCTACCAAAACACAAAACAAACTAGAAAATTCCTTGTTTTGGGTGAGCAACGATTTTTTATAATGCTCTCTGGGCCAAAGTTGGATGATAAACATCTAGACTAAACATCAATCGAGGAAAATAATTGTGAGATTAAAGACCAGGTGGACGTATTACCTTCAGTAGACTAGTATAAGGATACATTGTATTAAAAAGTTAAAGTGCATGTAAGCTAAAACTAACTTTAGGCCGAAGCATAAACAAGCAAATGCTTTGTACCTTTTCTCCTTTACCGTCTTGCCACAGTAATCCAAAATACTCTTTTTCTGAAATATTCAGCTGTGTTGTAACCCAGAGCATCAAGTCCATACCTTTGGCAGTTTTCTTAAGAGAGAAAGTTAAGCACAGGTAAGCTTACATGCAAGGGGCTGATTCATCTATTTTTTTTAAAAAAAAGATAAAAAACGTAGGATAACTGCCCTTAATATGTAAGTTCGGGGTTGGTTTTATTCCACGCCAACATTAATTCACCGACGATAAATTAAAGCTTCTAAAATCATCATAATATGTGACGTGCAGAAAGGAGAAGTGTGCGTCTCAAGTAAACATTCGGATCGAAGTGCCGTTTAACACCACGACAACCTCGGTAGACTAGATAAAAAAAACATCAAACAATCACACCGGAGGAATCAGCAATTCTGACTGACAAAGAGGTTATAACACCATGACAAGAGAAGAATTTAACTGCCCATGAATCATACTGTTAGAAATTATATATTCGAATTCAATCAAACAGAACAAAACATCTTGTTTCTCTTTCGGCCCTACATCACATCTCAGGATAAAGCAAGTAATTTTTAAATATATCTTTTAAGAAAATGAATCAGTTCGATAAACGGAATGTCCTATTCAGCATGAGCGTTTGCGGAAAACTGCTCCACATCAAAATCTAAATTTGTTCGGTTTCAATTCAAGCTTGAGGGTTGGAAGACTGCCATTTCCTTATATAGCATATTCTTCATTCCAGTCACTTAAAGGAACACTCTCTTCTGTCGGTAGAGAACTACTAGAATAGTAGTAGGGTATCAGGAAAAATCAGATCTGGAGTACTTCTGAACGTCGCCTGAATCAAACTCCCAATATTAAGCGGTGGAGTCGTCGACAGAACAAGAACTCAACTTCACGGTCAGAGCAGAATTTGTGACAGTATGATAAGCGTTGAAACTTCTATTACAACAGCCATTAAAACATGATAAACCTTGAAGGGAAGATATGTTAAAGAAATAGCTCAAACCAAACTTAATCTGTGCAAAAAGTTCGTTGAGGACACTCACTTGTAAATGATCTGTATTCAAGACCGTTCCATCGAGAAGAGTGACCTGACACGAAAGACGATTTTTCGGTGGCTTTCTGCTCGCTTGCTGCCTCGGAGAAGCCGCCGAGCTATCCGTATTTTCTCCTGTAGCCCCAGCCATTCGCAGACGATCAACTCCTTCGGCTATCAAACAAAAATAGTTTCGAAATCAACACGAACAAGTAAACGTACTAACGCTTTAACGAGTCGCATCGGCTATTCGTGAACAATAATGACGTCACGTGATATATCTTAAGGCACGCACGCGAACCAATCAGATTTTCTAGCCGTGATATAGGTTCAGTGTCACCGATGTTTCAATTGGATGATATGCCGCTTGTTGCATTTCCCGCCACAAACAACAAGTTATGTCTTTGTCATGAAGTGATGTCATTACTTTTGTGTAAAAAGGAAGTGGGTGTGAGCTCACACCACTAAAATAGTATAGTCAAAAATGCAAAATATGGGCAAATGACGAGAGCGACGCCTTCAACCAATATTTTATTTTCGTTTCAAAGTAACGGTCTTTCAAAAAGTCAAAGAATCTAAAGGTTGTTCAGTCACAATCCTTTCACGCTATTTTGACAGTTTTGTTACTTAACGTACTTTTCTTTCATCATGTGACCTTAAAAAATTGTACAGAAACTCAAAAATAGCCAAGTCTGACAGGTCAATTTTAGTGACCGCCGGATGCCATGTATTGCCAGTCCGCCAATACTTACCACGCTCAAGCTTGTTTTCTTTTATTTTTTCCCTTTTTTTTAATGAAAATCTCTTTCAACGACCAAAACTATTTAAATTAATGTTTCCTCAAAATAGTTTTATCCATTATCGGAAGGTTGCCATGTTTACAATAAATATCTAACTGGAATTTTATGATGATTTGTGTTTAATTAGGAAACCTGCACAAAAAACGTAGCCATTTTACCGCTCAGCAATTGAGGCCAAATTTTTGTCACTTTCTAAATTTGAAAGGTCAATACGTCAGTACAAAAGAATTACAAAAATGTAAAAAAAAGTAATCAGCCGAAATCTTCTAAAACTTGGGAAAATTCTTTACTCTTTTAATTACGAAATCAAATGGGTGGAAAATGTTTAATTATTAGTCTTAGCCTCTTAAACGATTTATCTCTACTGAGAAACATATATATATATAAATAAAAGGGCTCATTTTCTTGGTTTACCAAATTTTTACAGCCAACTTAATGAATTAATCAAGAGGCATCTGAAAGACTCAATATCGAGATAAAACATTCAAGAACACGATGTATTGCCGCGTAAAATGGGAGTCTGTTATAATTACACACTTTTTTCTATAAGAATATATATTTTATAAGAATATCGAGGCTGAAATTTGCAAAATTTTAAGAATATTTTAAGGATAAATCCGAGGCTGAGACTAGGCATGACTAGGATGATTATTTTGAGAGATTAAAAAAATTTTAAAAGATATGTTTTTAACTTGACGGTATCAAGTTATTGCTTCCTTTCAAGGCAAAACTACCCAACAAAACGAAGAAACCTGCATTGGTTATAGCCAAATGTTCAGTGCTAATGACAGTTCGAAGAACGGTACATGAAATACATATCTATAGTATAAAGCCAAAAAATAAATAAATAAAAATTAAATGAATAAAATAAAAAAGGATATGATAAATTCTTTCTTTTTCAATGATTATTCAAAAATAATACACGAATATTTTCAGGCTAAAATCGGTAGAAAAATGAGAATATTCAGGCTGGCCCGAAAAAACAACATTCTTATATATACTGATAAAAGGGTTTATCTAGAAACACAGCAACCACACAGGCCGGAGTGACAGGAGTGAAAAGACCCGGGGGGTGGGTACTCGACCAATCAGTTTGGGTATAGGTGAGCCGCTCAAGGTTTGAAACCCTGTCCTTGTTTTGGACAAAGAATTCCTAGGACAACACCCTCAATTTTCATAGCCTGTTTAGGACAACTCCCTCAATTTTATTTTATTCTGTTTAGGACAACTCACTCAATTTTATTACCCCGTTTAGGACTAAGACAAAATCGATCGTGCATTAGCCTGCGTAGCAAGCGTTTCCTCGCGAGTTCGTCGAGAAAGTGTGCAGGGGCGAGAGCAAAAAAAAAAAGGAATGACCTCTTTTTTTGGCTCTGCTCTAACTTTCGCGCAATAACTCGATTGGAAACGCTTGCTACGCAGGCTAATCGTGCATGAAACACCCTATCTATAATTAGAACAGGCTCCGGCACAAATCATGCACACTGTTTAGGATAGACTTGTGCGAAATTGTATACCCTCCCCATTGGACAGATCAGACTCGTACGAAATTGTATACTCTGTTTAAGACAGAGAGGACGAAAACCATACCCTGTCCAGCAGCACATTTCCGTAAAGGCCATAGACATTCCCCCCCTCCCGGGTGAAAAGGAAAGCGTCAATGTAGGAAAAACTGTTTGAATGCAGAGGTCCACGCAACACGTATAACTGACTGGTTCCTCTTGTCGAATCTCTAGGCAGACGTCACTTAAGCGTTCCGTGGATTGCAGAATGGGTTGTTGCAAGAGAAGCGTACCTCATAGATAGAGGCAAAACCCTGTCACCTGACGGTCTGAACCGAAGGAATGAGCATTGAACTGTTTCTATTTCTATTTTTTTAGTTAATTATTAACCACTTGTGCGAATTTTAAATTCAAATTTTAGAAGCCGTTAAAAGATATTTTCTCTCGGTATAGCTCTGGCCCTGAGGAAGGCTAATTTTGTTAGCCGAAATATTGGCTTATAATAAATCAGCCCTTTGCCGTGGTGGTTTTGTTTTCGTAAAAGTAGCCGGCTCCGAGTCAGACGTTGTTAGGGGTTCGTCACGCGTTCCTTAGCTTCCCCTTAGAACGTCCGCGTGGGAGGCTAGCGTAAAGGAAGTCTGAAGATACGACTAACAACTCGGTCCGCTGTCAACACAGCCGAGACTTGAAGTGCGACTTGTCATAAGAGAACTTTCGGCTAAAGAGGGAAACCGGGTTGACAAGATGAACAAGCTTCAACCGAATTATTAAAATTCAGTTAAAAAGTGGACAAAGTAGCTCTTTAATAATTGCAGGGACAAAAGAACCGTGGTTTAAACCTTTTCAGCAGTATGGAATTATTACTGTTTGTGTGTAAGTATTTTGGAAAATATCCGAAAATAAAGTGTATAATTTTTCTCATAATTGATATTTCACTTTGTTAGGCACACCGCCTAACATACTGAATTTTGGCAAAATACGCGCTATTTGCTGCGCTCTAATGAAGGTGTTTTATAGGGAAAATGAAAAGGTCATTTGGTGACAGATCCTTCAGTGTGGCTGCGCCCACTTTATGGAACGCTCTTCCTGTTAGCCTCCGCAGCATCAAATGTATTTCTACTTTTAAGTCTAATCTTAAAACTTATCTTTTTAAATTAGCTTTTAATACCTCTTAGATATTAAATATATTTGTATATTTCTAATATTTGTATAGTTTTTAGGTTATTTATTGTTGTAATGCGCTTTTGATCACCTAGCATGTTAAAAAGCGCATTAGAAATGAATAAATTATTATTATTATTATTAAAAAAGTCTTATTTTATGCAAACAGAAACGCGCGCTACAAACAAAATAACAAAATCAAAAATCGTTCAAACTAATGGATTTGGGTTCTCACCATTCGCAGTGGCTGAAGTGAAGTGGCTGATAAAATAAAGCACTTTCTATTAATAAAAAATCATTGACTCAACCAATCACAACCCTTTAATAAATAGAGATTAAGAACAGTAAAAAAGCAAAATCCACTCTATGGAAAATTTGCTTTGGTACGAATGAAAATACACGGGATTCAAGACCGTGAAATTTCCTGATTCACCGGGTACACTTTGTTAAGCAGAATTAATTGATAGCATGCATGTTCCACAGCGGTAAATTGTTCACGAAATCAAACAGCCAATTCCCAACTAGCTAACCTGAGATCAAGCGATCCTTCTTCCCTTTTTGTTTGGGAGACAAGAAGAAAGAACGCCTGATCGCAGGTTACAACAAGGCTGTTCTAGGCTCCAAGATAATGAGGAAAGCGGAGTTGGGCAAAAAAGTGTGGGGGCTGGAAGTGAAGTTTCGCGAATTGAGGAGGAAGCCAGAAAGATGATCTAAGATAAGATGATCTTTATTTAAACACTTGACATCAGTGAGCCTAAAAAAAGGCTTGTTACAAAAATATACGTGTATAATACAAATTATATATAAACTAAATTACATTAAAAATTAAATAGATGGAAAATTTATACCCCCTGCCTACAAAATCATGGATAGGAAAATGGCGCGTTTTGGCTTCCGGGCGGCTTCATCCTTGCTTGTCTTGATTTGGGGAAGGGGGATGGGGATCTTGCTGTTCTATTTTATTCTCTCCAAGATCGTAGCCTGGACTTTTAACAGTTTCTTATTTTCTTTTAAAGTTACTACGGCACAAAAAACACGAGACCCAATGAGAAACAAGGTTTTTGTAGCATGGTGGCATGGCTTAGAATATCAGTGGTCGGACGACGAGATCATGTTCCCAGCTTAATATACTGCTCTTTAAAAGCAAGTCGGGACAGAGATCTTTTTATTACAGAACTGTAACATTGTGGAATGCGTTAAAACCCCGTTTTAAATTAAGTGAATCTCTTGTCATTTTCAAACGTAAAATGAAAGCCTTCCTTTTAAATCAATTTTTAATGTCATTAATTTATATGTAAATAGTTTCTTAATAGTTTATTGATAATCAATTTGTGATGTCATAAATTCTATATGCCATTAGTTTCTTAATAATTGTTTATTGACAATTCTTAAGTGTTTTTTTTTTATTACCTGTACTATTAATATATGTCTCTGAAAAGCCCCCATGGGGAGTTGACAATAAAATTTTTATTGTATTGTATTGTATTGCCTTGTTTCTTGACATTATCTCCTCAGTGCACTGATGTACTATTCCCTCTACCAAGCTAATTTGAATAAAAATTAGAGATAACCTGCGGACAAGCATTGTTTTTTCGGGAAAACAAAACGGGAACAAGGACTCCCTGATCGCAGGTAGCCTGCGTAGCAGGCGTCGAAAGGGGTAGGGGTAGGGGATAGGGGATAGCCACGCAGGCTAGATCACAGGTTAAATTAGAGACTGCTTTAAGTCTAGCATCTTGGGTTTGCAGATCGCGCGCCTATGTTTATTCATCCTGTCTGTATATGGCATGCATATCCGCCCTACAAAAAATAATGGCAAGGCTACCAGTTCATGCCATATATGCCTTGTCCATGGGTAATTATTGCTTTCCAGACCTATCTCAAGAACGCTTCCAGCTTGTTTCCACTGCCCCCAAGCAACTTACCTGCGAGCAAGCTCTCCTGGGGTTCCCGGAGGTACAGGTCTGGAGGAGGGAAAAGGGGAAGGAGCACCCCGGGAGATCTTGCCCGCAGGCTACCAAGCAACCACTCTATTTTTTAACCCCCTTAAGCCCAAATACCCGCACACAAATTCTCCAGACCAATCTCCACGAATGCACTTTTCCCTTTGAAGATCATTTTATTAAGTAATGGTCCAGATAAGAAGGAAAGGACCAAAACGCAGTGAACACGTCGGAATGCAAAAAGGTGCTAACTTTACTATTGTCTCTACTAAGGTTCTGATTGGTTTAAACATCAAATTTTACGAAATCTTCGCAAAGCAGCATGTACATCAATCCTTTTTTTCTATCCAACTTCCTTATAACAAAATCTCGTCTGAGTCTAAGTAACACAGAAATCGTATGTGCGGATCATGTAAAATTGTGAACATTTCTTGGCCATTGTTTGCAACTCTTGTGATTGGTCGAAATGTTTTAACACAAAAATACACCCTTTAAAAGTGGAGTTTAAATACATTTTCTTTCGTAAACAGCCTTTTTGTAGATTTATGCACTCTCTGCGTAAAAATGAAAACATTTCTATGTGAGGAAAGCGTATTGCGCCACAACAATAGAAATTGCTTTCCTTCTTACCTGGATCATTACTTAATTCTCATGACCTTCTCATAAGATGTTAGGAGAAAAACGATGTTCGTCACTTTTGGGATTTAAAGGGTTAACAGATGTGGAAAATCCTTGCACCTGTAAGAATGCACCATAGCACACAAGGGCAGGGAATTCGGTCAGTTTTCATGTCTTGCTCCTTCTAATGAAAAGCAATTTTTATGCAAGCTGAGCTCAGGTAAATTCCTTTCCCAAAAGATGAAAAGGCACAAACTTTATGTTACTCTGAAGAGAAAAAAAGGGAGAAAAAAACCACTCAAATACTCCAAGACTTTCTTTTACCATAGTTAGTAGAGGGGACAGTCTCCTCTACTAACAATGCTTTTAGTGATTACATTTTCCCGACTTAAAGAGTCATTGCATCGTTTATATACCTACACTCTCTATAGAAACTTTGCCTAGGGTATACTAAAATATAACTGTGATTTATGTTCTTGACAATGGATCGTTCCTAAAGAACCATTACTCTATTCAATAATATACTATCTCATATTCAGGTCTTTATCTTTTAAGTCCCCAGGGTGCAAAGAAAGTCAGTTTTACAGCCTGCCATTCGGGGAAAGCTGTAGCTAGCATGTACTAGCCCACAAGTCATTTCAACTAGCCCAAAAACCCTTTTTGATTAGAAGGATTGATTACAATCCTTTTGTAATTTGAATTTCCCCCAAAAATTCACTTGCCCATTGGGGAAGTTAAGAACAGAATTCACTAGCCTGAAAGTAAAATCCACTAGCCCTGGGCTATCGGACACGACTTTCTTTGCATGCTGGTCCCTTAAGAATTCAACCTCAGTTTTGATCCACTTTTTTCCCAGGGAAATGACATCTGAGACACAAGTGCAGAGAATTCAATACTGATGATGTGTCACTTCCCATATCTGGGTACTGCTTCTGAATGGTCATGCTGCAAGGGACACTTGCCTCAACCAATCAGAAGCATGACTCAGATCTGGGTAGAGACAGGTTATCACTACGGAATTTCTGCAGTTGCCCTCAGATCTCACTTCCCAGGGAAAACCAGTGGTGGCATTGCAAAATGTCGGCTGTTTTCTCAGGCTTGTACTTTCTGAACCTGGTATTTGGGGCACTATTTTTCCCACAATAATTTTAAAAAATTAATGCTGATGAAAGAACAGCAAGACAAGTAATATTGTTCTGGCTGTTAGCCACTCTTCAACTTTCCAAACGAAGTTGTAATGCTGTTATCTGTGCATAAATAAACCATCCAAAAATTCAAATAATCAGTTGTCTCCCAACAGCTCTTGTGACATGCAAGGAAAAATATTGGTACCTCAAAAAACAGTACCCTTTATGTGTGCATGAAATAATACTGAGCACTTTCCCAAAGCAAGGTTGTGCTTTAGAATAAATTGTGGAAAGCCCATTGCCCTAAACCTGTGAAATCCTGAGCATGAAACATTGAGTTTTATTAAAACTAATATTTCTTTATCACTCAAGGGCAAAAGTAAGGCACCAGGGACACAGCTACAGCACAGCCTTACTTTAACTGGGCCAATAACATTTAAGATTTCTCATAAAGATTAACTTGGCTAATAATCAAATTTGGGATACAAGACTGACAATTCTGGAAATCGGAGACTGATTAACAAATTAATGAAAATGATATTGTACTGAACGTTGCTTGTGAGGAAAAGTTCTTTCCTTTGGGAATTATATCACCATCTTCCTGTCATTACCATTGTAATTAACGGACACGGAGTACTAAACCAAAGATAAGTTACAATGAGAAGAGAGAAGAGAAAGCTGTCTACATTCGGCGGTAGCTTCCAAGCCTTGCATGACAGTTTGGACAAGAGTGGATGACATCTTTGCAGCCATCCAAACAGAAAGGGATCAAACAGCAACCCAGCCAGCAGCTTTTGGGAAAAAAAAGAAAAAAAATATAAAAAGAATTTACTTTATTTGAGAAGGTTAAAAAAAAGCCAGCCATAGGCTGATGTGGACCTACTGTACACATAATTTAGATAACTGTTGGCAGGATAAAACATAAGTTTGGAAAAAAAAAAGCAATACCACCTGATTCTCGAACTGCTTTTCAAAACTTAATCAGTTGCCTACTCGCGACTAGCCTTGAAATTGTGGTTGCCAGCTCTCAATATTTATTTCTGGGCGCATTAGTGACCACCATATAAACAAACTAACGCATGAAAAAGCAGTGAGGGGACTAATGGTAATACCTTACAATGAAAAGAGTACAAAAAGCAGTAAGACCAATGCCCTTACTTAAAAATGCCAGCCACCACTTTATGCCATCTGGAGACCGAAATTTTTGCTAATTTGCAAGATGGCACTTGTACCAAAAAGTTAATTTTGGACCCGGAGTCTTGACTTTTCTACAATTCTCATTCTTCAAAAGTAGCTTAAACATTGCCTTTGGCCAGTAAATCTCTCATATGGGTCCCTACCCAACCATTTTACAGTTAGTTTCTGTGGCTCTGTTTAAAGTAGGGCAGACACTTGTTGATGGAAACTTCATCATTTTAGGGGGATAACATTGTCAGAAAATTATGGGTAACTTTTTCTTTTTTCTTCCCGATACTGATCTTAAAATCATGGGAAAGTAATTTACTAAGCCGTCTATATTTTTGTCTGTGTTTGTTTTATTTACCAGGGACCAACATTATTCTAGGTGTCCATTTTAGGCAGACATCTTATACAGGAGCTCATTGAGAGAGGAGTATCTTACCCTAACAGACAAAGAGCTCCAGCAGCAAGCCAAGCCAAGATCCCATCTTGATATGTTGTACAAGTTATGATGTGTGTCTGGCAATGAGGACAAACCATGCTGACAGGTGACTCTCCAAAGACCATGTTGACATACACAGGACCTGGAGGGGTAATGATGGTTGTTGTGGTGGTAGGCTGTCCAACTGGTGGGGAAGGTTGGTAGGGCTGGGGGTAAGGTTGTGGATGAGGGGGGTATTGTCCAGGTTTTCCCATGCCCCCTTGATAAGTTCCTACAGGACACAAGATATCATGGGAATTAGAATATGAAATCATTAACAGAAGCTAAGGTGAATAGCAGTGCCAGGATAATACTGTATTTTTTTGCTTTTAAGGCACACAACTTTTTCAACAAAAAGTTTGTTTGATGGCTCTAAGTCTGTCGTAATTGTGGGATGCGTCTTATAACCGAGTATCTTCGGGCATAAAAAAAAAATTGAGTCAACTTTTTGACTCTAAAAGCTCCAGCTGCTCATCCTCTTTTTTGTTATCGGTTTTCAACGACTTTTACATCTTCTATTAAAGCTGGTATTAAACGACAAATGAATCATTGCATTCAAAACAAATCATCTGGCATTGATCATTTTGAACTGAATGTTGATCCTTGGTAACCAGGCAAATTTTTGAGCACGTGCTTGACCCAAGATGGCGGTTTGTTTACAGTTATTTCTATACTGCGATCTTGCACTTGTTTCAGACCTTTATTTTCCGAAGAAAGCTCCTAAATCTGTTAAAAGAACTGTGAGAGCTCTTTTATCACTCTTTTATCTTTTTTGATGAACAAGCTCTTACTTTTACCAGATACAAAATATTCAGGCTCTGCATGTATTACTCGATCGATTTTATCTTGATTCTACCAATGCATACAGTACCAATGTCAATATGCCACAACCAAGACAGCTGATTTGTTTATGCAACAAAAACGGATTCCCCATTGAAATATTCTCAGCTTAGAAAACAGTGCATTTTGTGAGATAAGTGTGATTTTTTTGCTTTTGATCGAAATATGTAACCTTTTCCTCTTTTCAGTTCACATAGGTGAATAGCTGTAAGAGTGTGTTACTTTAGTTAAGGTATCTGCACAGGCAAATTTTGCACATTTTTGCATCATTTTTAGAGGTTGTTTTATGGATAATATCTATATGTCACTACATTGAAAGTATTCCTCAGTTCTTGAGGAACTAGAATATATCAAAATAAACTATGTTATGTCACCCAAAAGGTGTTAATTCAATTACCCCCTAGGGTGGCACGGAAAGAGAAAAATCAAAATTTCAGAAGAATCCTTAGAGTTATTGTTAAAAAGGAAATGTAACACAAATAAGGACGTAAGATAGAATAATTCTGTGTTTGACCACGACACAGCTCCAATTAATCCAGCCTCTAGGGCACAATTTGTTATTTTGTAATTTGACCCATATTTTGACATCAATAACTCGGCTGTATGGCAATTCTAGCCTTTAGTCAAACACAGATCTGTTCATTAACAAGCTCTTTGTGTATTTGCCAAATTTCACGAAGAAATAATGATCCATTCCTCCAAAAAACTGGTACCCGTAAGTCAAGGTAAATCGGTCACGCGGTAATTAACGCTTTTCCAGTGTGAAAAAGCTTATTTTCTTCTCAAAATCAACTGTTTTTCCTCGATACTTCCATCACAGACCTTCTTGCCCGCCATTTTGAATCACCGCTGTGTGAAATGCTCGTGGAAGCCTAAGAAAATGCCAAATGACCTCTCTATAGCCCCCTTGGATTTTGATACGTGACCAGTTGCTAGGTGTGACGCATTTCCGGAAGATGCGTTACTCAGTGTCAGCTTTAATGCAGTGAAGCGCGCCGAAGTATGAAGATTGAAGAAGAGTTTTATTCAAAATTGAAAAGAATTGCTTCTGTAAAGTGAAAGAAATTGGCAGAAAAACAGACCAGAGGATTAGGGGCCAAGAAAACGTTTTACTCTCCCGGCAAAATTGCCAGAATATATCAGGTGAGAAGACACACCGATGTAATGTAAATTTAAAACAATATTAAGTCCTAGAAAACGGAGTATATTTCAAGAACATAACAAATTTTGACAAGAAGCAAGTAATGTTAGTCATCACAGCTTTAACAGAAGGAAGAAAAATCAAGTTGGACGTACAGCGGTTGTAGTTTGTCAATGAATCCAAGCAGTGAATAGATTTTGTTCAGCGCATCAATAGAACTTGATGCTGGAAAGAGGAGTCAAATTGCGCTCCTGCCGTCCTTTTTCTTAGTAACGGAAATGAAAATTTTTCTTTAACTTCCGGTAAATCAGTCAACTTTTGAGTAGATTTTCTCTTACGTGCGAAGGTATATTCAAAAAAGAACACCAGATATGCATATTACATCATCTGAACTTACTGTAGAAAGATTTTGAGGGCAAAATAAAATGTTGAAAATTTGCCTGTGCAAATACCTTAAGGTGACCATTGCCAAAATCCATGGCCTTATAACTTAGAAAATCGGGTTGAAAAGTTTACGATGCGTCTTACAAATGAGTGCACCTTTTAACCGAAAAAATACAATGTGCTCTTTGGTTGAGAGCTACTGTCTATGAAAGTATAAACAGTGCAGTGATATTGCGATATGGTTTTCCTAGTTTTTGCTGTTCAAAAATAAATGTCATTGTAAAAAGACAAAACTTATCAATTTTGTCCACGCAATTATCGATCATAAAAATTCCATCAAGATGTAGCATATCGTTTCAATGTGATCTATATATAAAACAGCATAAACTATATAAAACTTGTGGTCTATTTGTTATTTACAAAAATACAAGACTTTTACAGTATTTTCATACCGAATGTACTAAAAACATTTGTATTTGATGATCATTATTGTGATTCACTGATGTATTAAGAACATTGGTGGCACACTTATCTACACCTTGTGCACCAATTTTTGGTCCTTCACACATTTTGACATCAAAACTCAGAACATCGCATCTGATAGTTAAGCAGATTATGGAAGGCATCAAAATGTGTTAAGGACAACAGAGACCAACTTTTGCTGCGGTTTGTTGACCATTTTTTTGTTATTACAACATTTTGACATCATCAGACTTTTTGTAATGCATATGAAATCTATTTGTTGAATACATCAATTTTAGAGCCATATCATGAGATAAAATAGCCCTGACACCATTTTTTAAATTCTTTTTTCATGCTTTGTGTTTTTTTTTCTCCAAGCTTATTAACGCAGGCCAGCCTTTTCAAATTCGCTGAGGCTATATGGCCGGTAACCGGTCAAGGTTTTCAAAACACTAAATGACCAGCAGTCCTGTCTTTTCTGCAAATTTCACAAATCGAAAAAAACAGCTAATCTAAACTATCATATGTCCGTCAAAAAAAAGTCAAGCGATTCTGAAATGCTTTATAGATCTCACGTTTGGCATTTGGTTTGTGCTGGGGTCAGAAAATGAACTTTTTTCAGGTCGACACGCCCGTCAAGGTTTTCAAATGACTAGCAGTCCAGTATTTTTAATAAATTTGACTTATCTAAGAATCCCAAACAATCCAAACTATCATATATTGATTAAGAAAAAATTAAGCAATATGTAAAAGGTTACCAAAGGACTCACACCGGTGAAGACGTGCGGCCTGTCACCCCCTTGCTGTTTTTCCTTTGATACTTTTTCAGGTCGACTGCCGGTCAAGGTTTTCAAAACACGAAATACCTGGCAGTCCGGTATTTTCAATAAATTTGACTTATCCAAGGATCCCAGCCAAGCCAAACTATCATGTTGATTAAGAAAAGCCAAGCGATCCTGAAATGCTTTATAGATTTCAAGTTTAGTGTTTGATTTGCTGGGTTCAGAAAATGAAACCATATTTTGTGACACTAAGCATGGAGATATTTCCCACTGGTTTTCCGCAGTGGCTGTGTGAAAGGTCAAGCTGATATGACGTTCAATGTTGATTGTCACGCTATGCTTTGGACATAAAATATTTTTGTTGGTTGCGAGTATTTTGATGTTCATGACTATATATATAGTCACGAACATCAAAATACTCGCGACCAACAAAAACATGATAAAGAAATCCCAAAAAACCAGCTGGTTTGATTAGGATCAAGACATATGACAGGGGCACCCAATGTCAATTTTCGGAAAATATCTGTTCGGAAGACGATTTGAGATCTAGAATTTTCGGAACATTTTGTGTAAAATTTCTTGCTTGCCTGCCTCTCCTAGGATTTTTGAACATCTAAAAACTGGTATAATTCCTCATTTTAAACTGATTTTTACCCGAAAAAGGTCACCTACAATTTTCGGGAGCCTTTTTTCAGGCTGAAATTTTTGAAAAGGTAAGTTTTTCGGATCACTAGACTTTCAGCTAAGAAATCCGAACACAGGTAACCTAGGATCACTGTTTATGTCACGTACGGGTTTCATAACATGAATAAATATAGAGAACATATGGGGCGAAGTTTAAATCTGGAAATTTGCTAGAAAATGGAAATATGTTAACCTACTAAAATGGCGGCCTGAAGCCGTTAAGATCACAACTAGTCCAATTCAAAAATGGCACTGAGTTCGGGGCACCTGGTGACGAGTATAAGTCCCCATGGAGGGAAGTGTGTAGTCAGGTGGCGAGTTAATTTTTTTGAGCACTCTGGGACTCCCTTCCCTCCATGGGGACTTAACATACTCGTCACCAGGCGCCCCAAGCTCCGTTGGACCAGTTGCGATCCTGACAGCTTCAGGCCACCATTTTAGTAGGTTAACGTAAGAGTTCTACGGAGCCTGCTGGCTTCATGTTACTAGCTGGAGATGCTTCAGTGGTTTCAAGGTTGAGAGAAATTCATGTTCCACGAGCCTGGCGTGTTTATTCAGCGACTGGATTTGAAGTTCACAAAAAAAAAGTGTTCGTTTGGGGTCGATCGGAGCTGCGACGCTGCCATCAGCCTCCTACCTTGCCACTATACTACGTAGGAAAGATGAAGCAGACTATTTTTCTTGAAATTTCGTGTGCATATTAAGGACAACAACACCTCGCCACATGGTAAGTTTCATTGATTTTTATTTCCATTTTCTGGCAAATTTGCAGACCTAATCTTCGCCCCATATGTTCTCTATATTTACTCATGTTATGAAACCGGTACGTGGCACAAACACTGAGCCTGGGTTACCTGTGATCCGAACAGATGAAAAAGTTTTAGGGAAGAAAAATATACCAAACCTACCGTTTAAATACTAAAATACATTTAACAATGCTATGTTTAAGTGGTTTTGAAAATAATATTCTCGTTGGCTGCCCCTGATATGATGGTTTGGTTTGGCTGGATATTTTCGATTTGTGAAATTTACTAAAAATATGGGACCGCTGGTCATTTACTATTTTGAAAACCTTGACCGGTTACCGGCCATATAGCCAAAGCGTTTCAAATTCAAATTAATGACCAAAGTAACCCTTGACAACTCTAAGACCACTGGGCTATTAAATGCTGCACAGCGGCTTCAGTAAAAAATTCTGCTGACTGTGAGGGATTCGACTATTAATTAAAATGCAAACTGTCCTACTCCGATTTTCTTAACCAAAACAAATGAGCAATGTTCAACTCCTCCCAAATTGAAGGAGACTAAAGTAAAGACGACAGTAGAAACTCCGATAAAAGGGGTAATTAAAACCAAAACGAGACGTTTGCTAGCACGGTCGTATTGAATAATCTTTACTTTTCCACTCGTTGGTACGTGCACAATCGATGACTAAAACTGAAACTGGTAACGTAAGCCTCCATAAATAGGTTAAAGCTAAAGACGAATCGAATGAGTAAGGTAATAATCACTGAATTACCGTATCTACTGTAAAAGGTTAACCACCTTAAATATTGTCTTTTGCACAGCTCTCGTACATTAGAAAAGAACTTCAGCTCTGAGCGCGATCGCTGAAGCTGATAGAAGACGTGCCCATACCGTTCATATTCACAATCTGAAAAAGTACTATTACTACTTACGTACTTACCTCCAGCGGAGTAAGGTGGTGGTGGCTGCTGGTAATTAGCATCTGTAGAAATTGCTCCATAATTATACGGTGGAGGTTTTCCTTCGCCCTCCATGATTCAGCTTTCAGTTTCTCGCTCCGTCTCGGTAAAAGTCTTTTCTAGCACTTCCTTCCACTGCACGACTCACGACTGTCCCGTGACTCGTGAAAATGGTGCCCAGACCCCTTCCAGAGCCTGAAATGCGCTTGTAAAAGCACTGTTTTATTGTGTTTTCGTGCATTCTTGGTTGATCCTCGCTTTTCATCACGTATATTCTTACCTTAATATAATAATAAGAAATTGAAGGGAAAGAAAATGGTGACCTAAACGGAAGGAAATTAAGGTTACCGGATACCTACAGGGGTACCTCACAAGCAAGGGATGTAGCCCGTTCTGCTCTCAAATTGCATACGCGAGCGTCCGAAATGCGTTTTTAGGCTAAAACTCGAAGCGATTTTTTTTGTTCGCTAATTTGATTCAAAACTCAAAGTGCTTAAAACTGACGTGTTAGGGTTTTGTCATTTTCACTTCGACGAGATGTTACCGAACACTTGGAAATAAATACACAAAACCCCTGGACACAAAAAAGCCTCTCAGCAAGAAGTTTTAGGCAACAAAACATTTCCCGCCACATTTTTGTTGCTTACACATACAGCAACATCCATCAAATTCTAGGTCAATCGAAGAGACACCCTTTGAATCAGGTCAGAAATAGGGTTTAGTTTTTTCCCTGGTAACCACAAGAGTGTATTGACACATTTTAACCTGAAACTATGTTTAGTGTCAAATACTACTAAATAATGATAAAAATGTGTCAACAATATCTTGACTTTCTAAAGTACAAGGTGGTGGGTTCACAAACCAACCATAATTTCCAAAAGCCAGGTCTGAATATGGATGATCACAGAGAAATTGTCCGTATTAACTGTCGGTGGGTCTGTATTACGTAAGTTGAATTTACAGAAAATTTAAAGAATTTCTTTCCCCAGGGACAAAAGCAAACTCAGGCCCATAGCAAGAACTGAGGTGGCCCACATTAACCCCCACCCTAAGTCCCTCGGTAAAAGCATACTTGCCAGCTATTGCTGTGGATGGCTCCAACTCATTTTCATTTCCGGGTTGTTCTATGATTCGGATTGTTTCTTAGACTACACCAGGCTCTGTGTCACTAGTGGATGGTTTTACCCACGATAAAAGTGTTCCCTGTTTATTTTCGACTTGTTTGGGTTTCTTTTTCAGCGGCTCTTGTGAAGACATTGTAAGACTTTCAATATAACCGCGCAAAACCCTAAGTTTTACTCTAGTACAGTAGTATATTTTACACTGGCGGACCTCTTAGGAAACCATTAAAGTTCAAGAGGTCAAGATCAGGGATTGTCATTGGTGCATTTCGATCCATTTTGCTTCTGACTATTTTAATGCTTAATAAGCAGATATTTTAAAGCTGTTGGTTGTTTTTGGCAGACCAAAAATACGATTTCGTTCATTTACACAATTCCAAATTGCACAGAAGAACAACAGTACATAATCTTACCATGATCGACAATACTTTGAAACTTAAGCTTCCATTGACAGCTGTCCATTTTAGTAGAAAAAATCCACTTTTGTAGCAGAATTTAATTCAAGTCTGCCCCTCCCCCTGCTATGGGCCTGAAACTGTCCGTAATAATAATGAGGTGTCTGTATTAAGCCAGTGTCCGTATGGCTTCCCATGCGGTAGGGCAGGAATGTGTGATGAACCCCTGAGAACATCTGCATGGGAGGCTAGTGTCCATAACACGGGGTTTAAATGTAGTTTCAACTCTGTGCATCAAGCAAGGGCAGGCCTTAATAACAGGGCAGTGTAAAACGCAGACTGCGGACTGACTGTGGAATATTGTTTCTAGGGTTAGAAAACAATGGAACTATTGCTGTCACATACTCATTTGCATGGTGAAAACAATAGTCCGCAGTCTGCGTATTACACTGACCGCCTTAACAGTTAACACTGAGAAAAAATAAGGAACTCTTGTAATGATTTTTTTATTGTTCATTTGCCAAGCAAAATGACAGTGCCTTATTTAGCTACGCTTGTTTGTCTTGAAGTACTGCATTAGGACATCATGTGCTTGGCCCTCTCGTCCATAATCCTTTATGAAAGGAAAAAAGTGAAAATGTATCATCAGAACTTAACAAACACCTGACTTAATTTATTCCTACCAAGAAATTACAATGCTTAGTCTAAAGTGGAAGCACACTTGGCTGCTCCAGCTAGTTTGTAGACAATCCACCCAAAACATCAAAGAAATAATTAGAACAAACTTAATAGGATTTAAAACCCTGCCAGACTGGCAGGTTCAAAAGCTACATGTAAAAACTCTCTTCTCTTTACAAAACTGATGCAATGACCACTCGACTATACTGCATCCCAGACCTCTAACCTGGTTGTTGGGAAGGTAGGTAACTTTAGAACAAAGCTGTTTTTGAGAATGCCTTTTTCAAACCATTTTAAACTTTGGCAAGAATGTTGTACAGGACATTTCTTGAAGCTAACTCAGTGGAAGACATCTTGACCAGATACTTTAAAATGAAGGCTTGAAAGCCATTCTTATGAGTGGTGTTGCTACACTATATAGCCACATTATTTCACTTTGCTTAGCCATTGCCAGGAATGAATAAGCCCAAACATTGCTATTTTCTGTGCCCCCTCAGATTCTTTATATCGATTCCGGTTTTGGACATTTCCTCAGAGTAACTCAGAAGAGGGAGTCCTTTTTTCATCATAGGAAGGCACATTGTTGACAAAAAAACTAATAGTCTTTTTTTGTTTTAAAAAAAACAACAACAACACCAGCAAGCTTATCTTTGCAATGTGAAGTTAACATGTCAACTGAGTGTTAAAAAATTCAAGCAAAGATTAAAACCTGCTTCTATTGATTATGAGAACTGACTAGTGCTAATTAGAGCTACGAAATGTGATAGGCAGTCCAAGTAACTCTTTTAAAATGAAGGTGCTTTCCTTTGAACTTCACTGCAGTCGTTCCAACTTAATTCCTTGACAAAAGAAGGGAAGCAATGGGTGAAAGTTAAATGTTAGGAACTGCAACCAAGTTCAAAGGGAAACAAAAATTTATTTATGTTATGTATATCTTATATACCACCTTCATAAAACATTGCAATAGGAAATTTGACTGCAATAACTATTGTGCACATTATTATTGTACACAAGATGGAAAAGAAATATGCAAAAAAGTGTGATGTATATGCGCAGAGCTGTTAGTCATTAATGCTGCTGTTTTTATTTCTATGTTGTTGCTTTCACCATGCATTTTTAGTTAATTTAACTTCCCATTTGTTCCCTTAAAATAGAGGGATGTGAGTGTTTTCTCACCTTGACAGCAACACAGCTGCAGCTGACAACTTTCCTGGCCTTTCCTTCTTTATCTATCTTGCAGAGACCAGCCCATTCACCAAGTTTCTTGTTATCATCTACCTAAGAAAAATAAAATATGACAAGGGTAAGACTGTTTGTTGCAAAGGCCAGTTATGAATCAAAAGCTTTGCTGATAAAGCTTGCTCAGAAATCATGGACATATTGCTGAGAATTTTGCTGAAAATTTCACTCAAGCCTTTTCAACGGTACTGCTATTGATTGTAAGTAAAAATTTTGAACATATTAACAATGGCACACAAATCTTATGACAGTGTTTCTTGAGCATGATTGCAGTGCAGTGAACTTAACACTTTGAAATTTCAAGAAACATTCCTGTTTGCCAATGAACTACCAAGTTAAATGTCAACATGACCTGTGATTAGCCAGTCATGTTAAGTAGCGGGTAAGTCATCGCACCATAAAAAATGCCGCAGTTATCTTACCTTAAGAAGGTGGATGTTGTGTTCAGCACAAAGAGCTTCCACAAGTTTAACATACTGGGTTTCATCACAGTTGTTAGCCAAGATACACAAATGGGCCTCACGCCTGTGGAAACAAAGGAAAAAGTTTGGTAAGTTTTAAACATAAGCAAATATGGGATGGTGATAACATGAAGAATTTTAATGTTTTCTGAAATTGCTGGTTTGCAGGTGAAGTGACAGTGGCCACACTGGTTGACAAGAACAAAAGGGTTTCTCTCCGATGCAAACTAAACTCTTAATTCTTATGCAAGTTGTGCATAGAAAAATTGTATTGTTTTCTCAACCAACATGACTGCCTTGTTGTAAGGTTGCAAGAATTTGACTTTTTGCGGAAGTGAAGGGGGAGGTTGGGAGAGGATAGTGGAACACCTTTTCACAGTCCCAGTGGGGCCTACTGTGCAAGGGACAGCAGAAGGCTAACCTGCCTGCTCCTAGCACATAATTATGGTAGGAATAGACTACATTATTTAGACAGAAGTTATCTTAGCAGCAAGCAAAGCAAGTCAAATGAGAATGGGGGTCATTGAAAGGCAGATGATGAGGCTCAAATCACTTCTTAAGCTGGCAACTAAAGTTCTCACACAGGTCATTTGATATTACAGTGGAACTCCACCTTACGACCACCTCAGTAATACTGTTACGTCCTCATTACGGCCTGGCAAAAAGGTCATACATTTTTGTTATAAAAACCTTGTTAATGTGGTCACCCATTAATATGGTGAACAGCTACATTTTAATATCCCAAACAGAACAACCTCTTATAATTTCAGACCATTAATGTGGCCACTCGTTCAAAATTTAGAAAATGAAAATGCCTGACATGTCTATTACATTTAACTAGTAAGCAGTACACCTAGATTACATTTGTGGCGGTTTAATAGCCATTTTTTTAAAGTGCTTTATGTACTGAAGGAAAGTTTAAAGTAGTTTTTACCATTATTGTGCGCGATGCGCACATTACAGTTGTCTAGAAAAGAGAACAATAATAGTTCAAGAAGTATGAATGTGACGTATGATGTATTTGTCATTACAGTCGCACGAGTCCTTAAGTCCAGCTGTAAGGGCCTGTTTACAAGGAGGTGGGGGACCCCAGATAGGTGAGGTAACATGTGGTGGAGCACCCCAATTATCATGTAAATGTGATCAAACTAAAATGAGAGATTATATGGACAGGTGGGTTCAGTGTTCTCCTTATCAGGCAGTAAATTTTGTGAAGCAACACTTCATACCGCCTGCAACTGCTTGAAGGTTTACTAAAACTAGATACGTAGTTTTAAAAAAGATGCAAGTTGTGATCCCATCTGATCAAGGAAACAAACGAATATATGGAAAAGCACCAAAGTATATAGCTTTTTTTATGGGCCACAGTCATTTTGGAAAGGGAACATTGCAGACAGAGTAAAATTTTTGCGATCCCCCAGGAAAGTGCACCTCTGGGGCATATTTTTTGCCTTACTGGCCATGAATGGTTGCTTATCTGCCGAGCTAAAATTTAGGGAGAACACTGTGGGTTACCTCTGACTAAGTGGGTTACCTCACCCCAGCTTCAGGTAAACAAGCCCTAAGTCATGAAATTTGACTCTGCCCCAGCAATACGGCCAAAGTATTTTGACCCATTGGTGACCATATTCACAGGCCGGTTCCACTGTACAAGCAACGAAAGCATCAACAGTATATAAAACAAAGAAGCCTAGCACTTTGGTGAAAGCTGATTTAATATAGATCAGTGGCCTTAAACTGTCAATTCTGTAACAATAACTGTCCAGGAAAGGGCTATTTCGTGGTTTTTAAAATCTCACCATTTGTTGGATTAAAAAACAGCTGTACCGTGAGAAATTCACCAGAGACAACCTTCAACCCCGATAAAGGAAACAAATCCGATATTTTCTCTACCTGCCTGAGAAGGATATGTTAAACTAAAAGCACGTTCAAGATAAAGTAAGTGATCTTATTTACCGATCCAAGGCTTTAGCAGCTTCATGCAAACCGCGAGCAAGGCCGTCGTGAACGAGAGCAGTCTTCAAAACTTCTTGAAGAGCGGTATTAACGTCCATTTCACCAACAGGTGCTGGCTGTGGCACATCATCTCTGTAAAAGACAATGAACCAATGCTTTGTGTCCAAGGATTTTTCTAAACTCTCAACGAAACCTCGAAGAGTATTGATTCAATAGCTTCACATGAATTTACTACATACCCTTCCGCATCAGACATGGTTGTAAATCAGAGCGGAAATCCTTACTGATGGAATAAAATTACAGAGAGAGAGAAGAAACATTAATGTTTCATTTTGTATAAGATTTGCTAAGGATTCACGAAACGATGTATGAGATTATTTTAGATGTTTTTGCCTACATGATGCGCTTCTGTCCGTGCGTTTTCTTGTTCCCGAGAAAGAGAAAGAGAAGAGAAGTCACGTGGTGTTCAGACTTCGTTTCCAACTCCCCGCAGGCTCCTCCCGCCGATTCAATCTCCGCCGATTTGAAGACTCGGAGTTGACTCGGGGATATTGATTCAAATTTATCTTGGGTATAAGAGAAAAACTGTTTATGAAAAGTTTTTTGGGGTAAAAAAAATTTGAATTGCTGGCGATGCGAAAGTCTTAAAGTGACGAATCCCGATTTTTCAAACCTTCTCGGGAAGAACGGATTGTTTGGTACGTAATGTGTTTAAAATATATATTTTACTGTCGTCACGCAACGCTCCTCCCGAGGAGGAGGGAGGAGCGTTGCATGACGACACTAAAAACGGCTGTGTAGCACATAACATAACATAACATAATCTTTATTTAAGGTGGGAGAAACACTTAGCTAAAGCTATTATGCAGGTTTTCCACAAATCAATATTAAGAACGAAAGAAAGAAAATATGTACATAGAAGTGTAAAAATATAAAATATCTAGCATCTAAAATTACAAAATTAGATGACTAAAAGTGAATGTTCCTCACTTGTTTGTTAAATTCTAGTCCTCCAGCTCTTAATCGTAATTCGTTTGGAATACTGTTCCATTGTTTTGCGGCGAAATATCTGAAGGAGTTTAATCCATACTTTGTAGTATTTACTTTTGGCAGTGAATACTACAAAGTACAAAGTACAAAGTATAGGACTTGTGATGGTTCATTTAAAATTCACTTAACTTAGTGCGACCCCAAAAGCCATTCTCTTGAGCTTTCCATCCATAGTTCGTACAGTAGAATCCTGATTTCTCGAATGCTCGGTTTTTCGAAACTCCAGAGAATTCAGAACAAAACTATAACTTCCCTTCACTATGATTTTACCCAAGAGCCATAATGGCTCTTGTTTTACCCTAAATTTTTGGAACCTCTCGGTATTTAAACTAGTGTGCTAGAGACATGAAAACGTCCTGTATCGGAAATATAATGGAAGTGGGGCATGATCCAGCTGAAAAACTCATAGTATGTCTAATCAAATGCCCGGAAATTGGAGCAGCACCAGCTTTTTCGAGTAGTTTTTATTTGAAGAGACCCTGATAGTATATCGCCAGTGTTGAATAGGAAACAATTTCATGATTGATCATTTTCATTGTAACAATAAAAGTGTATCCCAAGATGAAGATCTATCCCCTGGCACAAAAAAAAAAAAAATGCAAAAACCGTGCTTCACCGCTGTGCGGAAAAAAAATCGTTGATTATCGGATCTGCATAGTTTGACTAGTTTGTCTAGTGTGAATGGAAGATTACCTAACATATGAGAATAATGGCGGTGCTACATATGAGAACACGTCAAATTTCACCCTGCGTTCATTTATTGTAATTAGAAAAAAGTTTATCCAGGTTATTGTTCTCATTCGGAAGATTATTAAATTGAAAGTCCAAAAATAAACAACTATATTAGTCTTGTCTGTCACGAAAAATGAAAGATCAATTACACTAAAAGCAGGTATTAATTTTCCCGACGTCCCACATTCCATCAACAATTGCAACTCTACATGCAAAGCCCACTACAGTGAAAGTTGAACCGCTTCTCTTACTTTTGTTACTATGCCGATCAGATACGCTGAAATTCCCAAGCCAAGCAAAAATTAAAATCTCTGAATGTATCGATTACAGCACTGCTACCCTGCCTTTGAGGAGATAGCCTCCTTTCCTAGATACGTCAAGTAGTGATAGTCAATTCCGACTTCGTACAGACTTTCATATTTTTGTTGCAACTTCAGTCACAATCCTAGCATAGATATAAGGCAAATACAAACCATATACTGAGGGCGGCCTATTGCAAATATCAGCATATGCTTGCATTGTAATAGAATATATAATCTAATGTTCCTGTGAGGTTGTCTTCACAAGGCCTATTTATAGTAAACATGATCCACCTGTTCCAAAACCAATTTCAGTTAACCATCTGATTAAAAAAGAAACAGAAGTATGTCAGCTATCTCGAAATTTCATACAACCTTAGTGGGTATGCTTCGAAATTTGTTGACATTGTCATCATATGACTGACGTAAGTCTCTTTGAAAAAAGCAATTTCAAGGAACAGAAGCCCCTGGAAAGTAAAAAGTTTAAAAAATGAAATGGCTTAAATTTGCATTTCCGAACGTTAACTACATTCACGGCGAGACCTGAAAAGATCTTTAGGGAAGTCTTTACCACACAAATTTAGCACGATTAAACTATAGCTATCGAAGATACTGACAATAGCAAAGGCAAAGATTTTTTGAGCTAAACAAGGCTAGGCAAGGCCACCGCGACATGACCTCAGGATTGTCATTTACTGAAGACCGCTTTGTTTGTAAGTAGTATTTTTTTAAAAATTTTAATTTCTTTTCGCTAGTTCTGTCTTTTGGAGAACAAAACATATACTAAAAAAACTAGGAGAAGAGGTGAATCGGTACCAAGCTCCACGGCTTTTATCTGAAACTGAAATTAAATACAAGCGATTGAAATGATCTTCAGTTAAGAGAGGTCGTTAATATAGCAAGTTATAAGGACCTCTCTTGATGTCTCCATCATTCTTCAGAAAAGATTACCCACCAAGAGAAGACGAAGTATTCTATAAAGCGATCTAAGTAAAATCAATATATCACCAAAAACTTTATCAGGGACAATAATTAGAATAATAGAAGCCAACAAAAGGGACCGTTTGATTGAATTGCTCTTTCACCTGATAAGGTTTTCGTTAATTTTACTATTAAAATAGCATACAACTTAACCGTTTTATTTTTTATTAATAACATGAAGGCAAATGCGAAGAAAAAAAATGTTTAAGTTTTTCGGAGAGAAAGAGCGGTGTGTTCAGTTTTCGGTGTGTTCAGTTTTACGGACAAGTTGAAAATCTAACCCGTAACTGCAAAGAGCTCTGTGAAAGTTTACATGCTTTAATTTTAATCCTTTCTGTTAAACTGGGGCCGTTTCTGGCTCCTGTACCGACAAACTACCCTTGGTCGTCTGAGCACGATATGACAACCTGAACTGTGGAATTAAGTTATAGCAATATGGCATGAGCAAACTCGATATGATAAAAATTTGTCTTGCTTTATTTTATTCATCACGCTTGACAGCTTATAAAAGTGTGCATCTACCCTGACGCATGGTACAAGGGGGAGGGACTGGAGTGTAGGAAAGCGAAGCCTAGCCCTGGTGGAAAGTTTAATGGTAAAGTGTTTAATTCATTTTCAGGAGCTGAAGATATGGTCTCCGCTATCTTCTATTTATCATTCGTGTTTACTATCGTTTCCTTGGTTACTTGTACGTCATGTATGCTTGTTGAGTCACTGGTGACAAGCAGGAAAAACGTGTTTTTAAAGGGACGTGTCATGCAACGTCAACTGACCAATAGTCAGTTATCGTGTGCTCATCTTTGTGCGAGAATAAACGGATGCACGTCTTTTAATTACAACCTCGAGTCGAACATTAAAGGACTTTGTGAATTGTTGAATGGTTCCAATGAAGCATTTGATCACAGCCTCACAGAGGGAGCGGGGTGGATATTCGGACAAGTTGTTTCTTCTCAGAAAAAGTCTGAGGAGCAAAAAAGTACGCAGGGTAAGAGTACAATGAATAACAAGAAGATTACTAAGTAACATTCTTAAACACTTATGTGATGAGGAATAGCAGAAAGTTCCGCTTAGCTAGCTCATTATTTTTGTTATCAAAGTAGTAAGGTTGCGGAAATAATCCAGGTTGCCCGTATTTACGCACCATCGTATTTACGTAGCCTCTTCCATATGGACACCCTCATGTGTATTATTGCTTGGCTCAAACGCATGTAAATCCATTTCTCTCATCTTTGTGAAAATTGGCAAGCAGTTTCCTACTCACGCTTGCATCCATTCGATTAACTTTCCTTTTTGTCAGGTCTAAATCACGTGACTTACACTCGCCTTTTAACGGCCGTCAAAAGTTTCACCAAACACAAACGTATGCAGATTAGTCTCAGGGTTATTCTCAGCGACATACTTTTACGCACTTTTAACAACGCCATCGACACTTATCATGAGTTTCAGCATCAGCATATATTAAATATATATAATACACATATACAGTGGAACCTCGATATAACGAAGTCCTCGGTATAAGGAACGATTTTCTTTGTCCCAGAAATAGTAAAATATATGAAAAAGAACCTCGATGTAACCTAACCTTTTTATAGCGAACGGATTTTGCCAGTCTCTTGGCACTTCGTTATATCGAGGTTGTCCTTGCCCTTTTCTATTCCATATTTGAAAATTTTTAAGTTTCATGAAGACCCAAGCAACAGTTTAATTTCATTATTTTTTTCTACTCATCCTGTTACATTCTTATCACACATATGATCACGCTTTTTAGATATTAACGTACACGTGACCTTTACTTTTCTTGATGCCAATGGCCGCGAAGGTCCCAACAATACATCCGGGTACAAAGGATCACAACTGGAGGGAAAAGTTCAACTTGTGGCTGGAATCCAAATATGGAGTGTCCCAGTAACAGGGCTCTATAGTATAACAGCCTGGGGAGCTTCAGGCGGAAATGCTACTGGGGCAAATCCTAGGCTCGGTGGAAGAGGTGCGAAGATTAAAGGACATTTTAAACTGAACGCAGGAGAGAAGTTAAAAATACTCGTAGGACAAAAAGGGAAATGCCCAAGTCTAGACTCACCAGGTGGTGGCGGTGGTGGAACGTTCGTAACCAAAGGGAATGGTTCACCACTTGTTGTCGCTCGGGGGTGGTGGTGGTGGCGCTAAATTTGAATCTTTCAATACTTCACTGAACGGAGACCCTGGCCAAGTAACAGAGAATGGAACTAGACATGGGGGGTACAGAGGACAAGGAGGCAGCCTGTGCCCAAACTCATCCCAAATTGAGGGTTCCGGGGGAGGCGGTTATCGAGGAGATGGTCAGCGGTCCGGTACATGCACTGGAGGGCAGAGTTATTTAAATGGGGGAAATGGGGGAAGAAGCTTCCCAGGAATTGCTGATGGTGGTTTTGGTGGTGGGGGAGCAAGCACTTCGCATCCAGGAGGTGGAGGCGGATATTCCGGTGGGGAATAGAAAGTAAAGAGCACGAAGTGACGGTCGCCGGAGGTGGAGGTTCGTATAACGGCGGCATAATGCAAGAGAATACCGGAGGAGTACAGCAGGGAGATGGGAAAGTAGACATTAAGTTAATCAAATGAAGTTAAGCTGGTATTGACGCCACTTTTACTACACGCATGTGACTATTACTATCAGAGACAAGAACAGGAAAAACTTAACAGTTGTATATGTCGATAGGGGGTTGTTGAGGCGTAGCATACGTTTTATGAAAAAACCAGAACTGTATCATTATCCAGAGCCGGGCGTATAAAAAGTCCAGTGTAATAAATTTGGTTAAATTCAAGGTTATCATAAAGTTGTTTGTTATCGGATAATTCTTATTCCGATTCAGAGCGAGGATGCCATTTCGATCAAGTCTCCCGATTTTTATTTGCACAAGCTTAGACCGATTTCGTAGCGTTTGCTTGAACCATCCCTAAGTAAACCTTACGAAAAAAGAGGAGCACAAATCAAACATTGGATTTGTATTATTCAGAAATTGAAAATTTTACAAAAAAACCTAATTAAAAATAGACTATAGACTGAATTTACACCTAATTCAAACGAGACACTCTATGACAAATCTTTTCATCATATGCCTCTTTACTGTTAAAAAAATCGCGACAAGATTTCATAGGACATACTTATGTACTTCTTGTTGCTAGGTAGCAAACACTTCAAAATGTATGCTATTTACCCAAGGCATAAGAAATAATTCACTTTAAAAACCTTCAAACAATGATATTTTATTTGAAACCGGAACAACTTTTAATAAAACATAATGATACGTGACACAAGTCCAATTCCGAAAAGAACCTATTTTGTATGTTGTCTATCTATTTACATTCAATTTCATTTTAAAAGATTTTGTGGTTAATAGTTTTAAGTTAATACTTTCTTAGCACAAAAGAGGCGCAATGTATAACTTCTTTGTCTTAGCAGTTGTTGTTTTATGTTTGCGGCGGGGAGTCGGGCAAACCATTCATCGGCGAGCGGCTCTGTTCAACACACTGGAAAATTTCAGGGTCATTAACGGTGATTTGATTAAACGACAAAGAAGCCAGAGTTTGGGAACTTGCACACAGCAGTGCTTATCTGAACCTTCATGTGCATCTTTTAATTTCGGTTCGTCCTCGGATAGTCGTGGATTTTGTGAGCTGTACAAAGATGGTGGAGACGTAACACTGAGTGCAAAACCAGGGTGGCTTTGTGGAAAACTACTGGATAAACGACAATTCGTTAAGCGTAAGTTTTAATTAAGGATTTCATTACTTGCTAGAAGTGTTGGTAAATACATCTAACATATCATACCGATCACTCAGGTAAAGTTTTGCTCACTTTCTTCACAAAGGACAATATTACTGGAATTTTTTCGTAATTCTTTGATTTCCAAGGGATCCTGTTTCGCGGCCCTCAATCCGTCTATTCACTGGCCGGTATGGATTCAATACACACCTTAGCCTGAATTTCATCTGATTACTTCGAGTCGTTATTACTCCCTCAGTTACTGAGGGAGTAATAACGACTCGAAGTAATCGGATGAAATTCAGGCTATACACACCACTGTGAAGAGACCTATCAGGGTGGATTTCCACTTTCGCATAATTTTTACGTGCGTACTCACGTATGTAAAAGACGTAAAAGGCTGGGAACGAGGCTGAGTCTAACCTCACCTTATAAGGACATCTCTCTATCAAGGAGAGTACTATTCGTCCCGGAAATGCCAAACCTGATATCAGTTCCGATGCCTTTATACTGACGCGTCTATAATGTAACCGCTCATGTTTGTGCCTTATTCCCTTTGGCCCCTGCATTAATAATGTTTGAGACAATCTTTTTTCAGGGGCTCGGAGGACGATTTGAGATCCAGAATTTTCGGAACATTTTGCGTAAAATTTCTTGCTTGCCTGCCTCTCCTAGGATTTTCGAACGTCTAAAAAATGGTATAGTTGCCCATTTTTAACGGATGTTTACCCTACAAAGGTCGCCTAGAATTTTCGACAGCCTTTTTTCTGGCTGAAATTTTCGAAAAGGTAAGGTTTGATCCCTATAGTTTTCGGATCTCTAGACTTTCAGCTAGGAAATCCGAACAGATGAAAAATTTTTAGGGGATAAAAATATCTACCGTTTAAATACTAAAATACGTTTAACAATGCTATGTTTAAGTGGTTTTGAACTATATTCTCGTTGGGTGCCCTTGTTTTTTTGTTGTAGCACCAGCTGAATGCAAGACTTGGCGAACCAAAGATGGCGGATGTTGTGTTTTCCCGTTCTTTTACCAAGGGAAGCTCCACGATAAGTGCATTTTTGATGGTCAGTTATGGTGTTCTGTCACAGATAACTACGATACTGACCGGATGAGAGGTGCTTGCCAAGGTGAGATCTATCTCTGAGTTCTATCTCTAACACTAAAGTTAGCAGCAAATATCGTGGTTCTGTTCACTACACAATCAGTAGCTAGTTGAGAGTATGTGACTTAATGATTGCACCAAACCGCTATAGGTTCTACAGGTTTAGGAGAATGATACCATGGCTGATCATGATAATGACTAGTGCATGAAGGGTGCATGCAGCAACCTCAAACCTGGTTAACTCGACATGTACAGAAAGACTGAAAAACCGTCGGGCTTTTTGTCAAACCTGTTTTTCATGGCAAGTAGTGCAGGCGTGAGATTCTCGGGCGCGTGCTAGCCTCACACGCCCCAATTCAAGCCATACTCACCCTTCGTTTTTAGCATCGCTTGACTGCTCGCGTTCTTGACATGTGCAAAAAATGCGGGCTGTTGGCCACCGTGCTAAGAGCCGTGAGGCACGCAAAGCGCTGAGTAAAAGCCGTGAAGCCGACACCAAGAGCCAGAAAGACTTGTGCAAATTGCTAAACGTGAAAAACACCTTACCCTGGTTACAGTAAGTATGACTAGTATTTGATGCAGCCAGTATACGCTCAGAATTTTTTCCTAGCCAAGAAAGGAAATATTGAGAGACTTATGTAGATTTGTTTCTCTAGCAAACAAGTATGCATTGTATCGTTCGAGTTCTAACTTTTTTCGCTGAAAAGTAATTTCTTGTTTTCGAAAAATCATCTTGCTTACTGACCACCTAACAAACATTTATTGTCAGACTTCAACTTCACGTTTACCACGCTGGGTGCCCAGGGAGAGACAGGACCGTCGAACACTTCTGGATATCAGGGAACAACACTTGAGAACAAAGTCACGTTGCAAAAGGGTATCCAAATATGGAAGGTGCCAATGAACGGAACTTATGTCATAGAGGCCTGGGGAGCATCAGGTGCTGTTGGCAGGCAAAACAACTCGTGTTCCTCTACAAGGGCAGGCGGCAAGGGAGCTTACATGAAGGGGTGCTTTAATCTTACTCAAGGAACGTCTGTCAAAATTCTTATCGGGCAAAGGGGGAGTAATGGAAAAACCGGTTCTCCGTTACCTGGGGGAGGTGGAGGTGGGACATTTGTTGTTCTTAATTCCGGTAATCCTTTCATCATTGCAGGCGGTGGGGGTGGTGGTGGTGCACCATCAAATGAGTACAGTGAGGGGGACCCTGGGAAGATCACAGAAAATGGATCACAGAGTGGGGGTTTCAATGGAGATGGTGGAATACTTTTTGTGGAGGACCCCCCATCTGCAAACCTTGATGCCGGGGCGGGAGGTGGTTTAATTGGAAACGGCAAATCAGGAAAAATTACCAAAGGAGGTTCAAGCTTTAACAATGGGGGTCTAGGGGGAAAATCACAAAGTGGAGGAAATGGTGGATTTGGGGGAGGGGGTGGAGGGTTTCAACATCCTGGTGGAGGGGGTGGGTATTCAGGTGGGGGTGTCATGAAAAAATCTGGTGTCACCATTGCAGGAGGGGGAGGGTCACTTAACAGAGGAATTAACCAGGTGGAGACAGAGGACGTGAATAGAGACGATGGAAAGGTAGTTATCGTACTTGTTGAGCCTGAGAAATAGTCCGCGTCAGGAATTACGAAAGATCTTAGTCAAAATTGATTAAAACACAACTCGGTCTACATGCATTGGACTAAAGTTCTCACTGATTTCCAAGAACTGAGTATAACGCTCAGTGTTCGGGCGGTTGATTAATTGAGTAGTCGTAATCAGAAGTTGACATAATATAGAAGATTGGAAAATAGTCGTTTCTACGACTACTCAGAGTCAGTTCTTAATATATTTGGTTTTTATTTTCTATGTAGCAAACTTCGTAACTTCATAACCTTTTTCTGACCAAATATTGGGGTCTTCCTGCAGATACCTTCATCTCAAAAGAAACAAAGGAACTAAACAATAGAGGTCTCCTGTGGGGGTGTTATCGTTTGGTTGTACTTTGTTGTACGTAATCTGACTCGGTACCAACAGAAGAAACCAAAAATTGGTCTCTTTACCTCTATTATTCCATGGCGGATAAATAATAGAGAGACTGGATATGAAACTAGCTAACGTGATCAGTTCCAACAAAGTGGAGAATTGTGACGTCAAATTATCCGGACATTTTCGCCATCGTTTTGTCACGAATTTCCACTAAGATGGAACCATCAAACGCCCTAAAATCTTGGAGCACGAAACGACCAATCGGCGATGAGAATACCACCAACGTGACATAAGTTTCCTATCAAGTCCTTCTGATTATCCATGATTATCCCCTGTCATAGATTTTACTTTCTTGTCCAAAAGACTGGCAAATTCATGTTACAGTTACATGGTGCATGGTAATCAGTTAAACGAGTCTCCCCATTAACTAGGGTACTTGGGGCAAGCTATACTCCTTACACTTAAAAAGTTGCAGTGAAACTTGTTTTAGGTGGACCTCACATTCAGCAGACACGAACGCCAGTGAGCCCGAAACTTGTAATTGTCCTCGCATATTTTTTGCAAGCCGAATATGTGTTTCGCTGCGGTCTTGAGTGTGTCCGCTAAATTCAGGTTTCACTATATTCATTCATTTATCAAACGCGCCACATAACAATCATTCACCGAAGTAGAGGTGGCTACTGGTGGTTATTTACCGAGCCGCGAGGAAAATATCCACCACTAGCCACCGACACTGAATTGAATAATTGTTTTAGTATATACTAAAACAGTGAGATAATTGAACACAAAAAATGATGATTTTTAACTCATTTACTGTTGTCAACGATTACAATTTTAGGGCGCAGTAACCAAACGGCCGTCGCGTTTCCTTGCCGACAAATAGAACTTTTGAAGGCGTTTGCTTAGCTCTTTTGTCTAGCTCTTTAAATTTCTTCAAAAGGTGTTTTGAATTCTTTTTGTATTTGAAACTATTCTTCAGAAAACTATTAAATTTAGTTTTAAGCTCATTTATGAACACGTAACGCAAGATTTAATTTGCATTTGAAAACAAAAAACTTTTTCACCGGTTTCATCGATAAATTCAAGTCAAACAGTCAAAGCTTTACCTGTTACAACTTCCAAACCTAATTTCGTCACCTTCTTCGTGTATTTCGGGAACAGCTTGTTTGATTATTTGTGAAATTTCTTTGTTTGTTACGGCATCAAAACGGGAAGCCATTTTGCTCGTAACTTACGCAAGTTTGGCGTCGCTTGCTCGGAGGAACTGGAGGTGAATCAGTGAATACTTAACAATTATTCTTTGAAATCGAGGTGAATAGTGGCAAAATATTTACCTCGCCACGAATATTCCTAAAGCCACTATTCACTGAGATTGAAAAGAATAATTGTTTTAGTATATACACATGAAGTGATCTCAACAAAATCAGAGAGGAAGCCATTAAAAGTACGATTTGATTGACAGATCAGGTCAGCTAGACACGCGACTGTTTAAAAATAGGCAGGTACAAAAGTCGGACCGGATCAACTCGGACCGCCAGTCCGGGTCGGATCAACTCGGATCGACACGGACCAACTCGGATCGAATAAAAAAATAAAAATAAAATAAAATTGGACTCGGATCAACTCGGAGCAATCAAAAAATTAAATTTAATCAGCAAAAACTGAAAGTTTAACCCATTTGGAGGGTAAAAAAGGCCAGATCATCCTTTTTTCGCCGTGGCTTTCAGGCGCCATTTTGTTTTACTAGTGCCAGTTCCTCTCGGATCATGTTATAAACTCGAGGTTGTGGTTGCGTTACACGACGCGCTCTGCTTCACAGGAGGAGCGTTGCGTGACGACACTAAAAACGGCTGTGTAGCAGACTACAGATATGGTTGACCTCGAGGAAAGTAAAATCTCGACCATCTTTCTCAATGAATTTGCTTTAGTCCAAGAAAATGATAGTTTCAGTCGCCTAGAATATATATTTGCTTATTTTTTTATTTTATTGCAGCTTTTTGTCACAAAGCAAAGAAGGACTTCTGAAACTTAATTTTAATGATACACTAGTGAGCAGCACCCATACATTTCCAGTGAACATTTTCAGCTTGGAAGGAGGAGAAACCATGCTCGCCCGGGACAAAGGAAATTTCCATGCCCCAGGCAAGAATTAGCCTGCGAACAGCAGACGCATTTCCGGTCGTCGCTTCTCTCCCTCCGAAAAATAGCGTGCGATTTTTCGGAGGGAGAGAAGCGACGACCGGAAATGCGTCTGCTATTCGCAGGCTAGGCAAGAATCGAACTCGCGACCCTCCGGTTCAGTGGTTGGAACGTCCTTAAACATGTAGTATTCGGAGGGTCGTGAGTTCAATTCTCGCCTAGGGTACGAAAATTTTCGTTGTCCCGGGCGAGCATGATTTCTCCTCCTTCCAAGTTGAAAATGTTCACTGGAAGTGTATGTGTGCTGCTCACTAGTGTATCATTAAAATTAATAAAAATAAAAATAAAATTAATTTACGCAACCACGAGTTAGTGAGAAAAAAACAAAATGGCGGGTGAAAGTTAAGTGATACCGACTGATTTTATTTTTCTTTTTATAATCTGAGTTGTGTTTTTTTTGTGATCTGAGTTGATCCGAATCCAATTTTATTTATTTATTTAATTTTTAATTGATCCGAGTTGGTCCGAGTCGATCCGAGTTGATCCGACCCGGACTGGCGGTCCGAGTTGATCCGGTCCGACTTTTGTACCTGCCTGTTGAAAAATAGATCTTTGCAGAATTTTCAAACATGGCAATTCACAAGCTTATCACTTTGCAAACAACAGCGTAATGACTTAAATGGAACTGCTAAAAGTTTGAATTGTTTCCTTACCTGAGAAGAAAAGAAGAGCTTTGTTGGTTTCTGTTGACTCGCCAAGTTTATAGCTGAAAAGGTTTGTTGTGTCGTTCTTATTCGCATGAAGTGCTCACAAAAATGGCGATTCGGTTCCTCGAGGTAAGACGTCATCTTCTTTTAGCATTCTTTCTCGTGTTTACTTGAAACGTAGAATTTCTGCAAACATTTGCTTTCAAATTTGTTTGTCATAAATAAACTTCGTTTTTGGGCCAAATTTTTCTTGTTAGGAAACGTTGAGTTCACAAAACGGCTCTTTGAGGCGAATAAACGGGAGTTGTAAACAATCCATCGACTACAAAACTCAACAACAGTAAATGGACAAACGCCGTCTTGAATCCTTCGAAGTCTTTTCTTGCCTGAAAAAAAGTCAACTCTAGGATTTTGCCAACTTTTAAAAGATCTTCCTCCAAGAAAATCTTAAATGGGGAAAAAAACCGAGCTCACATATTATCCACTCGCTAGGAGGTGAATATTGTTGAATAGTCCGAGATAGCGAACCAATCAGATTGCTTAAATCACCAAGATCACTGAGTGTGTATATACTGACACTGCATATCCGGAGGTTGAGTAGCCAACCAGAGCGCGCTAAAAACACTATCCACTGTTTTAGTATATACTAAAAGATTATGTCTACTCTACTGTAAAACAAATATAAAGCGACTGGATACAAGTCTGGTCACATTTCGTAGGCGTAACTTGTAAGGGAATATTGGTATGACCGAGAGAAATATTAAAAACAACGTGGACAGCTTGTTTTTGTAGCACCTTTAAAATAAGGGAAGGACGTTTCACGTTTAACCCTCTGGTCACCTCTTCCTGTAAGCATAATCACTTGTTCCCATCAAGAGCCTTCTTTGGCAACTGCCTCCCCACCCTTCACTGGAGAGAGGACCCTCGCAAAAGGACTGCATGCTTACTGAGCAGTATCACCATTGACAACCACGCAGTACCGTTTCAAGATACCGTGAGGGTTTTCACAACATAGCTGGGTTCGAAAAAACAGGTTTTCTGCCAATAGGAGCATCATTTTAAGGTTAAAATTATTTGCCATCGTCCTATCATTGTCGGCAAATCTTAATTTCGTAGCAACGGCCCTAGAAAATTCCAAACACTCATAGCAGTAAGACAAACACTACCAAAAAGAAGAAAACAACACTATCATTGATATCATTTTTTACTATCGTAAATTACAATAAGATCGCTTTCTGACGACTATAAAGAAGTAGAAAAGAAGCAAAGAGGGAAAAATCATCGACATTCCCCAACTGATATTCGCCTAAAGAAATTGTAATTATAAATGAAGACGCACTCTATTTACCATATAAGAAATCAAGAAGCGAGAGCTAGATGTCCAAATTTTAGAAGCGAATCCCCGGGGTTCCTAAGCTCTTGACCGGAGTAGCCTGGGACGAAGTTCCCATGAACTCCATCAGATTGTGTGCACCACGAGGTAGAGCCAGTACCCAGTCCTTTCTCTCCAAAAGGTCAAAAAGCTCCTGCAATAACAAACTTCCCTTAAGTGTACTCAGCGACCCAATCAGAATGAGCTTCCTCTTGGCACGAGTTACAGCAACGTTGACTCGGCGCCAGTCTCTCAAGAGATCTCCGACATTACAATGCTCGTTACTACGCACCAAGGACACGATAATGCAGGACTTGTCGCGACCCTGGTATTTATCAACGGTGTTGATTTCAATTTCCTGCTGTTTCGCGTCCCTGTAAACCACTTGCGAGATAAGCTTCAGCTGGTGCCTGTAAGGAGAGATGATTCCCAATGTTGCAGGCTGTAGGCCACCTTTTAATAGTCCACAGGCCAGTTGATGTACTAACAAGGCCTCTGTCTCGTTGGATACAAGGTGCTCGGAGCGTGATTCCGGTGCGGGAACTTGGTCGGTGTCTAGGAACACTACAGGGCAACTTGGTGTAAGAGCATCAAGAAGCCAGGTATCTGGAGATAAAGAAGGTCACAGGTGAACTCTCTTTCGATTCTAAAGCCTTGCGATTAACAGATAAAGGTGCGTGCCTGTTTTCCATAGGGCTCAGTTACTGTGAAAAAGGTCAGCGAGGTACAATTTTTGCCACCCGTCGTTTAGAGAGCCGCGCGGAAAAGAAGCGAATGAAGTTAGTTGAAAAAAAAAAAGGGCCATTAGTAGCTAGACTGTCGAATGGTACAATAACAGCGTAACTGGTGCCCGATAGCCCGGGGCTAGTAGATTCTGCTATCGGGCTGGTGAATTCTGTTTTTAACTTGCCAGACGAGCAAATGAAGTTTTGTGGGCAATACAAATTACAAAAGAACTGCAATGCTCATCAATTTTTTTTTCGGGCTCGTTGGAATGACTGTTGGGCTGGTGCATGCTAGCTGCAGCTTATCATTTGGGCAACCTGTCAAACTGACTTTCTTTGTACTCTGAATAACCTATTGCTTATTGGTATGAAACGTGGTGGGACAAGAAAAAAAAGCTAAATTCTTTTTTTAAAGGTCCCTGCTTTGCACCGCTTGCTCTTCAGGTGTTTTTATACCATGTGACTCTAAAGCTGCAAAGGGCCTACTTTAGGTTTCTGCTTCAGAGAAGGGTCCTTCTTTGAAAGCCTTCAGTTACAGGATTGAGTGTCATCGGCTGTAAATGAAGGGAGGAGGGGGGGGGGGGGGGGGAAGAACATATAGTATCCGTTATAGAAGGTATTTACTATATTTCCAGGTCATTCAAAACATAAACGTGTCTTACCCGTGGTGTTTTCCTTGATATAACTGAGCAGTTCATCCCACTCAGGTAGTTCTAACACAGCACGTGCCACACGTTCTGTGCCACACTTGAGCCTTTTCTCATATATCAGAGTATTGGACAGCTCCATGATGTCCTGGTTCATTCGGTACTGATGCTCCAAGCTGACAACCGCATGGGGATGCCGCTCAGAGAGACGTTTGAACAAACTCACGTCCATTCCCCCTTCTCTGTCGAACAAACAAGCTCCATTTAAAACATGGACAGTTAAAAGCTCTATGTAGTTTTAAAGAAACATAATATGGAAAATATGTTCAAAGACAACGACAATAATGTCGTAAGATTGCTTCTCGCCTTTGAGGGCGAGGTATATGATAATTATTAACTTCTACGCATAGTTCAGTTTCTTTAGGTTGACCTTTCATGAGACCTGTCTGCGCAAAATGGCGGTACGCAGCTTTAAACCACTATAATCTACGCCGACCTTATCCGTCTACATTTTCTTCTTTAACACATGCTTATAAAACACGGTCTTGAATCTCCTTACTTCACATGCATGAAATCTATAAGGACAGAAGTAACCGGAGCTCATAACCCGGGAGAGCACCTTCTATATACTCGCGTCACGGCGTTTTCACTGACCAGTTTATTTTTAGAACGGTTTTCGCGCGAATTTCGAATATCTTCCCACAAACCAGTCAGCAACACCAAAACCCCTGAAAATGACATTTTTGACCTTTTAGTGACGTTTAGTTTTCCATTGTCGCATCTTATATTTATAACGCGCTCATGAACGGAGCGGAGCCTTCATTTTCGCGGGAAAAAGTGCTCTGGAATGTATCTAAAAAAAACCGGTCCGTGAAAACTCTGTCACATAGGCCTAGTATGGGAGTTGCTCGCTCGGACTTATGGGCTCCTGACGTGACGGTAATTACTTTTAAGTTACCTGGCCTCTACACTTTGTACCAATGGCGGTAACTGATAATGATCTCCTACTAAAATGAAGACACGAGCTCGTCTGAGAGGCCCAATACATACAGGCTGCGTTATCTGCGAAGCTTCGTCCACTATGCAGTAATCAAACGAACGCTGGGAAAACAGGGCGTGGTTCACACCCAAACACGTGGTCGCAACTACAGACTAAGGAAAAAGGGACTCAAATAATAAAGAGAAAACATCCTCATATTTCACGAATTATTGACGGAGTAAGTGCAGTAGGCTAGAAATGTGCTTTGCAAAGTGATTAAAATTTAGATCTGCATTTTCTCCATAAAATAATTGTTCTTGAATTTCCATATCTAGTACGTTTGTATTCAATTTTATCCTTAAATTTCTATTTAGAGTCAAACCCCGCGTTACAGACACCCGCTTAATACGGACACCTCATTATTACAGACAGTTTGCTTTGTCTCTGTGGAAAGAAAGCCCTCACTTTCTCTAAATTCAACCCGCCTAATACGGACACACCGTTGATAAGAACACTTTCTGTGCCCCCCTCAGTGTCTGTATTAACGGCGTTTGACTGTACATTGTTTCTTCGACGCTTAAAACTTTTCAGAATAGAGAGGAGAAGTCGTTACGTCACGTTGCCATGGTAGCAAAATTTTTAGATGACAACAAACCAAAACGTCACTTGAAAAGTGGATTCGTACTGTTTCAAACTTCATCGATCTTATATAATTTCATTTAATTTGTCACATGTTGGCGAAATTTTCTGGGTTAAATCCGAAAGGACCGTATGTAAGTTTAGAAAAAGATAAACAAAATTTTTGTGTTGTGCTCACTTACTCCATAAAGCGGGCGCGTGAAATTAGGAAGTTTGATGTCGCGGTCGTGCAACAACGGCTAAGAAATGTGCAAAAAAACGTGATACACGTGGAAAGATGTTTTTTTGCCAATCTAAACCTACTTTTTTTTTGCTGCTCGCCGTCGCCGTTGCATAAACTCCCTATTGTTGTCATCCAGGGCCGAGTTGTTCAAAGCTGCGTTAAGATAACCCAGGGTTAGTCCAAAATTTGAATTCAGAAATGAAAGCTTAGAAAGCAATTTCAGTTTGATTCTTTTTGTCAACAAGTTGATAATTGGATGCTCTTAAAAATAAAAGAGAAAATTATCCGAGAAAATGCTTTTGAACAAAAGAAATAGAAACCCGGGTTAAATTTAACCCTGGGTTAAGCGCTAATCGGCCTTCAAACAGCCGGGCCCAGAAATTTTGCTACCATGGTAACGTGACGTCACACTTTTCCTCTCTATTCAACTACATTAATTTCGACTTTGTTATTGCAGACCTCCATTTCTGATAAGTACAACCACCTTTGAGGGTTCTTTCCCAAAGCCCGCTATCTGACTTTTAATTATTTTGTAGCGGTTACCATCGGTTTAAGCCCTTTTAGACACCGTATGAAGTTTACACGACGTAATATTCTTATCGCTTCGGCTTCCCCTGTATTGTAGATACGTAGTGTGGAAGCGATAAGGAATACTATTATGTGTAAACGTCATAAGTTGTCCAAGCGGATCAAATGCTAACCTTTGTGAACATATTTGTTACCTTAGATTCGTAGAATTGCTTGAGTTCATTGACCGTCTTGATACCAGCTGCCGCTCGCTGAGCACTGTATGACTGTATTTCAGGTAAAATTTTGTGCACTTGACCAAGCCGGAGAAAATCCACTTTTGCCTGCCGAAAAGAAGGGGTTAGAGATTTTTTTATTTTTCTTCCACCACCCGCGTTTAAGACTAACCAGCCCAACGTCTCAATAACATAATCACGGTTCTTAACGTTACCTTAAGGGGTTTTCTTTTCGTGCTTTAACGTATTATCGCCCCCTATTTAACAAATATTCTCATTGAACAAGCAGGATGCACTCTTAAAAGCCCCTCGGGTCACTGGAACCTAACACATTCGTGCTCCACAACCTAAAGGTGCGGTAAAGCGGACAACAAACTTGGGCAACTTGTTTTGCAACATTGCTGCAAAACTGAACGACTTGAATAGCGACGTTGTGGGTTTTACCACCCACGAATCAACGTGGCTGCTTGCAACAAATCAGGTTGCTGCAGAAAGTAGAGAGCACTCTTTTTTGCATCAAACTCTGTACATGTTGCGCGTTTCACCGGCCCAAGGCAAACTTGTTTTTACAGCAAGTGCCGTAACTCCCCCGCATGGCGTGACTTCCGCATAATTTCATCCAGTCAAACGACAGTGTTCACGCAACTAGTAACAACCTCAGTTTGTTGTAAGACAGGTTTGACCTTGGTTGGTAAAACGGGCAACATCTATATTCAGCTCGTTTTGTAGCAACGTTGCAAAACAATTGGCACGTTTGTTTTACCGTAGCTTGAGAGAACTCTCGTACTCACCGGTGCGTAGAAAAAATGCGGACTAAAAACAGACTGTTCAAAAGAAAAACTTGTTCTTTGATAAGCCAACAGCACTGAAGACACAAACCTCTTTTAGCTTAAGCAGGATATTGTCTACAGCAGTATGAGTGTAACTGGTTAGCAGAACAGATTTACCACAGGCTACCAACACGCGGACCAGACAGGAGATTGTTGTGGTTTTGCCCGTACCGGGCATACCAAGAACCAGAGCATAATGATGAGCACACAATGCTTTGGACACTGCCTTACGCTGATCTGTGTTCAGTTCCTGAAGAATGGCCTCTGTAGCGGGATCAGTGTGGACTTTCTGGCTTCTGTTGCTTTGAGAACTAGAAACAAGATAAAATCTTAGCTATAAATAGTGTCTACACTTGAAAGGAAATAGAAGCGTTGATCTCTTGGTTAGGAGAAGACTAAGGGTGACTGGAGCATATTCCAAGATAGAATATCCCCTCTGGATATTCTTAATAATCAAATCAACACCTGAAAGTGCAAATCCTAATGTCATCAGTCATAGGAAAACGGACCAGGAAGCTGCAAGCATTAATTAATAGGCGAATGCTGGACCCAGTACTTCAAGGGCATATTCGCATTAATTCAAGACGAAAATTCTAGCCCACGATTGCATTTACTTCCTCACTCTCATGTGCGCAGTAAAAAGTAGCTACAGTTTCTTATCCTTTAAATTTCTTATTTTAGTTTGAACGGAACAGAAAGAAATTAGCGCGCGTACCCAAAGCAAGAGAACGTTTTCAGCAGATCTCCTCCAAACTCTTGAAATCACGCTTACAAAAGGACTTGGGTTATCATTGTTGCGAATTAATCCTTTATTTACCAGGACAAAATGAAACTTACGGTGACTGTTGCGAGAAGTAGTCCGTGATTTGTGATGTCTGACTTGACATGGCCACGGTGTCATTTCTTCTTTTCCTTGAAAACACAGGCGGTTCCAGGTCAATGATTTGTCGTCGCAGTTGCGCGTCTCGTTCTGATTCACCTTTAAAAAGCCTCGCCATGTTGGACCACAGGCTGGATAGCGTACTGTACTCGTCATCTTTGTCCAGGCGATAGATTCTCGAGCTTGTTTCTTCAGTTTGGTTATCATACCTTGTTTTAAATGAAAACAATGCGAGGTGACTTTTAGAGCGTCCTATGGTAGCTGCACGGGTCCTGTTTCATGAAAGTTGACGTAATAAGCATTGCGTCACTTTCATTGTAGAAGGCAAGCCACGCGAGCGCGTATGAACATAGCATTTTCATCTCGAGCGTCGCGTTTTCTCACGAAAAGCGACGTACCTCGCTCCTGAATCAGCGAGTCGAGAGAAGCTGAAATACTCTAGAAGTTTCGAGCTTCAGCTACAGTGGAACCTCGATTTAACGAATCTCTTCAATTGGTAAGTAGGGGTGCTATGTTATGAGGTTTACCTTTTCATTAAATCTCTGTCCAATAATACAACAACTTCCTCCTTTTTAACTTCATGGACGTAACCTGTAGGGCAGAAGCAAATAAAATCAAAAATGATTCTGAAGAATCAAAATATTAATAATAATGACCAAATATATTAAATATTTCTGGGCAACCCTCTTGATTATTTTGAATAGCCCACGTTCGATATATTTGAAATTCTAACATGACTCCCAGACTTTCTGGTTATTTTCTACATTTGGCTTGGTTTTCTTTGTGCTCGTGTTTCTTCTGGGAATTGCGAGACAATTAAGTCGTGAAAAATTTGCAACTTTGTCCCTAGTGAGGCCCTGGAGTCATACTGGGTCAGTGCAGCATCAAATTGCATCACGGGATCGTTTGGGGGAGGAATTTTGACCTAGTTCCCCGCGTAACTTCGTAACAGCTAATAGGGAGCTTTAGCAACGAGCACGCCGACGACAACGAGAACGTCAAAAAAGCAAGAAGTTTGATAAGAAAAACAACAATTGAGCACGTGCGGCACACTTTTTGGTACAATTCTTCATCGCTCCCGCCGGCTCCTTCATGCGACGTTTAATGGAGGACGTAAACAAACGACGACGAACTTATCTTCCTCTTTCTAAACTTTTCTGCGGTCTCTAATAATTCAACTCCAGGGAAATTCAACTACATTTGGCATTTTTAACGAGTTGGAATAAACACGACAAAGTTTGAAAAGAGGCAAATTCATGACGTTTTCGCTGCCGTCGCCGCAGTCGATGCTAAAGCTTCCTAATGAAAGTAGCGACAGCGTCCTTAAAACATGATGCAATGCAACATAACTCCGACCCAGACTCGCGCTTAATTTCAGACTGGCCAATGGGACACAAACTCTAAGTACCTGCAGCAAGAGCTACGGCCCCACTATGCTCTTCACTCAGAATCACTCTGTCTCCGACGCTGATAGGTACATCCTGCAAAGGTATCGAACTGGGATGATCCAAGGCCCGTTCAAATACATGTTTACAATAGCGACTACTGCTTGACATCGGGTCGTGATCACACGTTCTGAGTACCATGCTACTGAAACAGCGGCCTAACTTCTCCCTCTCCCATCCATCTAGACACCAAATTTCCCGTTGAGTCCTCTTTTCTTCCATCTCTTTGCCTTCCAGACAAACCAGTTTAAACCAGTCTGTAAAATAGTTTACGTAGGTCCTAGTCATGTGGTCTGTCATCTCGTTAAAAAATGATCCCAGTCCACTGGTCACGCCATCTCCCCGTTCAACAGCTTTGTGGAACACTGTGCAGTTTTGAGCTTGAGAACAACGTCGGCATGTATTGACATCTTTTAACATAGCTGGGAATGTAAAGTTAAATTATCTCTTGAGTTGTTCTTTGTTTTAGCTACGTACAGAATGATTTAAAATAAATAATTAAAAGCTTGGGCTCAGAGCAAAATAATAATAAAAGGGCATAAGTCTTGCTAATACTCAGATTGCTCCTAGACAGTACAGTCATTCTTCGGCACGAAAAGCTGTTTAAGCTCTGCAATTTATTTAGTTTCTTTTCTACATGTTCTATTCCCTATACGCCCCCACTTTTACCATTTAGAAAGGTTTCACTATCCCAGGAAAGATTTTACAAAAATACCAAGGCGCGTAAAAATGTCTAAAAAGGAAGTGAAAATGAGAAGCGGGGCAAGTTATTCATTATTTTCATTCTAATTTGCCAGCCAAACCCCGTCGGAAAGATTTTTTCCCCCCGTCACAACTTTTGCACACGTTTCAACGTACAAATTCACAAAGATTGTAAGGATATTGGATCCAAATGAGGCGGTTCACGGTTTATCGCTGGTTTCACCACCTTGTAGACTTCTGATTTAGCCCCCAAAAGAGTACAAAGACAGTTTGTTGAAGGAAATACTTCACAGCGTCCCCTTTGATTAGAAGCCCTACTTTTGACGGAATTTTGATTAAGCGTGGTGCTTATTCTACGTTGTGAAAAATACGAAATATAGAAATAATTCACCTGGCATTGTGCCTGTTGTCCCAGCCCTGTTGAGTGTCAAGTAACGTGCTACCTCGTTCCTTTTCATCACAAGAGCCCTCTTTTCATACAGAAAGCCAGGCACGCCGAGCATGTGAGCTGTTTTCATGTAATACAGCAAGCCAGCATCAACGGAGTGAGAGTAACGATCAGACATGAGGAGAGTGTAGAGAATAACTTGCGCTCTATGCTCAACTGAACCTACAACAACAAACAATAACACACTTTAGTATCATAATGAAAGAGTTGAATACCGTAAACTACTGACTTTTTCAAAACAATTGATTCTTCAAATATCTGTTAAACTCAACGGAGAGAAATTGACCGTTAACCGTAGAAAAGCAAAAAATTTTCGTGAAAAGCCTCCACCCCATTGAGAGCCTCCTTTTTAATGTTTGTTCACTGAATTAAAGTGCGGAAAAAGTCTATAAGTAATTTTCAGCCAAAATCTTCGGCTTGTAGAAGTAACAGGGACCGTTAGAATTGGTACGAGTACGAGTTTTCATATCAAATTCCCTATAATGACACTGAGTCGGGACCAATTCGGTCTGTAATAATAGGAAAGATTAACAAAAGCGGACAACCGAGTAGCAGAAGTCTGAATTTAGTAGTATAGTGCGCACCGAATTAACCCCTTTTTTGCGCAGGAATCTCATTAATTTCCACAGGAAGACATTAACGCCAATGAGGTCATCGCCGTTTGTCTTTATCTCATGAACATAATGTGAGGGAATCTCATTAAGATAAGCTTGTGTGCGATCTTTTGGTCGTTTAACCGGTTTGGTAGGTTTCAGGTGTTGGAGGTGGAGGGAAAACTATCGAAATGTGGTGGTGAAGGAGGGAAAAGTATTTATGTGAACGTCACTGAAAACGATTGCAAAACACTTTAGTGTTGAAACTCACCAAGTTTAGTAAACATTTTTCCTGTTTTCAGCTCCAATGGTATCACTTTGGTCTGCACTTGATTTCCTGTATCAGGCCTGTGTCGTTTGATTTTAGCTCTTCTGTCAATTTTCACCTCAACTGTGGCATCAACCTTGCCTAAAGCAATACCGTACAGAAGTATAAATATCATTTAAGCAGTCATAAATATGATCTACCCCTCTCGTACATCACAATGAATTTTTTAATACCAACGTCCAAAATTAAAAACTTTCAAAATCATTTGACTTCTTTAGAAGTGGCGCATCCACAGATATGCAACGAGTACGGGCGTGAAAAATAGACAACGATGAGTTTGAATTCGTTTACCATGTTAATCATTTTAATCCGTTCAAATCCTTGTGTCTGTTTGTTGCATGTTGCCCAGTTCAAAACGTTTGATTCCCTAGGCAATTGTCGGTTTTCACCGGGCCGCCACCGGTCTTGGGCCGTGGGTCTGCTTTTAGCAAAACCCCATTATTGTCAACTTAACTTTTTAGGTTACTTCAATTTCTAGACAACCAGGGGGATACTATGGACATCCAGCTTTGTGAGTGGCTGTTTTTTCCACACAACAGGGAAATGGGCAATTTGCATACCCTTTAATCCAAATCTGGGTGACCAGATGTTCTCTTCAATGTCCTTTAGCGCTGATACACACACACTGGGTTGCTCAGAATCATGTGGATTATCAGAAGTCTTAAAGTCCATGGTCCCAAAATCAGGGTGGGGAAAAGGAGCCACAAATCTCTTGGCCCAGTCACATAGCAGCGGAATATGCTCCTTAAATTTCTCCAATGCCCAGTTTTCTGTCTGACCCAAGCTGTAAAGATCATCTAAGTAGGTGAGTTTCTGGAGAAGCTCACAGGCTTTCGTCAAAAGAGCGTCAGGTGTAAATTCTATAAATGAAGCGTAATATTATGATCAACACTTCCCTTGGAGAAAACCCAGAAGTGAAACTAAGGCTGTGCACTGAGAAAAAAAATTGTTGAAGGTTGCCCAGTGCTCTGAACCTTTGAAATCGAGGGTGCACAGCAGATGATTTTTTTCTCTTAGTAGTCCAAGATTAAAGTAGATGCCCAGTCTGGATTATTGGGTTGCACTGCTGGAGCACAGCCCTTGCAAATTTTATATTTGTAATAATTAACTGTACAAAACTGTGTTTGAAGCCAAATTCATGTCAAACTTAAAGTGGCAGTAGCAAGCTGTAGTTAAAATCTGACAACTTCAAAATAGTCTCTTTTGGTGCAAACAATTTGTTGTAATCTTAGAAAGCATTGGGAAGCAGCTCAATATTTTTCCAGCCTTTTCTTCTCCTATTTTCGTTTAAATTTTATTTGTGACAAATCTTTTAGGGAGTCTCTGAGGATGCTAAAATCTGTGTTGATAACAACCACCTTAAGCTCTCTGGCAGATTCTAGTGGGCAAGTCTATATAATACTTACAGAGGAATCAGAGATGTATTTACTTACACATGCAAGTGGTGGATAGTTAAAGAGGTGCTGTGCAGTACCACAGGCTATGTAACATTCTTAATGGACACTTTTCATGGTTTTTATTCTTCAGCCACTGGGAACAACCATAAAATACCCTTGGAGGAGTATTCTCCCCACTCGACTCTTTACCTGTCCCAAGAGCCAATAACTTGAAGCGAGCAAATCCCATACTTGGCCTATGTCATGGCATCATCGCAGACCAGTTTATTTTTAGATACATTTTAGAGCACTTTTCCCCCTGAAGCATAAGAGATGAAAAAGTAAAACTAAACAGAATGAAAAGTCAAAAATATCATTTTCAGGTCTGTAGGCTTTGTGGACTGGTACAGACACCCTCTCCCAGGAAAAAAAAATCTAGTGAGAATTAAAATATAATTATATTCTAAATTCACACCAAAATCGTTGAAGAAATAAAATGGTCTGTGAAAATGCCATGACACAAGTACAAGGAATTTGCTCACTGCAGGTTATAGGCTTCTGCCTGTCCTCATTCAGCAAGTGGTGTTACTGGAATGCTTACCTTGACATTCCATGGCTAGATCAAACAGATCATGAAGCAATGTTCCAATCAACATTGCCTCATTCTGGTCTTCTGTGCGAAATCGCTCATTGAAAATGCTTTGACGCAGACACTTAGTTGCCATAGCAACAGTAGTTCCAGAGACTAAAGTATCCGGATGAACTACGAGGTAGTGGTCTGCTGAATTGTCAAGGATGCACATTCCTGTCTTTGGGTCAAATGTTCCTGTAATTACAAACAATATGGAGAAGTCATCAAACTACACTGTATAGACCAGAATTTCCTCAAAGTGACACTAGCAATCCAAGAAAATCATGAATACCTGTTAAATGCACAACATCACCAGGCTCAACTTCACTTGGCTCCCAGTCTTCCCTCAGACTGCAAAACCTTTCTTGACTTATTGTCTCATCAAAAAGCCGAAGCACCTTCTCTGACAATTTTCTCCCATACTTAGTCATCGCTTCGTCATCTAGCACCTCTCTGCGGGAGACCTCCAGAACCAAAAAGCGACTGTAGCTTCTACTTCTCCTACTTCCAGTGAGAGAACATTTGTTTTGAAGATCGCTAGATATTGAAGCAGCTCGTTCAAACTTTTTGGAAGGGGAGAATAATGCCTTGCATGAACTGTTTCTGCTGTAGAATGGTAAAAGAGATTAAAGGTTGGTTTTCAATAGTTTAGCAGTTGGAGTTGGGACTGTAAGAGGGTGTCCTGCTCTGTAACAACACTCACGACCTAGTGAAAATTATTAACTATCATAACTGTCCAGAGTCACAAGCCTGACATAATCAGAGTCCGAAGTATCAGGTTGTTTCTCTTTTTAACTACTCTGCTTACAGCTCCATGTTCATTGATGTAGTGAAAACCAGATTGTTGGAGTTGGAAGAAGAAAATGAACTTTAAACTAATCACAAAGCTTGTTTAGATGATTTCTGACTGGTTTAGTCCTTCCACTTCTGCTTTTAAGCAACAGAGTCGTTAGAGGGATCAAAACACTGTAGTTTTCGCTAGCCAAGGTCAAAATGCTCTACACTTCTGATTACGATTTCGACTCTGACTCTTTTGCTAGTGAAAAGCAGCATTACGATCAGATACACTACTTCCGTATCAATTTAATTTTGCCTTTATTAGTACCTTGAACTATGTTGATTATCAGGAATGCTGATCATTGGTGACCACTCTACTCCATCCAACAAGCTTTCCAATTCTGCTGCATCAACAAGACTGTCCACCGATGTGTTCATCACTTTTGAAGGTGTCTGCTGTGATACATAGCTTTTCAATTCCACACCAGAATTGGTACTAGCATTTATTCCAAAATTCTGATGGTTCTCTTTTTCGTCTGGCGATTTAACTTGCTCGTTCCTTTTTTCAGTTGCAGTTGCCCCACATTCCCCAATGTCATTTTGATTGTTATCAACAATCATTTCTTTGTGGTTCCACTTTTCAATGTCAATTGATTGTAGGGATTCCAACAATTTTTCATTCAGTGGACTATCTGCCAAGGAAGTGTCCATCATGTATTCTTCTATCATGTTCTTATCCTCTGTATGGTTATTTGTAGTGATGTACTGTTCAGAATTCGGAGCTACATTTACCACTTGTTCCTCAGAATTGTTACCCTCTGTACACTCATCCAATTTCTCCCAAAGATTATGTTTTACAGCATTCTGCAAGGAAATGAGGCTTTAGCTGATGGTACATTTTGATGCTTCAACAGACAAAATACAATGTAGTATAAATGAGAATTAACAGGTTGTCTAAAGCTCCTTTTTTGCTGGGCACACATGTATTCTCAGTTATCAATCTTAGTCCTGAAGTGATTGATCGCTGATCTATGGCCCCTGAAATTCAGTTACTGACTTAAGGGATGGTTATAACAACCTGAATAAACATAACAAATCTGTAACAAAGTGAAAATTTGGGAGTAATTTTGTTCTCAACATCAGACATTTCTACAAAGAACAAAAGCATACATGTATACAAACTTACAGTCTGTTTCTAACTCTCTTGTGAAACAACTGAACTATTGCAACTTTTAATATAAGAGTCATCTTGCAAAAGAGCGGCAACTTAATTGCGAAGCGGTACTTATATACTAATTCTAATGATGATGATGATGATTATGGCACATGCCAATAATAATTATTATTGTTGAGTGATATTTTTTTAAAAATTTACAATACCTTAACAGTTGGGGACAGTTCTGTCTGCATTCGTTTCTGTAATGGGGAGCTTCCTTTTGTTGCTGCTCTTTTCATTCTTGATTTCAGAACAACACATTTCGAAGGAGCAATAACAGGAGTTGATATCTTGTCATGGGACGACTCTGATCCTTTTTGCAGTGGTTCATTAAATTGAGGAGATTTTATGCCCGATCCACTGTAGACATCATGTTTCTTTACTGGGGTTGAAACTACCTTTGCTGCCCTTCCTTTTCTCGACAGCTTATACATTTTTCTGCTTGTGGTTTGCATTGATGAAATATCAGTTCCCAAATGTGTATCATTGTTGCTGCATGCCTTAGCAGAATTAAAGGTATTTTTTGATAAAGTAATGCCACTTTTTTCTAATTCCTCCTTTCTAACATAACAATTATTTGATTCAGCTTTTCCAGTAGATAAGAGATCATTGACTTCATTCTTGGTCTTTTCACCATGTGACACCTTACTTGACTTTGTACTTGTTCCTAACTTTTTTGACTTATTGGTGACAACTGCTTTGTCCTCGAACAAATCTGGAGAGTTCTGTGGGTGTTGAATATTTCTTGACAAGCCTCCCTTTTGAACTTGACAGCTTATAAAGCTGTGCTGTGCCGCTGGCGAAGGTGTAGGAGGGATGAGTTCATCATCGTCTGCAATTATTATCGCATTATTTTCAGTGACTGACAAATTGCATCCTGTGCTGTGTACTAAGTTGTTTCTTCTTCCAGGAGGAGTTTTAAATATCTTCTCAGCAGGGAGTTCCTTCTTTTCTTTCAGTACCTGTGAGGTTTTCTTGAAACTCTCACTATGCCCTAAGACCTTAGTAAAGCCATTTAGCTCAGTTATGCTCTTGTTATTTTGTAATGGCAGTTTTGTTCCCTCAATTTTGCTTGTGATGGTCTCAGCTTTGCGTGTTTTGCTAGAGACAAAAGAAGTACTACTATCACTGACTTTGCTATCCTAAAATAAGGAAACAACAATAAACCATGGTCAGGTAACTGTTGAAAATATCATTAAAAGGTAAAAACATTTGCCAGTACTGTAACACTTACTCTGTAATCACCACTAGTACTTCTCCCTTTCATTTTCACGACTTTTATGAGTAAATCACTGGCCCAGTAGTGTGAGACTATTTTAAAACAGTTGTCTGAACTATTCTTTTAACTATTCAGGAGAGGGCTTCCCTTTCAGGGTTGACATTAAGTTTGAAAAAAAGACAGAGCACACATGAGGGCCTGTTAAAAAGGCTGATGCAAATGCATGGGCAAGTGCAAGTGCAAGTGCAAGTGCTTGGAAGAGTGACACCAAACTTGGTGGATGAGCATTTTCCACTATGCACCTGCACTCCCATTGATGAATTAGTTCAAATGTGTGCTGTCTTCTCCTTGCAATCGTATTACTCATGTGAGCCAATCGTAAATTTTCACCCGTTACATCTTAAAATGTTTTAATAGTCTTTCTATGGCCATACACTTCCATCACCTGTAACACTGAGTATGGTACAGATTTTTATGGTTTATGACTGCTCAATGACAGCCCTAGAGTATGCCTTCACCAACAACTCCTGTACCTCTGTGTTACTAATCGTTGCTTCTAAATTGGCTGTAAGTAGCAACAAGGATATGCTACAAGTCAAAATTAAAATCAGGTTAGAATTTTTTAACCTAGGTTTACTCTCAATTTCCTTTGTCTCCTAGGCAGCTAGGCTGCTTATGCCATGTAAAAGGTATGACCATATTACGCCCATTTTTATAAATTTACACTGGTTAACAGTAAGATATAGAATTAATTTTAAAGTTTTATTACTTACTTTCAAAGCCCTCTATGGCATGGCACCTAGTTACATCATTGATTTAATTCATACTAAGACTAATACGCGCTATTTGGTGCACTCTAATGAAGGTGTTTTATTAAAGCATCCATCAGGGAAAATGAAAACATCATTTGGTGACAGATCCTTCAGTGTGGCTGCGCCCACTTTATGGAACGCTCTTCCTGTTAGCCTCCGCAGCGTCAAATGTATTTCTACTTTTAATTCTAAATAAATTTGTATACTTCTAATATTTGTATAGTTTTTAGGTTATTTATTGTTGTAATGCGCTTTTGATCACCTAGCATGTTAAAAAACGCACTATAAATGAATAAATTATTATCATCATCATTAGGCCTAATCATTCATGAATAAGGGCAAGGATCGAGACAGAGGAAATCGAGAATCAACCCAGGTTAAAAAATTCTAACCTTAATTTAATTTTGACCTGTAACAGATACAATGAAATGTGTTCTATCCAAGTTTATTATTAGGGTTATTCCTACCTTTTTGGTGGATAATTTGAGGCTCTTTCTTTTACCAGGAGGTCCTACAATGATAATATTTCAGAGCTTGCTTGGTAACATTATTTTAGTGACATTTTTAAGGTGGTTGATAGAGTCCACTTCACAAGACCAGTGTAAAAGTATTTTATGTAATAATAACAATGCACTACACAAACTATTAGTACACTTACCCTTGGACTCTTGGCCTATGGAAGTCCAAAGTTGACAACTTTCCTACAACAGATGTGACGGAAACATGCTATAACCTAATTTTAAATCCTGACATAGCATAAAAATCCCATGCTTTAACAAAACAAGGTTAATCCTTAGGAAATACTAGAATTGCAATGAGAGGGTCTATTGAAAAGAGAAGACAAGACAAGACAAGAACTTTATTTATACCTCACACAGAAAAAAGGACATTAAAAGAAGACAATACAACTTATGTAAGGTACAAGCCACTTAGAAAATAGCTAAAAAGCTAATCTTGCTAGGAAGCATAATTTATAAAGTAATTCAGAATATACGTAATATGGCTGTTTCATGGAGGCAGAAGTATTAAACAATGTAAAAACAAACAAACAATCAATCAAAGAAAAGAATAGAAAAGAAAACACATGTACAGACTTGAATCACTGAAAAATTGAGGAACTGGAGAAGATATTGGAAAAGAAAGAACTCAATATGAACTGAAAATAGCCTTTTTCAAGGACTTGCAAAGATAAAGACACTTAATCAGGGGCACACAACGAGAATATAGTTCAAAAACACTTAAGCATAGCATTGTGAATGTATTTTAGTATTTAAACGGTAGATATAGGCATATTTTTATCCCCTAAAAATTTTTTACCTCTTCGGATTTCCTAGCTGCAAGTCGAATGATCCGAAAACTATAGGGATCAAAACTTACCTTTTCGAAAATTTCAGCCAGAAAAAAGGCTCCCGAAAATTTTAGGTGACCTTTTAAAGGTAAAAAGCTGTCTAAAATGGGCAATTATACCATGTTTTTAGATGTTCGAAAATCTTAGGAGAAGCAAGCAGGCAAGAAATTTTACAAAGATCTCAAATCGTCTTCCGAACAGATATTTTCCGAAAATTGACGTTGGGTGCCTATGACTTAATAGATTCTTCAGTATTATTCCAAAGAGCAGCTCCCTTAAAGCAACAAATTAAATTTGCCGTAAATCGTCATCATCTGGCATCATCATCATCATCATTAGTAGACTATCATCATAAAATAGAAGAGACGTTTTTAGAAATTAAATCTTAGTCCATCTACATTAACAAGTGACGTGTATTAGGACTCAGTCAGGGGCACCCAATGAGAATATAGTTAAATACCACTTAAACATAACATTGTTGAATGTATTTTAGTATTTAAACAGTAGATACACGTATATTTTTTTCCCCTAAAAATTTTTCATCTGTTTGGATTTCCTAGCTGAAAATCTACTGATCCGAAAATTATAGGATCAAAACTTACCTTTTCAAAAATTTCAGCCAGAAAAAAAGCTCCCGAAAATTCTAGGTGACCTTTTTAGGGTAAAAATCCATTAAAATTGTGGAATTATACCATTTTTTAGATGTTTGAAAATCCCAGGAGAGGCCGGGAAGCAAGAAAATTTACAACAAATGTTCCAAACATTCTAGATCTCAAATCGTCTTCCAAACAGATATTTTTCTGAAAATTGACGTTGGGTGCCCCTGCTCAGTGTTTACCCCCAAGCCCCAAGATACCATAACTGAATTTATTATTAAAAGGTTAAATCTGCTGGGAGTTATAGATTTCAGATTCAACGCTGCATTCAACTGAGCAGCAAAATTCGCAAGTGAGGTAGTTATACCAACTTAGTTTTCTTGAATTTGATGTAAATGTCGTTGAAGGAATTTGTTCATTCAAAGATAATCAAATCTGACTGAATACAGAGAAAGAAATCAATGCTCATTACAAATGCAGGAATGCCAATTTGAATTTGATACTGACTGCTGCAACTACTAACGGACTCAACTTTCCAATAAATCCATTTATGGAATCTTGGGAGGGTATGTTTGACCTGGTTGGACTGTAAGACTTATACTCGACCACACCATACATCTATGAGCGACAGGTATTTTTTTTGCAGGTCCAATCCACAAGTCAGATTACAGGTCACTGTGCTGCAGATTATGTACAGTATAAATAAACAAGACCAGAAGTGTCTCCTACTAGCCCTAATCCCTAACCAAAATGTTGTTTTTGATCGAAGGGGGAAACTATTTGGTTTAAATGCCAATCAATAAAACAGTGACTTGTAGTCGTGACCCGTGGAATGTGACCTAAAGAAACCCCTCCAGATTTAAGAAATTAAAATAATCGCCTTCAATAATCTGAGCTACAGGTTTTTAGGTCGTTTTTTTTTCATACGTAAACTTACGAGTACCTTGTTGAAATAACTTTTAATTTTTTGCTGAGCCGGACGTCCTTTTTCCTGAAAAAGAAACAGTAATGAGCAAGCAGAAAAGTAAGCTACAAAGGCAGCTGACGGCATCCCACCTCCTCTCCTGAGCTGCTTCTTCTTCTCTTTCCAGCTCCGCCTTTTCTCAGACTAGGTTTCCCCATTGTCCGTTAAAAGCAACACACAGAGAAAAAAGGCTTAAACTGGTGGATATACGGGCGCAGTTTAAAATACAAGTTCAGCTTAGATTGTTTATGGTTGATCGCGACTTATCTCGTAATGACGATTTCCCGCCAAATTACAACAGGTTTGTCCGCCATCTTGACTATTACTCAACGTCTTCATGTAACAGTTGTCAAGTGTATCGTACAATTTTGTTACCAGTCTTTATGCGTTCCTAGCCGACAGCCACGCCGGGAAACGCCGGGTGACTACTAGCCTTCCCGAAAAAGCGACGACCGGAAATACGTCTGTGTCCGCAGGCTAGGAGACTACGCGATTGCTAAAGGAGGCTTGAACGGCAATTTTGCAAATATTTTGTATGGGGGCAGGAAGCATTGCGTGACTCAAGGCCGAGCGCCTGCGAAGGAGACTGGGGGATGACTGGGGCTGTCAGGATCCGATGGATGGTCGTCGGAGAATTAGGGTAACCACTAAAGGAAACCAAGATTTACTTGACCGGTAAAGAAGATTGTAGCATGGCGGTTTTTGGTCTGGTGCGCAAACAAGCCAAGGTGGGCGAGGGCAGTGAAACTTCGCTGATTCGCACGTGCGCGCTCTTGCGGCTTCGCCGCTCAGAAGTGCGCTCAGCAAAACCGCCATGCTACGCAGGCTACAGACAACCAAAAAAAAACTATGGTGACTTTATTCCTTTCCGCGACCCTGAACGATCACTTGGGTACAAATAATATGGACAATGTAAGTTAAAACAAAATCTGATCCCCTTCTTATTCATATGGGACCTTGGGTTATAGCCCAACATCTCTGAATAATGGGCTTGATCAAACTGACGAAAGCTGCAAGCAATTTTTTTATCACTCACCGCTGCATTTACAAGAAAACTTCACGAGTGCTGCGTATATCATGATGGCGAGGAGAAGTGCGGGAAACTTCTAAGGGATGTAGAATTCCGGCAGATTTAGACAACCACGGCCGCCTGGAAACCGAAAAGCATATATGTCCACATCACTGCACATTTCAGCTGTAAGTAGTACTGCATTTATCTTTTCTTTTTCTAATTTCATTCCAAGGAACGGTCCCTTCAAGGCCTCGGAAAGGTCACAATTTACAGAATCCTCCACTCTTCGTATACAGAAACTGAACTCTCCAGTTAAGGACTGAAAATTGAGCCTGGTCAAAAACCCCTGAAAAACATGACACAGTTCCGACTTCCTCACCTATTTAGTTACCTACAGTATTTTCTGTCCACATTTTATTGCTGTTATCAGTAATAGATTCATCAGTCTCTCATATGATTCTCATATATTGATTGTTGCAGAGGTCATCTCCATAAAATTATTATTATGAGCCACAAGTCGATCGCATTCGGTAAAATTAAAGGCCCTAAAAAAATAGAATCATATAATTCCTTTAAAAAATTCCGTTATGGAATATACATTCAAGAAAAATTACACTTGGACCTCACAATTACTCTTACAGTTTCTATGCGTGTACGTAGGATAATATTAAATGTACATGTTGGCCATCCTTATTAATTTCGGTAGTTTAATTAATATGATGTACGGAAATCGTCCTATAGATCGAAAAGCTTAAAAGAGAAATGATTTATTACATATACATCTATTAGAGCTTGGTTTAGTTCACTTGCCATTCAGCCGGCGAAATAACTCAACTTTTCAAGCAGTGAACTTAATCGACGAATAAACTGCGCTATAATGTTCAAAAGCCAGAACAAAGGTCGGTTGGATGCCATTCTCCATGTACAGAACCAAGAAATAATATTAATTAACAAATAAAAGATTGTTTATGTTGTTAGGAAAGAATTGGCTGCAATAGACACGGTAACATGCAGGTGACGTTTTCTCTGGTATAGGACGTGTCTTGGAAAAAAGAACAAACAGGAACAAACACGAGAAAGAGAGGCATAATATATGACATACCAGTGCATTAAGTCTGAATTTGGCGCTAACTTGACATATTTTTGCTCAGTAAAGAACAAATAAAAGAAAACTAATAAATTAAAAACTCGTAACAAGGAGAAGGGCAAGAATTGTAACAAGAAGGTCGCGATTTGCTTCACCTTGAGTTAAAAATAAATAAAACAATTTTTAGGAAACTGACTGTCAGCGTGGAGAGGAAAGTGGAGAAACTGCAAATATGTTTGAATCTTCACCTCGCTAAAAGCATTACAACTTTAATTTTCACGTGCAGCAGTATATAAAAAAACAACCGTCACTGAATAATTTGCTGTTGTCGTTGAACAGTTCTTGTCGAATGGTGGTACAAAAAACTGACTCAAACTAAGTCGGTAAATGTATTTCAGAGGAATCCGTGGCTGCATCTGCTAGGCAAAACATCGAGAAGTTCTTGGACAAGACAACCCGGCACCGCAAAAATGAGTAATATATATATTTCGCCCATGGTCGCACCTTCGTTTGAGAGTCTGTCTGCCGAAGCGCAAAGACCAGCTGCCGAATTTTCAGCGACGAACGGCAACTTCAAACCAGTGCAAAAGTCCGATGAAAATATGAATGAGGTATTCGCAGGTGTAACGAAGTCAGATACAATTTGGCAATCTCCGAATGACCATGAAAAAAACGAGGAGCTTGAAGAACTTCAACGGAAAGTATGGAACAAGTCTCCTAATGTAATTATGAGCAAAACAATCACAGGTAAAATAACTTACAAGCGTTAGTACCATTTTCATTTTGTGCAATAAAAATTGCAGAGAAAGGTCTTATTCCTGGAATAGTTGGACTGGAAGATAATAATTGAACCGAGAGGTTGAAGCTTTGACATAAAGCCGGATGAACTAGATTCTCCTTCTGCTTCTTGCAACCACAGTCATTCTCCCCTAATTGGTGTCCCCAAATTAGTAAGGGATTTGTTCCCTGGCTAGACGGTTTTTGACACTTTAATAAAGTTTCTATTCTATTCTATTCTATTCTATATTCAATTTGCGCCGAAGAAGGGGTGCACAAATACTGAAATGAGAGAAATTAACCTATTAAAAAAGGAAGATGAAATAAACGAACGTGCGGCCTTTCGTGCAACATTACTAGTAACATGTTTTACTCGCGTGAGCACACGCCGCGCACATTGCGGAACGACTTGTGCAAGGCGTTTGGCCAGTAGTTAAAAAATAATTTGAAATTTGATTGGCTGAAGATTGAAAGTCACGTAAGTCGGACAACTGCAATCAGGGCGTGACTGCGATAGCGTAATAATCTCAGTGGGGATTACATGTACACGAAGTAATGTCTTGCGCCCGGTCCTTTTGAATTGTTGTCGGCCCTAGGAAAAGTTTCACACAACCTATTGCGTAGGAATGATAGTATTTATTCTGGAAGAAAGCGTTTTACCAGAATTTGTACTGAGGACAGAATCACAACCGGTTGCTAATGGTTTTCTGTTGGAAGGCCGCTCATAAACATCCCCGCCTTTGTAAGTGTCCAGAGTATTACGCCCAGCTAAATCAGTTGGGCGACGTTGTCGATTGACGTGCAGTTCTGTGCTGTTACTCAGGACAAAAACGAAGACCATTTCATTGCCAGCGAAAGAATGAGACTACCCATTTTTGATACTTCAAAGACGAAGAGACCGGAATTCCCGGCCTGATAAACCGGTTCAAAAGGACACGATTTGGGTCAAAATGTTTCATGACAAAATAAATGAAGAAAAATCTAAATTATGAGGTGCTCAATGTTCCTACATTGTTGACCCACAGCAATTATATATCTGTTAGAGCGTTAGATTAACCCCTTACTGTTGTTTTGTAATGCATTGATAGGTAGCGAATTCGAGACTCCATCGGGCACATTAACAACGTTGCGCATACGCACACATAGTCAGGAAAACGGCAGTCCTCCAAGGAAAAGTCCTGTATATTGTTTTCATTCCTTCACGTACGGCGTGGGAGAATCAGTCGAGGGTGAAGTCGACGAAAGTGGGCCTTCCGCTCAGACCTCTTCTATTTGGAAGGATCAAAGTTATGATGGTGATTCTCCAAACGTTTGGCACACGAGAACTGTAGTTGAATCTGAGGAGGACAACGGATCACCTACATTCCGCTGTGCATGGACGTGGGAAATTGAAACAGGTGACTTTGCTAAGAGTACATATGTTGTGTAAGCAGTATAAAATAGTTACTTCTAAAATAGCTTTCCGTTAGGCTTGAATGCTAGTTTTTTAGTGAGTTATCATGGATCTAGACAATATTCACATTGTGTGGCAAACGCAGACTTCACGTAAATTGCGTAAGACATTAGGGAGCTTAAGCAACAGCGTTTTTGAGCGACGGACGTCAACCGGAAGTGGACTTTTTGCATCATTGGGCAGTGGTTTGGTTGAAACTCTCGGGTAAATCGTCTTTAAAAGAGAAAAGAAACTCAGCAATACAAGTTTGTTAGCGTCAAGGCATATAAAAAGGGAGAAGGCCTCACTTCCGGTTGACGTGCGTCGCTCAAAAACGTCTTTGCTTAAGGTCCCTAATGTTGTGAAATGCTCTTACAACTATTATCCTATTCTTTTTAAGGGGGCTGGTTATTCATAAAACGAACTCTAACTTAGACCACAGTTTACGGCAATTCATACTGGACTTACAAATCTCTTCTTAAGAGAAGTGGATTATTCCTTAAATCACAAAAACCGAATCTAATAAATGTTTCATTATAAATTGCTTTAAAGAAAATAACGACAAACATAATCACACAGGAGTCAGTTAGACAGCATTGCTCTTGAAAAGTATACAGTTGTTTGCTAGCAGATACCTAACTGGAGGGAGTCCTAACCAAGCTGTAGGTGATGACGATTAACTAAGCTGTAACTAAGCTGTAGGTGACGACGATTTTCAAATTGATTTTTCAAATTGATTGAAGGCTCTCAGCAAATGAGAACACATATAGAGGGCACACTGTAAAATAATTTAAAAAGTCAAATGGAGTGGAGCGCGTTTAAAAATGGTAGATAAAAAAGTCGTAGAGGAAAATATTGACCGCTTATATCAAATTCTGTATAAAAATCAAATAACTTCTCGTTTTCATATTCATCGGCCAAAGAAACTGGCACTGCTGCCTCCTCGTATGAATTAAAGGAGGACGTCAGCTACACCTCTGGTAAGATTAAAACTCACGGAAAGACGGCACTAATCTCTGAACAAGAAGAGAATGAGAATTCAGCGGAATACAGCTGCACCAAGAAGAAAATAAAGATGACAATAAGGAGGTTGTCGCCTGAAGGAGCAGAATATAACGCTGCAGATGATGGAGATACCGAGAGTTATCTCATGGTACCTGACAAGCTAGTTGTTGCAGAAGCACAGCGGCGGGATACCCTGTCGAGTAATCTGGGGCGCAGCCCGTCAGGACGCATAACTGAAGATGGAAAGGACTACTGGACATCACAAGATTCCTCAGAAAGTAAGGGAATTAATCACGGGGCTTGGTACCTGAAAAAAGCTTTAAAACGGCCCTAGCCCGCCAAAAAAGATATGGTTAGTACTTCTGATTGGTTGAAGCAGATTTTCAACCAATCAAAAGCACTATCCAGATCAGGGTCGTGACACGTCATCAGTATGAAATTTCTGCGCCTGCTCCTCAGACGTCATTTCGCGGGGGAAATCATAGGTGGCGTTACAAGATGTCGGCTGTTTTCTCAGGCTAGGACGACCTGCTACAACGTCTAATATACACCAACTGAAAGAGGCTTTGTTGTAGCGTGGGAAACGTGATTTTGAACCTCGTAAAACTCTTACATTACGCTGAATGACGTCACCAATATGCGTCACAAACATCTATGGAACTGTTCAAGAAACGGGGAAGGTTAAGCGGGTTAAGCGATAATTTTTTACCGAGACTACAAAAAAATGACTTCTAAGGAACTTAACGAAGGATAAACTCAGATGCGCCTCGTGGGGGAAGAGGGAGGGGTAAAGGGAAGGCAAAGTACGATTAAATATAAAAAGGGACAAGAAACGCTTTAACAGGTATAGTGGAAAAAAACCAAGATTGCAAGAGGAAAGCTTTTAGCTCTCCTTTTCTCGATTAGTCCATATCCCTACAAATTAGTATTACCAGAATCTATGCATGTCTGTGGGGGTGTAGATACCCTAGTTCGTGATATAGGTTATCTTTGATTTTTCAGGAAAAACAGTTGAAGATGGCAAATGTCAAGATAGAGTTCCTTTGCTATATACGGGAAAACGGCATGTCAGGTACACTCCAGAGGAGGGCGAGGAGATGGAGGATGGAGTTCCTGTCACTTGTTGTTCGTGCGACCACTGCGTCATATTATAGAAATTTCTAAGAAAGAAAACGTATTTATTTGTGCACAAAAGTTAAAATATTTGAGGTGTCACAACAGACGTAAAACAAGAACTAGCCAACCTCGGCGAAAAAAAAATAGAACTATGATGTTAAACGTAGAATTGTTTCCTGAAGTGAAGAAAATGCCTAGTAAATAAAACTGAGTAGTCTTTATTCATTGCAGCGTCTTGGGAACGTTTCTTGATGAATTTGTTTTATCGTAAAATTAAACCCGAGTGCAACAAATAGTTCGCACCCAATGGGTAAACTGTCAGCCTCCCTTTAGTTAATTTCAATACGGACGCAGAGTATTATGAGTGGGTTTTATTGCCAATGACCGTGTTGAATGTCACGTAAAACAAGGTTGCAAATGATTCCCGCTGTAACTTCAAAATTAATGAGAAACGATTCTATCGCTTATCGAAGACGATGGCACTTTTAAAGACATGCTTTGACAAATAATCAATATGGACTTTAAGATCCAACGACGCGACGGCAACGAGGACGTCGCTTAAAAAGTGAATTTGCGTTCTCTCAGTCTTTATCGCAACTATTCTTAGCCACTTACTTTGTCACTATGATGTAGGCGAGTCCTTCTCAATGAAGTTGAATTCGAAAGGACTATATCCAACCAAGCTCAGAAAGAGAAGAAAAATTCGTCTTTGCTTGTTTACGTTCTTCATAAAATACGAAATTCAGCACTTTCATGTTGTACAGTCTACAAAAAAGTGATTTGCTTATTAAACCTATTGGTTTTTAGGGGGTGTTTACTGTTTACATGAGAAAACTCACACTGGGGCGCGAGTTTCATACCGGGATGACTTGTTGATTTCGTATCGCGCTTATATGATGTTGGGTCATTTCATATCTCGGTTATTTGAAGGTACACTTCATGTTCATAAAATACACGTGCCATTCAAGATCGCAAACGTTATGCATGCGCTACCCGTTCCAGTCCACCCTAACTCGAGCTTACCTTCCATGATTGCCTCGAAGACCCTCCTCTTAATGGTCATGTGACTTGCAGTTGGTGAAGCGGGAAAGCGAAAGAATGTCGAGTCAGGCCTGGCTCGAAATCCCTGGCCAGGTTGCATAAAACGCCCGTAGCAATACTGGTATACGTACGTGTACTCGTAACTTACGTTAGTTGCATTAAATAACTTAAGTGGTCCACTTAAGGAATTCACTTAAGTGGCTGCACTTACTATTTTCGTAAGTGTTCACGTAAGTGTCGTTTCTGCAACAGAAATTGCGGGTGTTGCATAAAACTTTTACGCTTACTAGCCACCTTCCATGCATCGCCTCTATTTTATTTGCGAACGTAAATTTTACGCACGTAAACATTACGCGACACTTGAAAACAACCCTAAAGGTGGATTTCCACTGTCGCGTAATTTTTACGTGCGTACGCACGTAAATTTTACGCGAGTAAATGAAATAGAGACAATGTATGGAAGGTGAAGCGTAAACGTAAACGTTGAACCTCGCTCAACTTTCACGTTTACGCGTGGCCTTTGATAGTGATACATTGCCTCTATTTCATTTACGCGCGTTCGCACGGAAAAATTACGCGACAAGGGAAATCAGTTGCGTGCATACGCACGTAAGTTTTATGGTTGATTTCCAATGTCGCGTAATTTTAAAATAGAGGCAATGTACGGACGGTCACGCGCAAGCGTGAAAGTTGAGCGAGGTTCAACTTGCGCGTGGCACATTGCCTCTATTTCAGTTACGCACGTAAATTTTAAGTGCGTTCGTACGGAAGAATTACGCGACATGGATTTCCACTGTCGCGTAAATTTCACGCGAGTAAAAAAAAAAAATAGAGACAATGTATGAAAGGTCGCGCATACACGTAAACGTTCAACTTCGCTCAACTTTTACTTTTATGCTTGGCCTTCCATACATGGCTTCTATTTTATTTAGGCGCGTAAAATTTACGTGCGTACGCACGTTAAAATCACTCGACAATGGAAATCCACCTGTACGCGACGTAAAATTTACGCGCGTAAATGAAACGGAGACAATGTATAAAGTGTCGCGCGTAAACGTAAAAGTTGAACGAGGTTCAAATGCTCGTTCAACTTTTACGCGCGACCTTTTATACATTACCTCTAATTTATTTACGTACACATAAAAATTACGTGGCAGTGGAAATCCACGCTTAGAAGTGTTCCCATGGAAACAACACAGTGTCATGACACGTGCTACTGATGGGCAAGTGCGATGAAAATGTAATACGTGCTAACAAGTACAGCCCCATTCTTCTAGGCACAAGAGAAACTAAATAAAAAGTAGTCGTAATGAAAATAGCTCCATTTAATTATTTAGAAAAAATATTTGGCTAATTTAAGATTCCATTTACAACTTACAAAAAAGGACAACGAATAAGTGGCCAAACATGAAAAATCGGCCATAAAATATTTTTAAAGTTCACAAAAACCAAGACTGTCCACACTAAGTCGTAAAAATTCGTAACCTTCTCGCACCGATTCAGTGTGTACATCAAAATCTTTTTTAAACTGCGTTTATTAAAATGTCTCGGTTTCGAAATTGCTTTACTGGGATGAATGCCTTTGAAAGGAAAATCGTCTTTGAAAGGAAAATCGCATTTAGATGGCTGTCTCTAAAAAAGGAGAAAGAAAGATAGAAAAAAAGGACTTCCAATATTTTTTAATAAGGTGCACTTTATCCAACTGAAGTTAACTGCATGGGCATGCACAATATAAATAGTCTAAAATGTGGCCTTCAAAATCGTCAACACGCCTCAGCTCAGTGCGCAGACTACCGAAACACAAGAAATTGCGATGTCCCAGCATACGTCTGGGCAAGTCTCTTGCCATCGGGTGTGGGATCAGAAAAAGCGACAAGTTCCCTTGGTATAACGCATCCATAGAGGAAGTTCATTCTACAATAATAACAAAAAAAAATTCGACACTGATGAGTAAAGTTTGCTATTAAAAAAACAACAACAAACAAACAAACAAATAGTTGAACAGTTCGTTTACTTAAAGACGGGAGAGTTGTTGCGAAATTATTGAAAAATAAACACATTTTCCATTGAGAACGTCTTAATTTCAGACCGTTCGCAACCACACCTGTGTTGTTGTCTTATCGTGGTGCTGTTTTAAGTCCATGTATCAGTGAAATCCTAAAACGTGCTAGCCTGAATTTCATCCGATTACTTCCAGTCGTTATTACTCCCTCAGTAACGTCTGAATCGACCGGCCGTTAATGCCGTCCAGTAACGTCACTACTCCTTGACCTTTGTTTTAATTCATGCAAAAAGTAAAACACGATTTTCAAGTGGCAAACCGAGAAATATCGTTTGGAAATGTCTGCATGATACAGAAGTGCTTTATTTTTTTCGATCGTAATTCATGTTTAACGTTCAAACTATCAACTGCATGCAGTACAACTCTGAACCGGTTGTACTAAATTCTATAATCAAACTCGGTCGCAATCACGCAATGAAATAAACACACACACGGAACACGTAGTTCAAAAACACAATGATTAGCTTTAATTGACAAGAAGCTATTTGGTCCGCCTTAAGGAAGAAAAAAAACAAGGAGACAAGAAAGAAGAGCTAACAGAATCATTACACTTGACGGTAAAAATAGCAAGAAGGTCGCATTATAACATTGATCTCAGAAAACTTCGCGGTAAACAAAATCACCGGCTGCCGAAACCACAAAGCGGCTACAAATGAAAAACCTACCCACTCTCCGCAATGATGCTTCATTCCCAGTTCAATATAACATTTCAGTTTCGAAGACAAGGGCAATTTTGCTGTTTAAGATAAAGATTAAGCTTATCGAAATGTTTGAACTAAACGAAAGGATGCCAGTCATGCGATCCGCTGAATATCAAGCTACAATCCCGGTAAAATTTTTCATAATTATACATAATTATGCGAATGTTTAGACAATAAACCAATCAAAATCACTACCCGGTTTTCGGGTAGTGAGTGACGTCACTGGACGGCATTAATGGCCCGTCGATTCAGACGTTGTTGAGAGGAGAAAACGACTCGAAGCAATCGGATGAATTTCAGGCTAAAAACGTGCATACTATACGCAGCACTTTTCTGTGTAGTCTTTTTATGCTTTGCAATGTGGCTATCGTTAAGGGAGAGCACAAAGATAAAGACAAGAACTTTCCTTTGTTCTTTTGAAATTGTCCATCACACAGTACCGTATGAGTTGTACTGGCTTTAGTTGTAGGGTGTGAGCGTTTGGTTGGAAGGTTCAGAGCTGTACTTTATATGGTTCTGTAAGTTTTATAAGAGTATGGCCAGTCCTTTTTGCTTTTAACTACTGATAGAAGCCTTTATTTTGAGTCGAAGGTATTCTCAAGCGTCAGTTTCTATTCTCACCTAACGCAGTCCAGAAGTCGTGTGGCAACCTTCTTTCGTCTGTACCGACTGTGCACCCAGATTCTGCTAATCCCACACTGTGCAAGTGTGGGAGTTGTACTACAAAGGAACAAGATTTGATGGAACTGTTGACGAATGGATACCGCAACTACTTATGATGGACCGCAAATTAAATACGTTTGGACTGTGGAGGACTTAAACTAAACTAGACATAGACATACTTTATTTAGACACGGATAAAAAATCAGTATAAAAAGATAATAAAAATCTAAAGTACCGGTTTACGTGTTTGCCGTGTGGGTGCCTATAATTCCCGTTTTAAACCTTGTAGGGGTTAATGGTCTTACGTACTTCGGATGGCAGTCCATTCCAAAGGACAGCCCATGAATACCCAAAACGTCCCTAAAGATAGTCTGTTCTTGGTTTGGGTACTTGTAAGATGTTCCCAGAGCGACGGATATTGTAGCAAAAGTCACGAGCAGAGAACAATTGCATGTAGCGGTGAATAAATGGCCATTGACATTACATCGTTGGCTCCTGGAAAATAGGCAGGATGTGAACCAGCTGACAGAATTTTGTTCAAGGCCATATTTGACTAAAGGCGATTTGGCGGGAAGCAGAGTGGCCGAGCAGTTAGAGAGCTGGAATGGCAATCCGGAGGCTCTGAGTTCAATCCCTGCCTTGAGCGCTAGCTGGATTTGTTCACGGTAGTCCCGAGTTTAACTTCTGAACAGCCAACTCGTTTGTCTCCGGGCAGTTACGATTCTTAACCTTGTTATGTAAACCGGTATTTCAATTATTTGTTTCTTTCCTTATTCGTGGGTCACAATGAAAACTACTGGGTTACCAGCAGCGATTGTGCTACCCCAATAAAGACTTTTTTTTTGAAAAGTTTTTTAAATTTGCGGAGACTTGTTGCACCCAGTTCAATGTTCATCCCTGTAAAGAGGGTCTGTTGGTGTTAACATTCACAGTATTTTTTTCTAAAATCCTCCACTATCTGGAATCAACATTAGCCATGAGTCTTGGCCTGTTTAGAGAAGATTAATTTTGACCTGCTGGAAGACCTATATATTCTAAATATTTTGACCGCGGCAGGATTAGCTCAGTCAGTAGAGCGCTTGACTGCAGAGCGAAAGGTCAAGGGAGGTCGCAGGTTCGATTCCCGGGACCGGAAAAAATTACTCAGCTGAACTCAGGCTTTTAAAATAACTGAGAATTGAAGGTACTGTCCTAACAGCTAGACCTTCGCGTGGCCCTGATGACCACGTAAAATGGCGGTCCCGTCTCCAGTAGGAGACGTTAACATAGTATCCCCAGTTAGCACTTTCGTGCTAAATACATTGACACTCAAGTAAAGTGCTTTTTTTGGCCGTTTTATGCAAGTTATAAGGTAATAATTTGTTTTGTGAAAGTCTCACTTTACCTGCAACACCAAGCCGCAATCTGTTTTTCGGGGGTTGATGATTCTCCAGGTGAAGGTAACACTGGGTATCCCTTTAAGACAAAAAATGTGAGATGTTGGATACTATTGCCATCATCACTAATGCGCTGACTGCAGTTCTCTCTCTCAAAAATTAATGAGTAAAAATCATCCTCTTTTCCCGCTAAATGGGAGTAACTTTGTTTGGTTGAAAGTAAATCTTCAATCAAACAAACTGGAAGCATTGTTATTGAATGTATAAACAACACTAAATGTGGAATAAGTAAAACCACCTCAAGCTCAAAGCCAAGTGTCTGCTTTACGGGAAAATCCGTTGGTACCAAGACAGAAATCCGTAAACAAGAGGAGTCAGCTAGTAGGGTTAACCTACCTGATCTATTTGAACTGCCACGGTACAGCCAACAACCTTTTTTGCAGTAATGAAAAGGAATGTCTGAAAGGAAAGAGAAGCTGTTAAACAGAGTACAGGTAGCAAGTTTATGATACTCCAATTGTTTCAACCATCTGGGCTTTTAATAAACGTCTTTGCCAAGAGCGATTGTCCAAACTCTTTACAAAGATGTTTGTAATTCGCCGATTATTTAGAAACGAGAATTTAAACTGTTAACGTTCGCAGAGAATTCTGGGACTGTAACTGGGGACAGAGAAAAAAAATGGCCAACAGCGGACTGCCGTGTCTCCAGTAACGATCCCAGATGATTTCTTTTAGTAAGTTAACTCAGACCAGTTTCCGTGTCGTTTCCAAAGTGGCAAATTGGCTTCAACTCTCCACACCCTGCAAATGTATAACATAATGTTTCGGGTGTTTCTTGGTGTTGTGGTCTTGGTGTTCAGTGTTGTCTTGTTTTGTAGTGTGGGTATTTTTCAGTGTCTTTTTAAACTTTTCTAATACGTCATTTGGTGATTGTGCCCTTCTAAAACACCAAGAAACTCCTGATGTCTGCTACATTCCCATGTAATGATAAATAACAGTGAATTGCTCATAAATTTCGGGCCATGATTTCCAAACTACTAACCTTTGCTTCAGACTGAATGTAAGGTACATCAGCAACAAAGCCCAATTCACTATCAACAACTTTCCGTATTTCATCAACCTTAAAAAACATTTAAAAGTCAACTTCAAATTAGCTGTATAGCAGACTACATTTTCTGTAGAAAGGAAAGCTGGTGGTACTCACATAAAAATGAGGGGTTGCTCTTGCACTTCGATCTCCACGATCTTATGGAATAATAGGGGGCAGTGAACAGTCTACTTGAAGGGGTTTTTTTTGAAGTTGGCCGGTGAGCATCCTCTGCCATTTTCATAGGGGATTACTAACCCCTCCTTCCAACCCAACTCATTGGGTAAGAATTGGGCCTGGAAGGCGGTTTGATGCCCATTGTGTTTGAAGTCAAGATTTTAATAGTTTTCATAGAAATGCTATTAATCAATTGGAATTGGTTAACAAAGCCAAATGGATTGGCCTGTGAGCTGGGGCCAGCAATACCAATACAAACTGTGTATTTTACTTTTGGATTTTACCTGTGGCTCTCACAGATGAAGTTATGCAGACTTTAAAGGGAACCTCCACTCTTACTACAGAATAAGTTTAAATCGAATAAAATTATGTTGATAAACAAATTTGTTCGAAATTTGTCCTTAAAAAAGTGTTTATATCAGGAAAAGTGAATTTTAAAATCGCTTATTTTCACTTTCAAATTTCGCGGGCGCCGCCATCTTGAATAATTGTGACATGTTATGGTTGCTCTATTGTTCTGACACAAAGAGCTTTTGTTTAATAACAATAGGGCAACCGTAACACGTCACAATTATTCAAGATGGCGGCGCCCGCAAAATTTGAAAACAAAAATAGGCGAATCTAAAAGTTATTTCTTTCGGATACAAACGCTTTTTTTAAAAATATTTTAGATTGACTTGACTGTAACAGTTATTTCCTGTGATTTAAAGTTATCTTTTTGTTGAAGTGGAGGTTCCCTTTAAAGAAGTGGGCCCGGAGTGTTATTGGCAAGCACAGGGTTGTCACTAAGATTTCAAGTTGCCGGGTAAATACAACAAGTAGGTGGGGAATCAAACGGCTAGGGATTTCTTTTGGTTCTATTTTTCTTCTATTTTCCAATAAAAGTAGCCGGGGGCCACTCTATTAGTAGCCGGGGAAAATCCCCGGCCCCCGGCTCTTAATGACAACCCTGCAAGCATTGATGTCTTGATGTTTATATACTGGTAGTACCTTTTTAAGATGAAGAGGATGATCATCTGGTCCCACCATAATCACTCGTCCATCCTGATACTCTTTGATAAGACTCTCATTCTTCCAGCCCTTAACAAACACCCAGACACAATGATCAGCATGATAACCACAGGTAAAATATTTCATGAGAGTTTGTATATTTAGCGATTATTGAATGAGTCTGAGTAGGATATGATGAATTATGCAGATTGAGGAGGGTGTTGGATAACACCCTCCAAGATCTCCATAATTCCTCATATCCTATGAAAGCTGAATTCAATAATTGCATTATTATTCATTCAAAATAATTCCAAGTTTAAAAGCAAGCTAAAACATGCTTACTGCTGTCAATGTTAAGTTCATATCGATAGTGCATCTTTATCGCAAAGTTTAGGAGAGAAAGGGCCTTTCAGGTCTGCTAATAAACTCCAAATAGTAGATGTCGTCCATCGAGTTGTCTTCTTGCTGTTCTTGCTATCTTTTTAGACAACAGTTTGCCGTAAAAAGAGTAAAATGTTCCGCCATTACTCACTTCAAAAACAACTCAAACTCGTCCCCAGGTCTTCTCGGTTAATGGTTCAATAATCTGTAACTTTGCTGCACTTTTGAAAGATCAACGGCTTTGAGCTGCATGTGAGTAACATCATCAGTTCAATATGGCAAAATTCTTCCAATTCTTTTTTTCTTTTGGTCAACAGTAGCTGGTTATCATGAATTATGCAAGTGATTTTAGCCAATCAGAAACAGAGAAATATTTTGAATGAATAATAATGATGTTTATATTGAATATTCACAACTAAAATAATAATCTGACTCACACTGATTACGTTTGTTTTACTGCATTGGGAGATTGAGGCATAAATTATTCATTAATACTTAGGTACTTTATATGATAACTTTAAATGTTGCCCTACTCTCACTCTCTTAGCTTCTCTGTTTTAATAATTACTCGTGTTTACGCAAAAGCTAACACTTTGCATCCAAAATTTAACTTCCAGTGCATAAATAACTCAAGACTACATGTTTTACAATGTACATGCATTATTCGGAGGTTTTAAGAATTAACGAATCAAGGTAAATTTTATTTAAACATTTAAGAAGAACTAAAAAGAGAAAAACTAAAAGGGGTCTTTCTTTTCGAAACTAGGAAAACTAAGACCCCTAAATTTACTGTTAAATTTGACCTACAGTGTAAAAGTTGGTGGAAAGGATCAGACAGAAGACAATTTGACAGATTAAACCTACTTTGGTTACAATTTGACTTCATACTTCGACAGATTCGATTTTAGGGGGTCCTAGTATAAGTTATCTCGAAATTAACTAATACAGGCCTTAGGTCTAAGTTTTTGGAGGGTCTTAGTTTTTGCAACACCTGTTTGAGAAATCAGGATTCTACAATGTGTACTGTAGTTTCTCAACAGTCCAAAAATGAGGACTTTCAAGAGTAGAGTTATGGAAAATTGATCAAGTTGTTGAACAGTACTTACTGTAAACCTCAGCCCACTGACAAATCTCTTGTGATGTCTGATATGTTCAGCTTCATCATCTGGCTGGGCTTTAGTATAAACCATTCCACAGGTGGGACAGGTCACATGTCCAAAATCCTTCTGACCTAAATCCTTGTAAAAACAAATGTATAACCAGTTTATATTTTGCATTTACTGGAGACAATTGTACAAATTAAGTGGAAATCAACTTTTTGGTTTAACTAGAAGTCTAGTACACTGCACATTGCTAATTTTGTTATAATTTACTCATCAACAATAAATCAATACTATCTTTTGACATCATATAGGCTTTCATTGAGAGGTTTATAACAACTCGTAATCGCTGGTTTACACTAGCGACAGAGTCAGAGTCGAAATCGTAAGCGGAGTCGTATGCAGAGTCATAAACTTGACAGAATCAGAGTCAGAAGAATCAGAACGTTTCCGTTTTCTTCTGAGTCCACTTATGACCATGTCACCTCGTTCTGCTTATGATCTAGTCAAAACCAGATTGTTAGAGTTGGAAGCAGAGGCGGAAGGATAACCAATCACAATCCATATTTCTACGCTTTGTGATCGGTTTAGTTCTTCTGCTTCAGCTCACGACCCTGACAACCCAGTTTTCATTTGATGGCAAACAACGGAGTTGTAAGTGGAATCAGAACACTGTTTTCACTAAATAGCAAAGTTCTACACTCCTGATTACGACTCTGACTCCATTGAGTGACCTGAAGTGACCTGGCCTTTGGGTTAGCAGGGTAGCTTATATAATTAGAGTTGTGCAGGAAAATATCATATGTAGTCTAAAACCTACCAAGTACATTTGCTCTTGTCTCTTCCCAACTTTACTTCTTCTGGATGGAGATATCCTGTTATAACAAACACATACAAAATTATTATCTAGAGCTACCCTTCCCTCACTATGGAATCAATAAGCAAATAATTAATACAGTAAAAACTCACGAATAAGAACCTCAATTTTAAGAACCTGTTAGACTAAGATTGTCCATTTAGACCCCTTTTCAATAAGAAACTGCTTTAGCCTACAATTTTGAAACAGGTTCTTATTTTGAGAAACTTAGTCAACCACTGAAAACACAAATTTAATAGAACAAGCTCTACCAGTTAGTACATGTAAAATGAAGACAAAACCCTGGCAATGAGACAATTATTGACATGTAGATCTATATATCCTTCATAAATGGTTTTAACATGCTTGGATTAAAGGGATTTTATAACATATTATGCATGCAATACCAAAAATAAGCCTAAAATAGGCAACATGCACAAATGACAAACAGCTCATTTATTTTTTTAAAAATAAGAACCTGTTTAAGAATCTGAGTAGCTTAGTTTTCCAGTTAACACCATTTTTATAAGAACCTTCTTAGCAAGGTTTCAGCCAGAAGGGTGTCCAGCCATCCTATGGATGCCCATTTTTGAAATGAATACAAGGAAAATTCACTTAATCTCCAATAATTTTATGGGAAAACATGCCTTCTGGATGGTCAGTTTCCAATGTCTGGCTAAAAGCCTGCTTTTAAGCCCAGCTTGCAAAAACTTAGGTTTTTATACACGGGTTTTTACTGTACTGTATTTATCCAAAAAAGCAAAACCAGAGGAACAAATTAAAGTTCTGGACAATTTATTACATTTGAGTAAACTAATCCATAAAAACAACACTTGAGTAATTGTCAAGCATGATGACAGTGACTCATAATAAAACAGACTGCAGAGAAGCACAGGAGCAAGAAGCCCCTTTGCAGCAAAGCATGAGGTGGGCACTCTGTTGCATACCACAACTGGGGTGTTTCCTGGTGTTGGAGAAACCATTGTTGGTTTGCTTTTGTGCTCTGATGTGGATATTGTTTGGTGTCTTTTCAATCTTTTGTATTTACATCATTTGGTGATTATACGTGTCCGCAACACCAAAAAACTACCTTTAATTTATGTTAAATTTAGGACCAAAAACCGATAAAATTAAGAAATCGCTCAATACATAAATTTTTGATGATGTATGGATGTGTTCATGTGAAGTTGAACATTGAAAACTACTCTCCAAAACGGAAATTTGCTAAAAATGAGGATAACATATCTTACGTCTCAAGCACTTTAAAGATGAAACATAAAATTCAAGAGCTTTTCAAGGATGTAGTATAATTGAAGGATTTTATGTGATGGCGGCTGAAATTCAAGGACTTTTCGAGTCTGCACAAACCGTATATGCCCCAAACATAGATAATATTATGTTGATCGAGTTTTATTTATACTTATAAATTTAGACTTACCTGGTTTTAACTTCTGGAGAGTTCTCTATGGAGGACATTCCTGAGGATGAGACATTTCTCGTTATGAGCTTTGTTCTACACTTGGGTCCTGTTACGCTTTTGAAATATTTCGTGATTGGTGCTTGGTGTTCTGGAGAACTTTTTGTTGAGCTTGAATCTGCTTCTTTTTCTGAGAGTTTTAGTGTAAAATCACTCTCACTGGTGTCTGGTGATGGCAGTGAAATTGAAAAACTTGACTGGGAATTGTCAGCAACATCACAAGAGATGGGAGGTTCCTCTGTGAATCTTTGTACATTATCACATGCAGAAGATGGGTTCAACGTTGTTACACCATTTATAATGCTCTCTCTGCTGAATTTCTGACAGGCAGACTCTTCAGTATTTTGTGTATCAGTGTCCAACAAATTAGAGAAGAAGTATTCGTTGCCATTCTTTCTCAGAAACAAACCATCTATTACAGAACCAGGACCACTGTAAAGGCTTACTTCTGAGTCAACGGATTCAACCTCACTTGCATTTGAAGAGGTAACATTGGCCATTGTTGGGCTTGAATCACTACTCATTGCTCCAGCTGAAGTATTGTTACTTTGTTCAAATGCACCACAAGACGAGAACCTCTTCTCCTTAGTAAAATTGCTTTCAAATCCATTAATTTCTGACTTGCATAACTTTGTTTCATCCTTGCTTTCAACATGATTTTCAGCCTTACTGACATTTGTTGTACTATCTACAAATGCACTAAAAGTTTGTTTTCCAGTTGCAACTGATCTTTGTTTTCCTTCGGAGAATTCACCTTGTCTCGTCATGTTTGAAGTCCTCTGCTTTTTTCTCACCTCAGATGAGTTTCCCTGTTTCTTATTTTTCCTTTTCACAGCCAAAGAATGTTTACTTAAAGAATTGCCATGTTCTTCCCTTAATATTTTTTGAGCACTTGGAGAAAATAATCTTACCCTTGGTGATATGTTTTGTTTCTTTGACCCATAAAAGTTACCTGGACTAAAGCCATTAGAAGGTGACCTCACTTCATCTTCAATTATGCTTGCATCTGCTACGCAAACTGCATCACCATTATGGCTTTGATTCCCTGTTCCACTTGAGCCCATCTGGTCAGCATTTCCAGTGGATTGCAAATCAACTTCTGAACTAGTTTCTTTTGCTTTAGAATTACAATCAATATCAGTTATCAGATCACAAGGAGTCAACATGATGCAAACCTTCTGGGACATCACACTTTGTCTGTAAAATAACAATAGTCACAAGAACAGCTTGATTATTACCATGATTATACATTGTTTATACATCTGTTTTCTCATTGGCAAAGAGCCTTTGGAAATCACCACAACCTGGACTACCACCATGAACTACTCATATGAACTACGCTGCTGAAGTTTAGTGATTATGGTTAGGAAACTGAGTGGATCAAGTTTCAGGTCAGTTTTCCCAGTATAATGACCCTAAATGAAATCTGATTCACTCAGTTTCCGCACCCTAATCAATAAACTTCAGTGGCCACACAAGACTTAATAAACGTATTTTGTAATGCATGAGTCAATTCCAGCAGGACAAGGGGTTCTAAAGGCATGTTCTCAATTTTATGCATGCATTTCTTCAGTGCTCATCAAGCCAGAATTACATAGTGAAACTCAGGAGCTATCGACATGAATCAACGTTTTTTGGTTAGTGAATCAAGTGATTTCTGTCGATATTACTTGAAGAACATCCTTTCATATTTATAACCTATTCATAATATATAACTTAACAGCGCTCTATTAATTTTAATGTTAATAATTTTATATCAAAACTAAAACCATAAACTGGTGCACGTCGTCATGGCATGAAGTCTTAATTAGAATCCTATTGCCACTACAAAGGAAGACTTTGCTTGACTGTGCAATCAATGAAAAATGTTGCAGTGTTGACGGAGGACAGGGCATTAGCCCTTTTTTTTTCCCCCACCCTGGAGGATTTGACAGCTCAAGAGTTCCTACCCGCTTGAATTTGCTATCCAAGGCAAAAAAATGAATAAAATCTTAAAGACCTCCATGGAAAACATGAAAAAATGGACAAATAATATCATTGTACACAGAAAATACCTAATATTGATAACATTTAGCTCAAAAATTGAATCACTCCATTCAGTTTTTCAAGATTTACCTGTCATGCACGACAGAGCAAAGTTGTCTAACATTATCAGAGTGTTTACAGGGCAGGTAGGGTTCACCACTTATTAGGATAATCCTTGCACTCAATTAGGGTTACCCTGGCGCCAGAGTAACCCTACCTGCTGTATCACATAAAAGAAAAGAAATGTGCGAGTGCTACAGCAATCCTCTTGCAAGGGCAACTGCCATCCCTTCTTGAAATTAGACCCTTATCTGCGACCCTTAAATTGGCAAGGTTGAACGACCTAACCAATGGAACAAAATCAAAATTGCTGAATAAAACTACGTTAGTCACCCCTTGAAATTTAAGAAATTTGAAGTTTTATGTATTCGGAGCCTTATTGAATAAGCCTTATTCTGAAAAGTAAACCAATCATGACGTTAACCTTCGTATGAGCTTACACCTAAAATATTTTAATACCCGTACGTATTAAGCTTAAAGTAAGGCGCGCTTATTTCAGTTCGAACGATACAAAGGGCACAGTAATTAAAGTTGACTGCATATTTTACCTTTCAGATTCAGTTACTCGCTTCACAGTTGACTCAATAGCCATGGATCCCCCAGAAGACGACGAAACTTTTCCTTTTGCCATCGTATCATCATTCGAAAACAGGAAATAGTTTAATGATCTACTATTTCTTCAAAGCGAAGATAAAACTCGTCAAGTCTTCCAATCAACAGGACCAAAAAAGCAGAGATGAAGGAAGTAAATGAATTTGCGTTTTCATTGTTCACTACACTGTACTAGTAATGTCCAAAAATGTCTCTGAAGGAAAAACAATCAACGCCAAGGTCGAATCGTGGACAAACCTTTCCACTCGTCCGCCATTTTGTCTCTCTTCGAACATTGCATCGAGTTTCGCGCGCAACTAAGCTTTCAATGCACCCTGGGATATCAACAAGTATCGGGGGCCGACTCGGGGGTTCGGGGGCCTGTGTCGGCGCAGGTAGGAAGTAGCCTCCCACGCTGGCGTTTTTAGGGGAGCTCGTTTTTCTTCCCTCTTCCTCTTCCTCTTCTTCTCTCTAAAAACGCCTGCGTGGGAGGCTAGGTAGGAAGTTGAATTATCGAAAAATTTCCAAAACACCGAGCTTGAGAAATCGGGGGCGCGATCCATTCAACCAAAATTTCCGGAAATTTCAGTCCAAAACTCAATGGATCGGTTCTTTTCAACCGGAAAAGTTTCGAAAAAACTGGTCCACCTTTTGAGGTGGACCACTTTTCCCGGTCGGACCGGTCGGAATTTTGGTTGAATAGACCTCGCCCCGGGCTTCTACTGGATAATTATATTTATTATATACATACTGAGAAATACTCACCAAAAAGCTATGTCGTAAATTTTCGTACGCAAATGAGTTCTAGCCAATCAGAGGAGCGAACGATGGTTTTCACACGTGAAAAAAATGATACGTCCAATCAGAATCGCGAACGATGTTTTTTCACGTGTGAGAAAAATGATACGTCCAATCAGAAGCAACAGAGGTGTGTGAGTTTCGCGCCAAAATCCCCGCCTTTTATTGCAGCTTGCAGCGCCGCTTCGCACACATTCAACGAGAAAAGTTTTACTCAAAGAGTTTTTCTCACTAAAAAAGTGAAAAACATTTCGGAAATGGAGTGGAATAGTTTCGTTTGTTTCACTGTCGATAAAGAAAACGGTAGACAGCCGGCGAAACAACAGCGGAAAGGGAAAAACAGAACGAGACGTAAGCTTTTGTTGTGCTTTTTGTCGGAGCTACTTTGCCTTCATTTAAGCTTAAGCTTATATTGAAACCGGCCATTTTACTTAAATTCACTCATTTTCAATTGTGCATTGAGAACAAACAGTTAAGATTACTTATAGTTCTTGGATTACCCCATATCCTTACCGTCATTTATGTTTTTAACAAACGTTTTTACCAAAAAGCTGATACTTCGTTTTCGTTGTCATTTTGCGGTAAGTGTGTAGCGGCAAATTTTAGCATTTTTGAAAGATTTAAAATAAAAAGGCCGCCAAAATGATGAATGTCTCAGTATGTATATAATAAACACAATACCACATGGAAAGTGCTGGCGTACGGTATTTACGCACTCGTTGTTTTTGTATCAGAAATCTTACTCGTTCGCTGCGCTCACTCGTTCGATTTCTGATACGTCAACAACTCGTGCGTAAATACCGTACGCCAGCACTTTCCATGAAGTATTCTCTATATGTATTGAATAATGAAATGAAATAGGTGACAAATCTTCACAGACACTTAAACTAAAAATAAATAATACTAAAAATCTATAATCTGTTCATGTTGTCCTTCAGCAGCATAATT